AGGGGGGAAATGGAATCGTTCTAATGTCTATCTAATATTCATTAAATTATGTAAGAAGTCATGTAAACCACTCATTGTGGACAAACCTGCACATCAACATTGACGATAACATAGGTGAGATTGAAAGAAAGGTGAATGTAGAATTTATCATAATAAAAACTCATTAATTTTATATTGAATATTATTTTATAAAAATACGCATCCATTGCTATTAAAAACTGAACTTTCGTTTTTATATATTTATATACATATATTTGTTTAAGGTCCCCTTATAAATTTTGTTAAGGTTTTCTCATAAATTTAATTTAATAAATTAAAATTTAATTTTTAATAATAACATGCAGTAAGTATTTTATGGATAATATTTAATGAAAAAATGATGATTTCTTACGTAGGGCCATAAATGTCATTTTACTTTGAAAAATTCTAAAGAAATACTAATAGTACGTATGATATCAGAAACCGAAATTAGGTCGGCAATCAAAGTATAGGGTGGGCCCACGTCTTGAATTTTAACACGGAGTGACCGCCGGAGCGGGTCCCCACCAGCATATGTTTCGCGTGACATTTGATGGGCTCAAGTTAATTTATCACTCAAATGTATGAAAAATTTTCATGGACAAAAAATAAAATGCTCCTTCCTGTGGCTGTAGCCACCTTTTAATTTTTTTATTTTAATATAAAGAATGTGAAAAGTTATCTATTATTTTTAAATTTTATTTTTATTATGAACTTAATTTTATGATTTATTGTGTATTATATAATGTTTGTAAAACCGAAACGGTTACTAAGCCAGAAATATTAATAATTTATGGTTCACATAATTCAATTAAATTGGACTAATGATCAAAACAATAACATGATAATTAAATTTAAAAATTATATATGTATTTAATAATTTAAATATAAGAAATAAATATGAAATTGTTATTCAACTTAAAAATAAAACTACATATTTTAAATTTATTGTAACTTAACAAGCTATATGATACAATATAATATTAAATAATTAAAAAAGGGTCATTTTCTTAAAAAAATTAAAAATGAAAAAAGGTATTTTTTTTAATAATCTGATTTTTGAAAATCGAAGTCGGTTCCTGATTCGACCTTAATTCAAAGTAGCACAATTCGGCTTAACTTTTTAAATAATTTTTTCGGCTTAACCTAGCTGTTAGCCTGACTAGTCGATAGCCCGACCATCCTATTCAGTCTGATTTTTTTATCATTGGTATTATGTATTGGTATTTTTTTTCTATTTTTAATAGGGTAAAGCGATTTTTTTTTTATTTTAACACATATATCATGAGTGAATTGTCATTTTTTATTCCAAAAAATTATTAAAAAGTACTTTATAATAAAAATCAAATGGAGTTCTCATCTTAACAAACTTTGTGATTATTAAAAAAAATGGATCTCATGAGATTAAAATTGTTAAATAATAAGTAACTTCTTAATTTTTGTCTTCTTTATAATCAATAGCCATATTAACTTGTCATCTAAAAATTTAAATCATAATAAATAAAAAATAAATAAAATTAAAAAATAATTTATTATTCCAACTTCACGTCATATTAAGCACCGCAAAATCTTTCAAATCAAATAAATTATAATAAGTACAGGACGAAGTAGAGCACAAAAATAATTCTGTGTTTAATTTGATTAGAAGATATTTTATGGTCAATCTTACAATTGATATATTTGTGCATATGCGCTTAATTTGATTATAATACAAGTTAATTTTGTGAAAAAGCATTATTATTCATAGAAAAAAAAGTTAATGGGTATTTTAAATTTTAAATTATTACGTGAATAATAAAATTTAAACTCCTAAAATGTGTTAAAAAATTTTCAACTTTTAAATTTAGAATGCTTGAAATTTTATTATTAAATTGGAGAAAATGACTATTAATTTTGTAATTATAAGGCATAGTAGCATGTTGACGTAATACTTATATTGAACCTTAAAAATGATTGCTTTTTCAAATGGCGAGATTCTAGGTGCTTAAAATTTAAAAATTAAAAAGAATTTTTATATATTTTAAAAATTTAAAATTTAAAATGCTATTCATGTAATAATTTAAGATATTCATTAAATTAAAAAAATATCTCACTCCTTTTATCCTTATATATAAGATATTTTTAATCAAATTATACAAACTAATAAAAGCTAATTATCTAATTAAAAGTACAATAATATTTTAATTTTATTTTTAATTATTATAAATATATAATAAATATATTTTTTAAAATAAATTAATAAGGATACTTATTTTTTTAATTTAATAAGAATATAGCAGTTTATTTATTAAAAATATACTAATAATTTTTTAATTTAAAAATAAAAAATATTTTAAAAAATCTCCCTTCATATTTGATCTCACATGCAATTTTGAAGTCATATTTGATTAATGGCATTGTCAGGGTTGATTGATTGATTTGAAGAAAGAAATAGTACATTCACATGACTACCACAGCACCACCAGCGGTGAAAGAGAAAAACAAAAAGAGACGCAAACCTTGATGAGCCATTTTGGCCCGGACAAAAACCATTAATGAGCCGCATTTCATAAATTTAAAATGAGAAAAATACCAAGTGAGGAGCCGCGAAGGACATTTATAACATTTAAGGCTGAATAGATTTTAAATTTTCATACAATCCATTAATCTTTAGACGAAATCAATTTTTCACATGAAATAACCAAATTATTCTTAAATTTTAAAATAAAAAATACTATGTGATCACCTTAAAAACTTAATATCCATCAAGCCACCAAGCCTGTTTAATTATACATGACAAAAAATATATATAAGTAGTAACCACTTCTATGTTATTATAACATAATAATATATTATTAATTTTTGAACAGCACTCGTCAAGCTAATGTTATTCGTTAATTTGACATGGTTAATTATAAATTGAAAGTTTTAAAATTTTTTATATTTTACTTATTAAAAGTCCGAATATATTATTGTTGATTGTAAATGTATTATTGTCAAAACGTGAGTGTATACTTATTGAATAAGGATTAATAGGTATGATTATACTCATTCATTTAGTTTTTTTAACTTGCTAAGACCCAAATAAATTACTATCAATTTTAAATGAATTATTGTTAAAACTTAAATAGATGCTCGTTGATTATGGACTAACACTTATATAATTAAGCATGTCCTATCCGTTTTTATAATTTGTTAAATCTAAATAAATTATTTTTGATTTTGAATAAGTTTTTGTTAAAACCTAAATAAATACTTATTGGTGAAAAGCTAACACATACAATTATGCCTATCATATTTATTTTTTTGACTTATTAAAACTTGAATAAATTATTATTAATTTCAAACATACTGCTATCAAAATCTGAATTGATACTTATTGTTGATAATTGAAAGGACATATATAATGAAACAAGTGTATGAATAACAAGACATTTGGGTTTTAGGTCTAGTGGGGCAAGTGTATAAACAACAAGACATCCAAATTTCGACAACAGCGTATTCAAAAGTAATAACAATTTATTCAAATTTTAACAAGTTAAAAAATAGATAAGATGTACTTAATTATATAAGTGTTAATTTTTCATCAACAAATATTTATTTAGGTTTTAACAACAACTATTCAAAATTGACAACAAGCCATTCATACTTTAATAATTTAAAAAAATTGATAAGATGAATTTAATTGTGTGTGCTAGCCTCTCATCAACAAATATTCATTTGTGTTTTGACATCAACTCATTCGTGATTAACAACAACACATTTAAACTTTTAATGAATAAAATGCATGAAGTTTTGGAACTTTCAATTTATAATTGACCATATAATATTAACAAGTAATATTAATAAAATAATAAGTACCGCTTAGGAATTAACAACAAGCCATTATGGTGTACTAACTTAGATATGGCTTAACAATTTAACATAGAGAGCAATCCTAAACTCATTAATAAATTTTGTCCTTTTTACATTTTTTTCTATCATTTTTTAAATAATTGACAGTCAATGTTTTGTTAACGGCAAAAGTCAAATTGCATAATTTTTAAAAATTTTAAAAATAATTTATATAATAAATGAGTTTAAAATCTATAATATTATTAAATATAAAGTTCGGGGGTAATTGTTCATTTATCCAAAATTTAATTAATTTTTAATTTTATCCTTATTAAATATTTAGATTTTAAAAATAAATTAAAATATTCTAGCATTTGATAACTTTTTTAACACTTAACAGGGGTAAAAATGTAAAATAAATACAATAATTATTGATATTCCCTGTAAATAGGAACAAAATAAATATATTTTTTATTTTATAAATAAAATTAGAGGAATATTGTTAAATAAGAACGTAATTGTGCTGTTGTGCGTAATAAACTCATTAATAACTAGTAAGGCATTTTTGTTTTGCCAGCATTAAATAAGTACTCCTAAGTGTTTAATAAATTCACTTAAAAAGAGCTTATTAAAAATAATTTTTTTATAATAATAATATTTCTTTTATCTCCACTCAAAATACCTCTCCCTGTAACGAGATTTTGCTTTTTACTGACAAAATCTCACGCGCTGCGAAGTCAAGTCTGAAATTGAGAGCAAGGCGGATGGACCCGCCAGATGATTCAGTGCCAGGTAGACGACGGAATTATGAGACTACCACTACCTCGCTGCCCTGTATCTGTCTCCACTCTCCACGTTTCGTTACGAAATTCAAAACTGAATCCAAACCCAGTACGAACTCTGATGAACTTGGCGTCACCCCATTGCTCACCGCATTCTTTCATTTTCATATCCTTCTTCGATCCAAGGAAGAAAAGTCACACATGATTCTCATTTTTTTTTTAATTGGTTTTTGGGTTTGGTCAAGACATGAGTCTTGTTCCTGCGTGCAGTGACTTGCAGATCATTTTTCATTTTCAACCACCGTAAATGGCTCAACTTCGTAATTTCACCCCAACATTAGGGCCCATTCACCAACCGATCCACCACTAGTTTCTCTCTTCTTCTCACTATATAACCAACACTCCCCGACAATGCTATTCTCCTCCTCCTCCATCATTTATTTATCGCTCTCTTGATCTAATCAATCCCCGTAACCGATATATTCCCGCTGCCTTCTCATTTTTTTTCTGCAATCTCTCCCCTTCACGCACCCGGGTTTCTTCAGGTTTGTACGTGTCTTACAATCCGCATTCTGTTTGGTTTTAGTTCATGTTCTTCTACGTTGATGACTGTGCATTGGGTGATCAATTCGGGAGTTTCAATCTGTTTGTTTCTGATTCCTTTCTTCGTGTGGATCTGGTGGTTTGTAGACATTGCTCTTAAATGCGCCCATTCCATGCTGGCTTATGTGTTTTAGCTGCCAAAGTTTATGGGTGTGCAAGTGCAATGATGTACTGTATGCTCAAAATTCTTTTTTTTTTTTTTTTGTTCTTATGTTGATTGGAACATGCTTCTTGTTTTGTTGGTGTTTAATTTGTTGGGTGAAACACTCATTCGAGTGGTGCGTGGGACCAGAGGCATTATGTGGACAGTATCCTTCGGAAGGATTCCCAGTTCTCACGTATCAAATGCAACATATCATCTCATGGCTGCAACGGTAGACCCAGGACTTATGATGTAGTTGTGCTTTCATCCCTGTTACCCTATAGATCAAAGTAGGAAAGAAGTATGCTGGATAACTTGAGTTGTTTACATGGTGAGACATGGGTAATTGGACTGTTTTGTCCGGGGTTCAAATGCCGATACCGCACGTTGATGATGAGTTGTTTGAGTGTAGTTATTGGTTATTAGGGAAGTCATCAAAAAGAGGTGCGGGAAGGAGCTAAAAAATCAAAGATTTTCTTGGTATGGCTTCAGAAATCGAGCACCCATGTCCAACCAGAATCTAAGACAATGTGCGATCTGAAAACCATGCCTTTTAATGATCCTTGAACCCTGAACGGGTGATCCATTATGCGGCTCAGTCTACAATAACAGTACATCCATATCCCTAGGGCCACGAAACAGCCTGCCACTGTGAGCCAAATTGTTCATGTATGCTAACATTTTAGAGTGACATGATTATCTTTCATGTCAAACTGCAGGCGGTTAAATTGAGGTGCTTTTAAATGAAAGCAACATATATACACTTCCCGTTCATTGTTTTCTCTGATATTACCGTAAATCACTTTGGAATTTATAGTTGACTATCAAAATATCCGTGTTATTAATCTTGATTCTTCTCTTTGTATTGATCAACCATTATTGATTCAGGTCTTTGCTGATAAAATATAAATCTGCTAAATATCTAATGGAGTCATCCTCTGAGGTTCATTTTTCTGGATTTCACATGAATGGTTCAGCGCAGAGGAATGCTGGCACGGAGCAACCTACAACTTCAGCCACTGACATGTATAAACAACCTTTTGTCATAGGTGCGTTTTCTGTGCAGCAAGCTGCTAATGTAGTTATAATGGTCAGGGGACTTGATGGTGGTGCGCTTACCATGTTTAATGTTTTTGCGAACTCATAAGTATAGGCTTAAAAAACTCCTGATGATCTGATTGCTTTGAAGCATAAACTGAGGGTTGCGAGAGTTCCTTGTTCTGTGGGGGCAAGATAAATGTCACCAACCCAGGCTTTTGTCCAATGGATTTGGTTCGAACCTTTGACTTTCTTCTATTGTATCCAAAGCAGCTTGAAGTTGAATGGATGAAAATCACGAGGCATTAAAATAATTTTTTGTCGAGTAGTTGAAAAGAAAATGACTTAACTTTAATTCATGTTTGCTTTGAGAAAATATGATCATCTTGCTGACAACTTGCAAATTAACATGAAATGAAAATTAGCATTCTATAAGCTAGTCTAAAGTATCGTCTTAATAATAGTTTGCCTATTTATTCTGGCTTTCAAAGTGGTCTGAACTTATTTATGAATGTTAGCACTGCTAGCATTGACGTTTTCTGTAATTCAGAGTTTGAAATATTATTTTTCCAAGATAATTGGGTATCATGATTTTCAAATAAGCTTAAATATCGCATTTTCTACTTGTTAGGTGTTGCTGGGGGAGCTGCATCTGGGAAGACCACAGTTTGTGATATGATTATTCAGCAGCTTCATGACCAACGAGTTGTGCTTGTTACTCAGGTAATAAATTATTTGCGAATATCCTTAATTAACAATCAAATTCACAACTTAGATGAGATTTAAAATTAGTGACATTATTGATCTTTGAGGGCAATAATATTCAGAAAGAACTTGATAGCCTCAAGCTTTCTTAATACAAATCTTATTATTTTACTGACTCTAATCTTTTCCCTGATTACTTTTTTCATGTTACATCTAAGTGTAAGTAGGTAGTTACAATGGTTAAATATAACTAACTATTTATTCAGAAAGCAAGAACAAGTGACAACAACGCCCAACGCACTAATATTAATCCCACACAACAACTAAAGCCCCTCTAAAAATAGTTGTCCTCAAGGATTGGTAGCAATGGCTGAAGTAGGAAAAACCAATGAATATTCTTTTACAACAAGTTGTAACTCCTAGGTTGTATCTTGAATGTTTCTATTGAATGAGGATTTATCATTTTCAAGATGTAAAAATTATTGCTTATATGATAGCAGCAAAAAATAACCTGGAGGACATTGTGTCTCAAAATGTGGGCTGATGTTACTTATTATATTTATAATTATAATTTTTACCATGATATGAGTTAATTATGTTACAGGATTCTTTTTATCATAATTTGACTGAAGAGGAACTTATGAGAGTCCAAGATTACAACTTTGACCATCCTGGTCAGTAAGCTTCTATTCCTTAATCTGCTACTATTTGCTACTTTATTTTTTTCAAATAATTTCATTATGTTGATGTAAAATTTATTTGGTTCTATGCATATTTAAAGAACCAAAGAAATTATGTATTGGATAAATGAAATTAATCTAGCATTTCTCTGTGCAGTGATGATTTTCTATCTCCAAGATCTAGTCAAAGTTCTTTCATCTATTCTATAACTTTTCTTTTAGGAATAATTAGATTGTGGGTCTTTACTTTGCATGATATTTGAGGTGAGCCTTAAGGTTCATAGCTTATAAATAGTGAGGTTTCCTATAGATTTTACATTATGCACACATATATACATGTGTATATATATTTAATACCGCATTGTATCTTCCATTTGGTTTTATGTATAATAACTAAGAATCAAAGCTTGATGCTATATTGGTCTGCATCATTGACATAGCACCTCCATATTGTGTTATATTCTAAACAAGAAAATATGAATAATTAAATTAAATAATTAACTAAATAACCAAACTAGAAATGGATGCCATTGATTTCTCTCTAATAGAAGAGGATGTCGGAACAATAGTTCTTTCACAAATGGTCAAGCCCACATCTGTGTTGCCATACTTGACTTGCATTTTGCCTTTAGGGATTGAACCCCTATTTTCTTTGCAGCTAAATTGAGAGATAGTTCACTCTATAAGGCCAAAATCAAAAGAGAAACTCACAGTTTGACAGCATAATTAATTAGATTTCAATTTCAGTATTGCATATTTGAATTATTTTTCTTTCTAAATCCTGGCATCGTTTCTAAAGCCATGCTGCTTAAATTATCAGATGCTTTTGATACCGAGCAATTATTATGGGTTATGGACAAGTTAAAGCACGGACAAGCTGTAGATATTCCAAACTATGACTCGAAGAGTTACAAGAGTGATGTGTTTAGAACAAGAAGGGTATGTCTTTGACACTTAAATTTTTGCCATGCAGTTTTGCCCCCTTCTGTTCCCTTTCTTGAATTCTAGTTGGCCTTCTATTTTTGACCTGTTGGTATCTTCCCTATGGAATTATGTTTTTTGCTTGATGATGGATGAAGTGCAGAAAACCTGACATGTTTCCTAATATGCATGACAAAGTCTTTTCTCTGCTTTTACTCCTACTTGTGAGAAAGTCCTTTCAGTTGGCAAGTGTGTTGCAGGAGTGTCCCACTTTTTTTCTCTGTTAGAATGATTTGGCTGACTAATTATTGCTAAATCATGCAGTGCATTCTCTAATAGAGGGCAAAGTAATTTTGAAATGAGTTATTATCTTGCCATCTCATGTTGCATAATATGTTTTTCAGGTGAATCCTTCAGATGTTATAATTTTGGAAGGAATTCTTATTTTCCATGATCCACGTGTCCGGGAGCTGATGAATATGAAGATATTTGTTGACACAGGTCCTTTATTGTTACTGTAATACTGTTCCTATTTAAGTAGTACACTTTATCATATCTTGCATTTTTTTCTGTAGATATATCATAATATTTAGGCTAGCTCTTGTATGTTGCACCTTCTAGGAGCCAAGATACCATAAAAAAGGCTATTTACAATCCAAACTTAAGCTATTCAATGAAGGATCATAACTAGTGTCATTATAATCTGACAAATAAAATGAAGTTGTTTCCAAACCAGCATGTTTTAGTATCTTCATTGCGTTGCTAATTTAGGATGTCACTTCTCATAGTAATGTTCAGTGCAGATGCTGATGTTCGTTTGGCTAGGAGAATTAGGCGTGATACTCGTGAGAAGGCTCGGGATATTGGCTTGGTGCTTGATCAGGTACCAAATCTCATTGGTTGAAACTCTTTGTACTACCATCAACATATTTTGGTCATTTGTTGCTACTCGTTTCCTAATTTTTTCGATGCTGCTTATGTTATCTGAATTGTCAGATTTTGTAAACGTAAGGAAGTCAGTGTTTTGCTGTGGATCAGTTACGGTGCAAGCTTCTTGACTAGAAAACCATTCCTTTTTGTATTTTCTGACGGAATTAAACCTTAAGGATGGATTTTGTGCTTATGAAAATAATAGTCAACCTTGTATATTCTTCTTTACAAACAAGTAATCTTTTTCTTTCTTCAATTTGACCAAATTTGATAGCTAACATTTTTATTATACCTGATGCAGTATTCTAAATTTGTAAAGCCGGCTTTTGATGACTTTATTCTTCCAACAAAGAAATATGCTGATATCATTATACCCCGTGGAGGAGATAATCATGTGGCCATTGATTTGATCGTACAGCATATCCGAACAAAGCTTGGTCAGCATGATCTGTGTAAAATATATCCTAATTTATATGTCATTCAATCAACTTTCCAGGTACCTCAATCTTGCTATTTATTGACATTTTAACCATTCCACCCCCTTCTTTTCCTATAGCTCCAAACTCTGCTTCATCATAAAGTTGTATCACCATGGTAATTTCTACTATGCAGATAAGGGGTATGCATACCCTGATACGTGATTCTCAGACAACGAAGCATGATTTTGTATTTTATTCTGACCGTTTGATTCGTTTGGTATGTATACAGGTTCAATTGTTGTTTTCTCAATTTTGTGGTGGCATGACATTTTCTTTATAGACTATTGGTCACAATTCCTGCACTTGCCAGGTTGTTGAACATGGCCTGGGGCACCTTCCATTTACAGAAAAGCAAGTAATAACTCCAACTGGTAAGTTGTTCTTTTCAATGCTTTATTGTAAAGGTGTTATTTGCTATTTTCCATGCTTTGTTCAATGCAGCTGAAGTGTTAGTTAAATAAATGCATTGAATGCTGTTCAGCCAAAGAGAAAAAAAGGGGAAAAAAGTGCTGAATACTATAATGTTTATACTGTGGCTTAGTGGTGCATCATTCTCCTCGCCTTCACTATTGGTTGTGTTGGATGTACATGACGGTTTATTGTTTATCAACTGCTGTCATATTGTCTGCTGGATTTTTATGGTGAAAACTGATTCGTTTCTTTCAATATGTAACTGCAGAGTCTGTATATACTGGTGTGGATTTTTGCAAGAGGTTATGTGGTGTCTCCGTTATCAGGAGGTACAAGTCTCTAGTCCAAAGTTGACATCACGGGCATTTGATTTTCAGATGATGTCGTCCTTGCTTCCAAATTCTGAAGAATAAATTTAAAGATACCCTCTTAGTTGTCCCAAAGTATATTTAAATATATAAAAGATCTTTGTCAATTTGGGTTCCCAAGTATCAAATTGTACAATTGAAATATAGATCATTTAGTTTCCTTTCGAGTCATAGAGTATTAAAGAAACTACTTTCAGCGAACCGGTGATCGCTACAGTTCTTTAATCCTTTAAAATCCAATTTCTGTTCTAACGTTATTATCCAATGTTGATTTCATTTCAGTGGAGAGAGTATGGAGAATGCTTTACGTGCATGCTGTAAGGGTATCAAGATTGGCAAAATTCTTATTCATAGAGAAGGTGACAATGGTCAGCAGGTTTGTGTACCTGCATGCGTGCTTGGTGCATGTGTCTTTAATTCTATAATCACTGATATCATACACTTTGATAATTGCGCAGCTCATATATGAGAAGTTGCCTAACGATATCTCAGATAGACACGTGTTGCTATTGGATCCTATCCTAGGAACAGGTTTGTCATTTCCATATTGCATGAAAAGAGCATTAAAAAAAAAAAAATTCGTAGCCTACTACAACTTGGTTCTAGAACTTTAGTCCTTCATTTTGGGGGGGGGGGGGAGAAAAATAGGGATAACGGAAAATTAGGAGAGAAAATTCTTAAAAATTGTTAAATGTTTTACTATTTTTAGTAACTTCTCTTCTTATTTTTTTCTCTTCCCTATTTTCTTACTTTTCCCTCAGTGCAAACCAAACAACGTTTGGTCTGTTCTTTTCCATTAGCATAAACTTTCAAATATTTTCTTCTTTAGGTAATTCTGCTGTTCAAGCAATTTCTTTGCTTATCAGAAAGGGTGTACCAGAGTCCAACATAATATTTCTCAATCTCATATCAGTAAGTGACTGGTTCATAATCCATCTATTTCTCTCAATATGTTTTTTATTTGTTTTTGAAAATATCTCAGGCCTCTGGTGGCCCCTAATTGCAACTTGCTTAAATGTTCTGATTTTGCCAGGCACCTCAAGGTGTGCATGTGGTCTGCAAAAGATTTCCAAGAATAAAAATCGTGACATCCGAGATTGATTTTGGTTTGAATGAAGATTTCCGCGTTGTGCCTGGAATGGGTGAGTTTGGGGACCGTTATTTTGGAACTGACGACGACGACGACGACCAACGGATGGTGGCCCCTCAAGAAAAGTGACTCTCAGTGCCAGATCCACAGTAATTTTTGGATGATTGATGCTCTCAATTTTAATTTTTGAATTAGTTTTGATATTTCTAATATTATTGAGGTTTCTTTTTATAATTGCTTCCCAGCAAGGACTTATGTGGTTCCGGACCTAATATATAGAAATGAATATATATATATATATATATACACACATATAGATATATTGATTTAATATTTTGCTGGTTTGAGTTTTAAGAGTAGTATGGAATTGGGATTGGAGGAGTGGACGTCGGATTAAAAAAATAGGTTGTTTAGTACAATGAATTTCATTTCAATACCATCAAAATTGATGAAAGTCACTTCTGTCTTCATTTTTCATAAAAAATACCCCGCTTCTTTGTATAAATTAAAAATGTTTTAAAACTTTATTCACTTCCATGGAAAGGGACATTAAAATTGCTTCTTGAATATCCAAGTGGATAAATTTTTATGTATTTCCAAGTCATCATGTTACACACGCTGGCAGCTCGCATGTCATTTATGCTTTGTTTAATATATTATATAAATAAAATAAAAGAGAGGGGTGTGTGTGTGTGTGTGTGTGTGTATAATATGTAAGATTTTAACATAATTCTCCCTCTATATATATATCGTAATTAAAGGAGCAATATTAACCCCTGAGGCACTCTAACAGGACCTCGTCATTTGTCCTTGGTCCAATTCATGAATTCAAACATGTAATGAGCCCACTTATTTTATTAAAATTTCTGTTAGTTATAAAAGTAACAAATGTTAAAAAACTTGGAGCCTGTCATATATCACTTGGAAGCTCTGTGTTGGACAGGGAGTACATGTAAAAATTTCTCTAATATTTGTTGCTTTTATATCTCTACTTTATGGAAGGGAAAAAAAAAAAAAATTCTCTACTTCAACCTATTCTCTCTCCACTTCAATCACGCACTCTCTTTTCATTAAAAATATTTCACCCTTTTAATTTCTGGTCAATTTGTCACTCTTGATTCAATGTAACATCCGTTTTACAAATAATTATTCCGCTCCGACATCAAATATTATGCTTTGGACTTGGGAGTCATGATTTTTTAGTTTAACATTAATTATTGATATTGATCAAATTTTCAATTGTTGAAAATTATAATTTTGTTTTACATTATGAGCCGTTCAATTTATGTAGTTGACAGTACCTAATAAGATAAGACTTGTTGTTGTGGGTAACATACAAAGGAAAAGTTGTTAGTTGCTTTAATGACAATTTCCCGTAATTGGAAAATAACATCCGGGGAATAAACTTTATAATTATCATGTATTCTTTTTATATTAAAAAATGTAAGTCATTTTTAACTGAATTTTACCTTAATAAAGTAGTTAATTATTTTCAAACTAACACTATTTTTTTATATTTATCCTTATTTAATAAGGTGTTTCATTTTAAAATAAATATGAGATAATTTATTCATTAGAAGCATTTTTGAAAAAGAACACAATGATTTTACTTTAAAATATTAAAAATACCTTACATTTTTAAGATTTAACCCCTAAAAAAATACATTACATTTTTTAATAGAGGGGTAATAATTTTTAGGTAAATAATTGTAAAAAAATTGGGAGAATGATAATTTGGTCTTATAATATCAATTTAATTACAATTAGGTTTCCAAAAAAAAAATTCTATAAAATCAATTGAAAATAAAAATTTAAATTATTAAAATTCAAGAGTTTTAATTGTAAACTTAAATATTTATATTTTAAATATAAATTTTAATTTTAAATTGAAACTAAATTTTCTAGTTGCAATTAATTAAATTAATATTTATAAATAATTTTTTTAAAAAATTGTTGGAAATCAAATTGTCATTAAATTAATATTTTAGTAATTAACTGTCATTCTCCAACTAACATTATATTGCATTAAATATTCTATAGAAAGAGTAATACCACTTCATGATGGAGAAGGAAGATTAAAAAATAAAAAGGAAATTTGAGTTAAAAAAATTAAAAAAATGAAAGAGAATCCAAAATTTCAATAAATTCGACTGTTTTTTCGTGGAAAAGTAAGATGCAATGATATGGGCCAAGAATAAATACAGATTGGGCGCAACGCTTTTATTTGGGCCTATTATAACTGTCTTGCAGCAGAAGGGAAAAGCTGATCACGAAACAAAAACAAAAAAACAAAAACCAAAAAAAAATGAAAACACAAAAGAATTGTATCGATCGCGCCAAGGGCTGGCCTCGATTGACCACTCTCTTGCGAATCGTCCATGACACTAGGGGAGATTGCATTAACATGGGTAGTTTCGCCGGTAAAATCGGCTTCAAAATCTCATCACAACTTCAATGTCGCGCATATTCGATTCCCTGGTGAGAATTTGCTCAGTCACTTCCAAATTTTCATTTAGTCTTTTGTTTGGCTACTTAGTCGGGTTTGGGAGAGGACAGAAGGACAGAAATTTTGGTTATTCATATTAATGTAGCTCAAATTTAGTTTCCAACTCGTAGCATTGGGTTAATTTGAAGGGGGCTCTCTTATTCTTTTCTGTCTACCTAGTATCTTACAGAAAAAGTCTATGCTCTGAACTGAATCATTTTGGGCATGATTCGTGTCTCTGTTTTTTCCCCTATTAAAAATAGGGCAATATGGAAGAATCCGGTTACATGCTTGAAGAGTAGAGACCATAGTTCTTCGGCTCCAGTTAGGTACACTCCTAAGACATCCTCCAAAGTGAAACTATCTAAAGCTTCTCCACAAGTGAAAAATTTGGAGAAAAGTAACTATTTTAGCCCAGATGATGTAAGCGCACCAGAGATCAATGGCGAAAAATCTGAACGTGGAAAAATTGCTCGGTGTGAAGCATCCCAAATTCAGAATGAAATGCAGAATAACTTGCTGTTTGGTGACATGGGACGAGGTAAATTTCTTTCCAACACCTTTCAATATTATAACATTTGTCAGACCATGTTGCCATTTAACGAGGGTAGCTAAGTGGAAACCCATATGATTTTAACAATGCCAAATAGCGTTGAGATTTATGTTTTAGCAACACAATTTTTTTTGCAACATGACGCGTTTATCGTTGTGCAGGACTGGCTAAAAACTGTAGCCCCAGCTTGCTTTTGATGAACCTAATTTTTTAAGTTCAATTTAGTTTGATAAAAAAGGGCATTATCGGTGGGGTTCACTTTGTGATTCGTGACATCATTGCGTGTCTTTCTTCCGTGACTTCTGTGAAAGTCAATGCATTAAATTTGAAGATGGGTTAATAGAAATGAGGCAAGAAAGGAAGAAAATTGCTTTTTTATCTTCTGGTAATCTACAGTTAATGTTCTTTCTCTAGGTCTAAACTTACCATATGAACAAGTTTGTATCAGCTACCGACTAAAATTATGGATATATGTTGTCTTGTTATATTCCTTATTAGCTCTGAAGTATTATTTTGTAGCTTCTTCATATCAAATTGTTGTAAAGGCATACTGATGCAAATAGTATGTTTAAAAATGTTACAGTATTCATGGATCAGAAGAGGGAAGTTGACCTTAACATCTTAAATGTGATCTTAGGTTGTGAACCGATGGAAGAGGTTGAAGAGGCTGCTGAAGAGTTGACAATTTATCAAGCTGGCAATTCTTTTGAACAAGATATATTACAAATTAACGAATGTACTGCTGTTGTTGAGGAATCAGCAATTAAGTTACTTGCCACGAGGTTAGTTTCTTTTCCTCTTGAAAGTTAAATTGTTCTATGCTAGACTATTTGTATACTACATAATATCATGATAAACTGTTTGAGATTTTTTGAACAAACGGGAGAGACTTTCTAACGTTTTGAGCTATTATCCATTTGGAAGGGACTCTTTTCATATGCACTGTATAAAACTAGTCTTTTAATCATTCTTGCCCGTGTGTTCTGCAGGGCACTCACAACAGTTGAATTGAAAAAGAAATTGCTTGGCAAGCGATTCTCTTCTGATGCAGTGGAGGCAGTGATAAACAAATTCGTCAGCAAGTATGTAGTTTACTTGGCATAAAAGCCACAGGGTTGGTGTTCATCGGCCAATATTATGTCATGAGAAATAACTTGAGAGTATCGCATGTTACTTTTCCCCTATCATTTTTGGCCATTTCATGAATGGTAAAACTAGAAGCCTGTATCAGGCACATTCTTCTATACTTTAGTTTGTATATTTTCCAGGACCTTGAATATGAGATATCTGCACTTAAAGTTTAGTTTTAGTATGTGGCCGCAAAAAAGTTCATTTTTAGTAGAGTTTGAGATATGGTTTTTTCATTTTTAATTTTAATGAACATGTATTGTGTGATACCAACTCAGTATTATTTCCAACAGTATTTCTTGGTCTGTAGCAGCAGATTTAGACTTTTATATCCTAACTCTATATTTTAAAATTTTCCATTCCCCAAAATGGCATCATATAGAATATGATACCTATGCTTGTATCTGAATGGCATGCTTGAAAGTTGAAAAAAAGTTAGTGCTTGACTGGTTTGTCAAGCTTCCTCTGTTAATTGATGCACCATCACATTGCACAGTATTCTGCCTGAATGTGCCTTTTAAGTTCATTTATACTTTTTGAATCTGCACTCTCTTATTATGCACATTGTGCATTTGTAATGATATTATATTATCCCTTCTTGTTTCAGAGGGCTGATCAATGATAAATTGTATGCGGAATCATTTTCTCGGTCTAGATGGTCTTCATCAAGTTGGGGACCAAGGCGAATCAAGCAGGTAACCTAACCATTGTCTTCTTTCCATAATGATTTCTTTTCTCCTCTTGATCAGTAAAATCTTCCCTTTGTCTTTATCTTACTATTGCCAAATATTTTGGTGGTTGCTTAAAAATGAGCGAGAATGCAGTATTTTAAAGAAAAACTTTGGTGCATTTTGACGGCATCTATCAAGTTCAGCTGTACAGTATTCACAGGCACAAGGTTATAAATATGTGACAACAGATGCTGGCAGTGATGATAAAATGTTAGGATCACACAGAATCATAATCATGATGTAGGATAGGAGAATAGAAGCAATCAATACGGATTAGGTTTGGTAGGAACTCTGGTATTTACCAGAAAACCAGTAAGATGCTTCTAATTCAAAATATATGGTGTATTTCATCATGTACACCGAAGACCCCTTTAATGGATGGGTAAAAGTTTACTGACAAGTAAATCTTTTAGGCATGCTTCATGGGTAGGCAGGGTTACTTCGTTATTCATGAAAGACACTCACAAATAAGAGAGTCAACAATGATATATTTGACTAGATTTACATGCAGTTTTTTATATCCTTATTATCAAGTTTCCTGATCAAAACATGACAAGTGTATTCCCAATAATAGCATTAGAGCCATATGATTTAAATTGGGGAGTTATACATTTGTCTAATAAATCATGCACCTGTCATATTATCATCGGAGAAACATGCATTGATTGTGTTTTGATTGAGGGACCTGAATGTTGATAACAAAAACTACGTATAAGTTTTTTTTCCCAAAATATGTAAATTTAGAGATAAAGCTCATTTGATAGAGCACAATGGCGTCTTGCAATCCATGTAGCCGACCCCACCTAGTGGGATAAATTGTAGAGATAAAGCTCATTGTGGCAAACACTAACTAGTGTGCCAGTGTAGATGCAGCTTGCTCAAAAGGTTTTAATCTTTTAGAACTTCTCTAATTCATAATAGTATCCTAAATCCTAATAGGTCTCCAATTCTACCACAATTACCTCATAATTACTCAAAACAATTCAATAAATTGTCCTAAACAATCAATGTGAAAATTATTATATTAAGAAAAATAGTATATGATCTGTAATTGGCCACCTTTGTCTAGCATCATGAGGAGCAAGGCAACGTGAAGGTGATAAGGTTGTGCCCACACACATCCTTTCATATTCTTGTACTTCCTATCATCATGAAGAGAGGTGTTTCTTTCTTTCTTTCTTTTTTTTTTTTTTTTTGATTGGGAGCACTATTTGTGCCAGGCACTATCTAAGAAGGGAGTTAGTCAAGCTGATGCTGAGAAGGCAGTTGAACTGGTTTTCAGGGAAGATATCGATGGGGATCCAGAGTCAACTCTTGGCTTATCAAAACATTCCATCGATCACTTATATGTTCAGGCTTCAAAACAGTGGATCCGAAGCCATGATGTGCCCAAAGAAACAAGGAAATCAAGGGTTGTTCGGTGGCTACAGTACCGTGGCTTTGACTGGGATGTCATTAACTTCGTACTGAAGAAATTAGAGAGGCAGGCTCCACCATAGTGCACAACTAGGATATCCATTTTGCTTGCCATTCCAGGTCCACTACAAGTTTCTTGAAGAACCAGACATTGATGTAAAATTCTGAGTGCTTGTCATTATGCTCTCATTCGACATATAACACATTGGGTATCACACCATTTTTTTTTTAATTCATCTGTGTTGTAATTTTATTTAGAATCTAATAGCAGAGTTATAAAAAATTTCACCTAAATTTTCTCCTTGAACTGCAAGTCCAGTGTTATAGATAGAGTTGTCGAAGTCCTCACTGGCACAAAATGGTGTTCCGACAAGGGCAGACATTTCACCTCATCTATTTGCTTCAGGAAATGATGCATCAGAATACACAAATAATTGCACCTATCCGAATACAGTGAAGCTTACTTTCTGTCACATTGAAGCTGAGATAAAGTAGCAGAAACCACTAAGGAATTGCGGCTTGTGGAGTCAAGTGCTTGCTTCTTCTGGAGAATTGTGCCTGGATGTTGTGGGAAGAGCTAGCTTGTGTATTTTCAGTGTGTGCTTACGGTACAATATTTATATACAGTGCTGTCCAATTACATACAGCAAGTAGCATTAGAGGAGCCTCCGGAACAAAAATTCTGCCATGGATTGGTATTGTGTTCAGTGTTCACTAGGTGGATGATAAACTGATATGTATACATGAGTGGACTTCATGTCATCTTCATTTCTCATTAATCTTATGTGTATTCTGGTCTATCTTACCTACTGTTTGGTTGAAGTGAAATGAAAGGAGGGGAGAAAATTTTTTAATAAGTTCAATTCGACTTAAAAAAATGGACAACTAGGTATAAAATTTTGATTGAGAGAATATGAGTAATTTTTTATTTTATTAGGTGGTTTTGTTTCTAGGCAACATAAACTAGGGGCTTGTCTAATTATGTTTTTTTGATTTTTATGTTCTTAAACAATTCTGCAAAGCAATTTTTTAGAACAAGTTTTGGAAACAAAAAATGAAAAAATATGTTTGAATCATTATTTTAAAAAAAATTAAAACAATTCTATAGAGTAATTTTTTAGAACAAGTTTTGGAAAAAAAAATGAAAAAAATATGTTTGAATCATTATTTTAAAAAAAATTAAAACAATTCCATAGAGTAATTTTTTAGAACAAGATTTAAAAACAAAAAATGAAAAAAAATATGCTTGAATCATTATTCTGAACAAAATCCAAAGTGGTGAAATAAAGGGTTGAAGAATTATTTATTTCATTAACATAATTGTCATTAATGAAAATATGATGTTTTCTACTTTTTTTTTTTTAAGTTTGGCAAAACGAAAGGTATATAAAAAAGATATTCTCAGTTTTTAGTTTCTTAGAATAACTTTTGATATTTTTATTTTTTAGAACAAATAATAAAAAAACATTTTCAAATAGAATTTTTTATTTTTTAAAAGTTACTTTAAAAACAGGTAATCAAACAAGTCTTGGAATCCTAAAAAAATGTGAAGTGCTTTCCTATCTATGGAGTTTTTCTTCCTTCTAAATACATGATAATGATGTTGGTCCAAAAAAGAAAAAGAAAAATACATGATAATGATTATAGGGTGATGCAAATATAACTTTTTTTTGGGTCAAACAATTGTGTTCAACCAATGGTCGAAGTAGATAAGGCTGTATTTTATTTAGAAAAAACGCAGAGAGCAATCATTATCCAAAATATTTTTTTGACTTCTGTTGGGTCGATATATTGAGAAGGAATGAAGACTGAAAAGGATATAATTGTTCTTTTTTTTTTTTCATTTATGTCAACGAAAAGGATATGATCGTTGATGACCGTTCTTCTCCATTTCCACCAGACGAAAGGAGTTAAATACTCAGAGAAGAAATAATTAATATTAAAAATATAAAAATGTTAATAAAAATGCGGAAGAAGTGAGGCTACTAAAGAATATACATATATATGAGCCTAAAAATAAAGTAGGCAATAAAAGTTGAGTTTAAAAGTTCTGTTTAAATAAAAATTTAAACATGAAAAATGAGTAATTTTCAAGATAGTCAGATTTTGAGGCCGAGTCCTAATAGATTTAAAAAACAAAAAACTAAAGTTCTGACAATCCTTCAAACCTTATCACAATTTTTTATTTGTAAAAACTAAAAACACATGGTATGATTATATTAGGAAGTTTTTTAAATTTAGATTTTTTTTTTAAATTTTGAGAATAGGGATGCTTCTTTTATTAAAAAATCTAAATTAAATTATTATTTAAAAGAAGCTTCTTTGATTGTCAACAATTTTCAAAATTAGACATGTTGCATTGGTGGAAAATTAATCAATAATGATTTTTTAATCTTTTAAAGATGACATGTGATATTTAAATATTTTGATCACTACAAAAGTTAAAGAATCAGCTTTTAGCATAGGCTCTTGTATTTTAATAAAGTATCATTCTCACCTTCTTTCAGATAATGTGCAATTTTAATATGTACTTGTGTTTACATGGTTTTGTACTATTTTATGATAATTTTTATATTTTATCTTCTGATATACATACATACATATATATATACATATGATAATGACACAATTTGATTAATATTTATTGTAGGTGATAAATAAGAAGTTGTAGGATAATTGACATTGAAACTTTACCTCCATATTTAACAAGTGAACTTAAATATAAAGAATTTAATATTCTAATTTTAGATGATGATAAAAAGGATTTATATTTAAATTAAAAATTTTAATTTTCATTTTAAATTTAGACTTCTAGATCTTTTTTTGATGTAAGATATTGATTTGTTTTATATCCTATTTAAATTATAATGTTGATTTTTTTTTAAGTAGGCCTATAAGCTTCACCTTGAATTTTTTTAAATAAAGGTCAGGCTTTAAGATTATGCCAAAAATTTAAAAAATTGAGTTTTAGAGTTTGAGCCTGTAAGGACCATGGCCTCTCGGTTTCCATCTCTAACTAAAACCAGAAGCACAAAATGAACAAACAGGTTTTTGTTCTTTTCCTGTATGACTTGCCGTTGGAGTCGTTAGCAATATTGCTTTAAAATTTCTAACTTTTGTAAGCGATATCTCGAAAAATAAAACATAACGTATTAAAAAAAAAGCTATAACCATAATTAAACATGATGTGTGTGTGTGTGTGTGTGTGATGAATTTCCATTTTTTATTTGGATTGAATTTCCGATGACTAATTAAATAGAAAATATGTAGTAATGCATAGTAGTTTTTACATTATATAATATATATTATCAACTGTAGTATCTTTGAAGATATTAAGATTTACTTTATCACCGTCTCTCCTCTCAATCCTTTCCTTTCCAGAGTCAAAAAGTTGCTGTCAAAAACAGAGACAGCCAAATACTACAATTTTAGCTTCTATTTTTTTTTTTTAATATCAGGTCTACAAATAGACTAAAATCAAGTCAAAAATCATAAGACTGATACAATTAGTTGGTGAATTTCTTTAATATCGACCTTTTGCGACCTAATGCAAGAAAAAGAGACACTTAATGACATTTTTTAAAAAAAATTACCCCCTCACCTAAACATTTTTCTATAAGAAAGAGAAATGCACCCGCACACAAACATATCTACATTGAGTTTAAATCTTACACTTCCAAATAAAAAAGATACTCCTTTCATTTAAAAATATAAGGTATTTTTTAAAGAGTTAGTGTTTCAAAAAATAAGACATTTTTAGTCTTTTGATATGTAATTATTATTTTTTTTTAAAATACCTCTATTAATAATGACTTTATATTTATTATATGATGTTTAATAGAGGTAAATACGAAAAGATAAGGTTATTTAAAGTAGGTAACTATTTTATTAAGGAATGATATTCAGTTAAAAATGTCTTATATTTTTAAATGGAAGGGGTAGCTTTTTGACTAGGACAATTGTCTGTTAACAATACTTAATGACATTAAATGTTATAATAATTGGAGATTTATTAGAAAATTAAAATAAAACAATATATGAAAACAAGTACTAAATTAAAGCCGATGCACTAGAAAGCATTTAAGGCAATAAGCCATAAACAATAATTTTCTTAAAAAAATCTATACAAAGAAAATATATACAGTATAAACTGCTTATAATTTAGAAAATGTGTTGATATAGAATGCCCAGTTCTTTTAGTCATAACTATGGATTAATTTCGTAATTAAGCAAGTGATTAGGATTTCAATCACCTTCCTTTAATTAGTTTTTTCTTCCAAAAAAAATTGACTTAACAGGTTCACTTTTTTTCGTTGGTACTGAAGTTGTAATTACTTTGCATTTCAGAAGATGCATGTGCGCTCTCTTATTCACATATACGGCCTTTGAACCTCCAACCGTTTCTCTGTGTCTATTTGTATTTATATTATTTATTGATTTATTTATTTCGGTGGAGGAATTTCTAATCCCTGGTAGGTCTTTATCAGACAGCACATAGACATGTGAACTATTTAACAGGGGACCATGTGAGAACCATCCATAAACAAAGCTGCTTTGCTGTGTTCTTCTTCTTGGAATTTCTATTGACACCTGGAATCTTATTTCATTGGGTAAAACAACACTAATTATAAAAAAACATAATAAGCAAATTAATTTCATGAATAAAAAGTTTAATATACTTTCTCCTTGTTCTTAAAATTAATGTGTTGAAAAATTGTCACTACTTGTGATTATACATTATTTTGGTCCTATTTATAAGGGTAGGAGAAGAATTGTTTTGATCATATTTATAAAACATATTATTAATTTTTTGTTATAAATTTTTTCTTTTACTTCTCGTCAAATCTTGATAAGAAAAAATGTATTATTAAAATATGTAATTGGAAACTTATTAGATTTTTAAAGATAGTTAATGAATTTTAATTTTTTTAATTCCATTAAAACATGTTATAAATTATATTCCTCCGTTCTTAATATAAGAAAGTTAATCAACTTCATGTTTACTAAAAGTGATAGTTATATCTTTAAAATTGTTAGAAGTATATTGTAACTTTTTAATTTTACCCTTTTTTATAATTAGTAACTATAATAAATTGTTGTTTAGGGATACAAATGAAAATGATAACAAGTAAATAAGGGATTGAAAAAAAGGAGATAATTACTTTTACCTCATCTTATATTAAAGAAAAAAATTAATTAAAAATTATCTTATATTAAAGACACAAGGGAGTATTAAAAAGAAAAGAAAGTATATTCTCTCATATACTTATTATAAGGTATCTTTAACTATCTTATTTAAAATAATAAGAGTTGGTTAAGTTATTAAATTTGTATGAAAATATAATAAACTTTCAATTTTAACTTTTAACCTATTTAAGTGAAATTTTTTTAAAATTAAATTGTATTCTCTCTCATAATTAATGAATTTGAATAGAAATAATATAAAAAAATATAGTTAATATCTTACAAAGTGTCTCAGGATGAACAAATCTTTTTAAAAAGTGTAGATATAATATTAAAAAAATATAATTAATACCTTATAAAGTAACTTATATTAAGGATTAATAAATTTTTTTAGAGAGCGTCTTGTAACAAGAGCAGGAGAAAGTACATATTTACACAAAGTTTTACTATTTATCCTATAAATCCCCTTCCTGGTTGGTATCAACATCAACAAACATGCATGCTACTTTTTTTGGCCAAAACAAACATGCATGTTACTACATAAATTTCTTTGTAGAACATTAATTAACCACATGGCCACTGAAATTGAAACCTCGGAAGCAGTAAATTTATACAGACAATCCCATTAATTCGAATTTACTTGAAACTTCTTTTCTTCTCTACGCTAGAAGATTGCGATGAACTCTACTTCCCCAGGTCACAGGCTGCTGATTCCCAAATAGTACACTTTGGCATACATAATTTCAAGGAGACACCTACAATTACATGGGAAATAATCCTAAAAAAAGAATACACATCTTACATCCCAATATAATTTATTTATAATTAGAATTAATATTTTCTTCTTTAGACCGAGTCATCTGAGAAATGAAAGGAACAATTAGAAGATTCATGCGACGAAAGCAGACGCTCAGGTGGCGGAACAGGATACGGCGATCCTTTATGTAACGATGATTTTGCCCTTCTTCAGTTCATCACAATCCAACCTCGAGGATTCAACAGCTCTGATTTCCTTCAGCATCGCCACAACGTCCTTCATCGTAGGGCGATCCTCAGGCTTGGTGCTCACGCACAGGAACGACACTGCCAGAGTCTGAACCATCTCATGCATCGCTGGGTCAGCCCTCCCTCTGAGCTTTGGGTCCAGAATATCAGACGGCCCGCCCTTATTGGCTAAGTGGTCCCGAACCCACTGAACCATGTGTGCGCCACCTGGCAACGTTGGGTCTAGTGGGTGCTTCCCAGTCAACACTTCCAACAGAACCACACCATAACTATACACGTCACTCTTCTCTGTGATTCTCTGCATCGATGCATGTTCTGTACATATTCACAACAATCAATACATGACATTCTGCAAATAAGCTTTCGGGGTTTGAATTGAGAATAAGATAAATGTAACACACATACATGACATTCTGCAAATAAGCTTTCGGGGTTTGAAATGAGAATAAGATAAATATAACACACACACCTGGAGCCATGTATCCGTAAGAACCAGCAAGATATGTTCTATGAAGTGGTTTTGGATCAAAATGATCATGAGCGTCGTCTTTTTCATGAACAATCCTGGCCAGGCCAAAATCTGCAAGATAAGCTTGAAACCTGTCGTCCAGTAACACGTTCATGGCCTTCACGTCTCCGTGAAGTATTGGAGGGAGGCAATCGTGGTGTAAATAAGCCAGCGCGTGAGCCACACCCACCACAACCTCGTACCTGGTTTCCCAATCCGCGCTTCCTTTTCCGGAACCGTGAAGCATCGAGCTCAGGCTGCCGTTGGGGAGGTAGTCGTAGAACAGAAGCTTGAGGTTCTTGTTGGATCCCCATCCTAGAAGTCTCACGATGTTCTTGTGTCGGATTGAACCCAGAGTTCGAATCTCGGACTCGAACGCTCCGGATTCTTCTGATGACCACATTTTCTTAACTGCTAGTTCGCCGATGGAGCTATTGGGGATTGTTACCTTGTACACCACCCCGGAGCTTCCGGTGCCGATCACGTTGGATGACGTCAGGCTCTTGATGACATCATCAATGGAGGAGATTTCGAGCTTCTGATAAAAAGTCATCTCCCATGAGCTATCTTCTATGATCGCTCTGTTTCGGATATGAGAACGTACCAAGGCATAGACTGTGAGAAGTACGAGTACTGCACTTGTGCTTAGGAGAATGGACATGATGATCATTGCTGATCTGCCATGGACTTTACTGGGTCCCACTCTGTCGACCGGAGTCAAACCGTCGGCGCCGGAGATGTAGAGGCCTTTATTTGGGGTGAGGTCACTTAAAGGCAGCCTTTTGAAAAATGGGGTGTCGGGTAATTCACCAGAGAAGTCGTTGAAGGAGACGTTTAAGGATACGAGGTTTTGAAGGTCAGAGAGAGAGTTCAGGTTCCCTGAGAGGTGGTTGTGGGAGAGATCAAGTACACCCAGTTTTGTGAGACCAGAGACTTGAGATGGGATTTGGCCAGAAAATTGATTGAAGCTGAGATTTAAAGAGATTTCCAATGATGGGATTTGGCCCAATTGCTTTGGAATTTCTCCTGAGAAATCGTTGCTTCCCAGGTCTAGAAGTTGAAGCTTAGAGCAAGACGAGATCTCTTCTGGCATTGTTCCACTGAGTTGATTCTTTCCCAGATTGAGTTTGGTCAGTTCAGTTAACGAACCAATGGAACGACTCAGCAGGCCAGTGAGCCTATTGTCCGAGAAATCTATTAATCGAAGACTTCTTGGGAGAGTCTCTGGGAGAGAGCCTGTGAGAGAATTTGAATGCAAGTCAATAAACTCAAGGTTCTCGCATCCAGATAATGTTGGAGGAATCTCCCCCACAAAGTGATTGTTGCTCATATCCATAAAATTGAGATTCTTCAAGTTTCCTATCTCAGGTGGAATGGACCCTGCAAATCTATTCCGGTTCAACCTTAACCTGAAGAGACTAGTGCAGTTTCCTATATCAGGAGGAACAAAGCCTGATAGTTCATTAGAAATAAGCAAGAGTTTAGTGAGATTCCTCAACCCAAAGAGAGATTTTGGTATTGAACCAATCAGATTATTGTAAGACAGGTCAAGTGCGTCAAGATCTTGGCACTCAGACAGACTCTCTGGGATTTTCCCAGTGAGCTTGTTCTGCCATGCAAAGAACAGATTCAAGCTTTTCAAGTTGCCTATGAGAGCAGGAATCTCTCCAAAAAGAGCATTGTTGTCAACTTCCAACTGAGTCAGAGAGTGCAATTTGTAATCTCAGGAGGTATAGTACCTGTCAACCGATTAACACTAAGCTGGATTTCCTCAATATTTGAAAGCATCCCAAAGCTCCTTGGTATGCTTCCAGTGAGGAGGTTTTCTGAAAAGTCTACAACTCTGAGCTCTGTGCAGCTTCCAAGCTCTTCTGGGATTGTACCCACTAGACTGTTCTGCCATAAGAGAATACTCCGAAGCTTTCTGAGATTCGCAATTTGACTTGGGATTGGACCTGAAATAGAGTTCTGATACAAGTACAAATTCTGCAGCTCACTGCAATTCCCAATTTCATTAGGAATTGAGCCTGACAAGAGAGTTGTGTAAATAGCTATGGTTTGAATGTTCTTCAGCATTCCTATTGAAGAAGGAAGGCTCCCAGAAATGCTGGTTTCTGCAAGGCCCAACATGACCAAGCTGGTGCAGTTTCCAATCTCCCATGGCAGCTCACCTTTAAGGTTCTTATTCCCACCAGCTCTGAAAACTTGAAGCCTCCTTAAAGACCCCAGACTCTTCGGGATTGCACCGCTGAGATGGTTGTCATACAAAGTCAAATTCACAAGACTGGAGAGATTCCCAATGTTGGATGGAATATTACCTTCAAGAAAGTTTGTATGTAAAGACAAACTCTCAAGTTTTCTCAGCCTGCAAATATCTTCTGGTATTTCACCAGAGAGAAAATTCCCACTGAGATCAATAGAAACAAGCTCTCCATAGTCTCCAATCTCTCTTGGAATAGAACCTGTGAGGTTGGTTGATGACAGGTCAAGAACCTTCAAAGACTCGAGAGCTTGAAAATTTAAAGGCAATGATGAGCCTTTCAGGTCCACAGATTTCAAGCTTATCTCCTCCACATCCCCTCTGGAGTTGCAGCGAACACCAACCCATTTGCAAGGGCTTGAATCTGAAGGATTCCAGGATGCTAATAAGGCATCCTCTGTACTGTTCAAACTGTTCTTCCATGCAAGAAGAGTTTGTCCTTGTTCTTCAACGGAGTAGCAACATGAGAAGAAGAGAGGAGGAGAGAGTTTATGGAGAGAAGTAAGGTGAGGGAGGAGAATCTGGGAGAAAGTGAAGGATTTCTTAAGCTTACAGGCATTGCTGAAGAGAGAGGAGAAGAACAAGAGAAGTGTATTGGGATTGCAGAGGGGGAAATCCCATGTTTTGTTTATAGATAACGAAGAAGGAAAGAAGATCTGGATCCAAGAGCCAGCTTCTTCTGTATTCTTTTATTATTGTAATGAGTTTTGTTTAGTGATGAAGACATCGTCATACCCATCTTGATGTTTTTAATTCCAGCTGAACCTTGGCTCTTTATATATTGTGTCTCTCCATGTAACCTCTCAAGTATTGGGTTGAATTCTTATGCTTCTTTTGCTGTCTGAATGGATTCCAATTAGTTATTACTCCCTTCTGTTAGTGCCTCATAATGAATAGTTAAGGGTTGATGATTTTTAAATATTTGGATTCAAATTTTTAGGACTATTTGGGAATAAAACCAAATAAATAAATCAATTAGAATGAAGATGAGTTGAATTTAATGATTTTTAAAAATATGAAATTTTTTTATTTATTTCCAAAACGTAATATTTTGTCATATATGCAAGTTAATTTTATTTTATTATTTATAACTCTTTGATACTTTAATTATCATAAATTATAGGGAAAATAACACTAAATCTTCTCGAATTATATAAATGATAATCTGATCTTTCAAAATATCATAATTTTACTGAAGTATTGAAACCTCTGTGCCAATAAATTTTAAATTAAAAAGTTGTGATTTTTTATTTAATTTTTGTGATTCTTTGAATAAAAATTGTAAATAGAGTCTGTTATTAAAAACTTATTTTTGAATAATAAAAATTATACTTGACAAGTAGTAATTTTTGTTCTATTCTTATTATTCACAGAACAAAAATTATTATTTTTTAAATAAAAGTTGTGATTAGGGCTTATTTTTTAAAAACAAAAAGTATACTTAATAAATTATGATATCTTATTCAACTCTTGTGATTCATAGAATAAAAATTATTATTCTTCAAATAAAGATTGTGATTAATTCTTTTTATTTTAATAAGGATAAAATAGTTTATTCACTTTAAAATTTATTGACACAAAAATCCATAAGAACTTAAGTGGAATTATGACCTTTTTAAGGGATTAAATTGTCATTTATATAATTTGGGAGATTTTATTATCATTTTCCCTAAATTATATTTGTTGATAGTATAAAAATAATATATAATTACTTGTATTAATAAAATTTAATAAAGACTTGTGGTTAAACAATAAAGACTTAATTAAAATTTTTATAAATTATAAATATTCAATCACAAATTTTTCTGAAAATTTTGAATAAATTTATATATAATAAAAATATATTTTAAAAAAATAAGATTAAAACCTGAGAAATTTTCATTAGCATAGATTGAGAAGGACATTTGAATTTAGATAGAGATGAAAGATATTGAGGATTATGAGCGATAAAAAAAAAAAAGAATAGATATAAAAATGAGGAAAGAGAATCATAGTGATGTAAATTTCAACTATAAGATAGATATGTGTTGCCCACATGGACACTACTGTTATCTTGTTCATCCTGATATGGTCATTATTTTTCATCTTCAAACATTGAGGTGATATGGTTGGCAGGGAACATGGCTAGTGAAATTGCGATAGGTGAAGCACTTTTATTTATATATTTAGATGGGTTTCTCTGATCTCACAGAAGTGAAAGGCTGATTATCAAACAGAAGAGACATTATAATCAAAGTGATTAATTAATGTGAGAGTTTAGGCTCTGAGTTCTCTTAACCAAAATCATAATTCTCTTCCATTTGCTTTGCTTGGCCCATTTGTGGTCCATCTCTTTTTTGTGGCCCCTGTTCATTAATCACTCACATGTGGTTCCTACTTGTCCCTATTCTTTCAAGTTTTATCTGCAAAATCATATATTTCTTTTTTGGGCAAAATTATGTTCATGTCCGGGATATATGAATAGTCTGATTATTCACATTAGTCGTGACATAATATTTTAAATCTTGAATATATATTATTTTCAAGAGAAAATCTAGGTGAATTGGCCCAACGCATTAATTAGGGTCAAAGTAGGCTTTATGTAAACACTTACTATAAAGATTGCTTATTAATAAGTTCCCTCTTATATGGGTGTAATATTATAATTATAATTATATATATAGTGTAATTATATATTTATATTAGTTATGACATAATAATTTAAAGCTTGAATATATATTATTGTCAAGAAAATGTTTATATGAGTTGGTCTTGTAGATTTATTAGTATCATATAATATTTATGTAACGTTTCCAGAAACATTTACAAATAACTTATCAATAAAATTATCCTCACAGACTGTAAACTTATGTCTTTTTAGAATTTTGGTTGAATCTTTAACAAATTTGCCCACACACACATATTGTGTCATATATTATGTTGACACACTTGGAGTATAAATTTGGATTATTATATGTCTATTTTAACGTCGAAGTGTAAGTAAAAATTCGTTTTATTTTTAAGTTACTTTGTGAACTTAATTTTCTTTTAATTTAGGCAAATGAAGAAGTTTAAGTATGCTTTGTTGTTTAAAAAAAAAAACAGGAAAAAAATACAGACTATGGGATAATGTGATAACTCGGCGTTGCTGGTTTTTTTTTTTTTAAAAAAAAACTCTATAATTTTATCCTCTTTCTCTCATGATATAACATTACCAGAATGAGAGCCACATGTAGTAATTTAGTAAGTATTTACTTACCACAAAAAAAAAAACTCTAAAACGTGTGACCAAAAAGGGATTAAAAATAAAAAAATTTGGTAAAGAAAAAAAGCTAATACAATATATTTTAAATTTTTGTCACCGTTTCTTATACGCTTGTAAAAGATATGAATCTAATACTAACAAGTAATGACGTTCAATAATCTTCTTTGATCTTTTTCTTATTGAATGAAAGTTCACTGTTAATTTTGACCAGACTAAAGAAAGTTAAATATGATATAATTTAGACCTAAAAAGTTGATATAAACAATAAATTTCTAACGTATTACGTCAAATTTCACATCCCATCACATGCTTAGCTCTATTATTAAGCCTAGCTATATGCTTTGAACATCCATAATTAAGTAGCTTAATTTAAATAAATAAATCAATTAAACAAAATCTAGTATTGACGCCTTTGGATTTGTTTACATAAAGATTGAAGGAAAGCATGTGAAATCTGATAAAGACTTGAAGTGCACATGAAGGTGAGGAATATTAAAATTAAAAAATAAAAAGTTTTATTTAATAGTTTGAAATTTGGTCGTACTGTGTGTTGTTGCTTATGCTATAAAGAATTAAAAGAAAAGTAAGAAAAGAACTTGGTGACCTTAAGTGGAAGGGACAACGTTGGATATTAAATTGATGTCATTGGAAAATCAGAGCCATATGAATACAAAATAAAAACAAATTATTTGTTTAAATATTTCTCAGTTGCTCATCACCCACCATGTGATCAGTAGTCACAGGTTATGCAAGAAAAGTTTCTTAGAAAAATTAAAATATTTGAGTTTTCTTCCATTTAATCCCTTTAATTTAAAATTTTCCCATAAAAATATTTATTTATTGTATGAAATTCTTTCAAATGTTACTGATGTGTTATTATATTTTGTAAATTAAAAATTTATTAAAATTTCTGATGTGAATGGTTGTAATTATTATTGCATTAATTACTGAGAAGATTTGTCACTGAACTTGTTTTTTTTTTCTCGGAGATTATGTGAGTTATACACTTCCTTCTGTTTCAGATTATTAAAATGGGAAAAAATTTTACTAACAGCCGCTTTGATCTATCTTTTTTTAGATTAATAATTAAGAAAGATCTCTTTCAAAGTTAAAAAGGCATGTTTGCTAATTGTTATGGATTATGATGTTAGGTTAATTAATTTTTATTACCTTGGCCAGCAATGTTAGGTTAATTTTTAAAAGCATTTGGAAAATTAAGTGCATTATAGATTTGATGGATTAATTAACTCCTGTTTTAGTTTGGATATTTAAAAATAATTTTTTTGAATGCAGCTTAATAAAAATTTCAAAAAAAAATTGGGCGGTTTATTTTCAAATTAAAACAAAAAATGGGTAATTTATTTTAATTTTTAATAAGAAATTAATGTTAAAGGGCATGCATAAATATGCCACCTCAATGCAATTGTTCTTAAAGCATTATTTATAAAAGCATGTTACAATTATTTTCTTGTTTCTCTCTGTTCAAAACAACAATTTACAAAAATTAATATAAAATACAAAACAAATAACAGCTTACATTATCTATAAGTTATGAGCAACATAACTTAATTTCCAAACTACGAATAATGCAAAAGGAACAAAAATCCTTTAAAAACAGTATATGAAACATGTGAGTGGGATTGGTATCAAGCCCTAAAAAATGAATCTTGAATATGATTAGCACATTTGGTTGATATGGATACATTGAACATCCCTAAGCTTTAAACATTTGATGACTGTGTTTAGGTGCATTATGAATCTTTTGACACTTATAAGAATGTTAGTTTATTTGATCTCTGATTTTTTTTTTGAAAATAAAAATTAAAAGTATTAATTTCAACGTACACAAAAGGTTTTCATTTAATCAATAAAAAAGTAGGGCTACATTCAATGAGTGAGACACAATAATTTAATAATTTTGGAGAGGGTATTCTCCCCAAAGTGCAACCCCACCACTAATTGAATAGTTAAGTGTTGTTTAAAGAATGGATTTGTTTGTAATTAATGAGAGTTTGGGGCACACGAATGGGATGATGTCACTTGTGTTTTCATCTAATAACCAATTAAAAGTTTAAACCAACTTCACCCCCTTTTCCATTTCTTGTTAGTTAATTAGTCTAATCATGTCAATATCAAAATCCATAGCAAATTTACCCTTTCATATTATCAATCAAATCCAATAAATTATTTAAGTGAACGCGGCTTCTGTTTGTCATATGGGATTTGAAAATACATCATACTATTTACGCCTCATAATTAATAGATTTATTGAAGTTATTATATCATGCATAGGCATAGAAATTAGGGCAAATTGGTTCATTGGTTAAAAATAAATCTTGTGCCTTTAAAATAATGACCAAATTTTTAAAAATTTTGAAATATGACTTGTTCACATTAATATATAAAGAATTATTATTAATATATGAATGGTTTATCATTGAAAATTTATAAAGTATTTATTATTAAAATACAATAATATATCATTGACAAATGAATCAACTGTAATATAAAATATAATAATATTTAATTGTTTGTTTAGTTTGGTCTTATAACATGAGTTATATTTGCAAAATTTTTTATAAATTAATACTTGTTATCCTTATTTTGTGATTTAAATTTTAGGTTAGAGTTCTATTGTCTTTTGAAAACAAAAAAATAACTTATTTTGAATTAATTCTTCTTGTTTAAAATTAATTTTTATAAAAATAAAAAATTATAATGTTTTATTTCGATTTTGTGTGGGCTTTCTCTATTATTTTCGATGTTATCCTCATGTTTTCAAGGGAGCTTAACAATATATTAAAATTTAGGGATGAAACTAAGACAAGATTAACATGTATATTCATTTAATTAATTTTCAACATGACTAAAAAGTTTAGCCATTTGAACATGTTTTTGGATCTTAGTAATTAACTAAAATAAATAGCCATCACTTTTTAATGGGTCAATTGTTGATAACGTTCTTGTGATAATTAAGATCATTGGTTGAAACAAAGTTCCTTTACACACCCCAAATCATACGATGGGAATTGAGAAATCTTAAACAAACTCAATTTACAAAATAATTTTATGAACTATAAGTAATTACAGAAAAATAAACCAATACATTTAACATTTTTTTTTAATTACAAGAGGGTTTGAATCTTAATTACTACTTACATCCAATTTTTTGACATAATCCCATGTGGCTATCAACATATTTTTAACATAAAATTAATCTTTGACATATTCCTCTGATTTTATATACAAGTAAATTCTAATTACCTTATTAGATTCAATGAAAGGTAGTTAAATAATTGATGTATGAAAAAGAAAGAAATTTTTTAATTTAAAATATGAGTAAATAGAATCTTAAACTCTTGCTCAAAAATCGTCCTAAGTTTTAAAATTTTAAAATATGTAAATAAATCCTGAACTTTTAAATTTATAGCAAAACAAACTCTGACCATAAATTTTTTTAATACCGTTACTTTTCACGTGGGTATTATAATAGTCAATGTTAAATTTGTAGACAGTAATGAAGTTAAAAAGTTAATGGTTAAGGTTTATTTTGCTGTGAATTTAAAAGTTTAAGATTTATTTTACGTATTTTAAGAGTTCAGGATTTATGACAATTTTTGAGCAATAGTTCAAAATTTTTTTGCTTATTAATCCTTATTTTTTAAAACACTTCCTCTCTCAAGTCATATGTAATATTTTACTCAACTTCTAGAAAATTATGAAAGGATAAGATCAGAAGAAAGTAATTAATGATTCACTTTTTTACACAAAATGACTTATAAAAAGTATCAATTTTTTTAAAAGATGGTTTTAGTATTTATCTTTACAATATGTTCCTCTAGTCTTATATACAAATTACTTTTAACTACCTCATCAAATTCAAGGAAAGGTAGTTAAATAATTGTTGTTGTTTGGAAAATTTTTTTACATGTATTAAGTTACTTATATTTATCCTTACAATATATTTTTCTAATATTAGTTCAAAATATAAGTAACCTAATGCATATAATTTTTTTCTCATTTTTACTCTCGTATTTATTAATTTAGATTCTTGTGTAAAGTTATATCTTACTCATGATGAAATACATTGATAATTAAAATTAATGGTAAAAAGAAAAAAACAATATACTCCCTCTAGATAATAAAATAAGACATCTTCTAGAAACATTACATGATTCAAAATATAAAATATTAAATAACTTTTATATTTATTTTTTTAACTATACCTCTACTTCATTTATTATTCTTTTTAAAAAAATCAAGCATTGAAATTTTAATTACTATTATAAAAAATCTAATATAAGGTATTTAATGAGGGTATAAATCAAAAGATATAATTATTTTTAAGAATTTAAGGTTTCAACTAACATTATTACTAAATCGTGAATTAATTAATTATGGTTTATATTATAATTCCAATGGATTATATTTTTATGAAAATGAAAATTTTATTGGTATGCCATTTGAGAGAGTATGTTTTAAACATTTTCTCTCTCACAAGTCATATGTAACATTTTTTTTCTACTTCTAAAAAATTATGAATATGAAAGAGTAAAATTAAAAGAAAGCAATCAATGGTCTACATTTTATACAAAGTGACTTATAAAAAGACTACCAATTTCTTTTAACAGATGATTTGCATACACAGCTAGAGGGAGTATTTATTCAAGATTAATTCAATTTATAAATTTTTTTCAGACAAATCAACACAAGATCCCCCCCCTCCCAAAAAAAAAAGCGCCTTCATTGTTTGCCTTAAGGCCTCCCCTGGGGGGTGGTGGACCCAGGGAAGGTATAGCGTTGTTCTATCAAGAGACAGTTTTGTCCTGAATGGAAGGCGCACACGTGCAATGAAAGAGTAAGCAATTAGTGAATGGGATTGCACATCATGTGGACTTTTGAATCCCCAAACAGTAATTATAAATTGATCAATCCAACAAGAAGATTTGTCACTTGACATCAACCCAAAAGTCCCATCACAATCTCTCAATCACATGGGTCCCACCGTCCCTAAAGACTTATGTCATCTGAGCTGCCAAGTTGCTCTGCCCCATTTCACACACGAATGGAGAAGATCATTATCATCACCTTCAACAACAATCAATATATCAATTCCTTGTTTGCTTCTAATCTTTTGGTCCCATTTCCTCCAACTTGTGATTACAACCTAAATCATCCAGATAATACCACCCTCAATCCACATCTTTATGATTGAAAACCAGCCTCAACCATGGATAATATTGCCGTCAAATACTTGAGACTCATTTTCCAATGATAATAGTCCAATTCTATCGCTAATGTTACTTCATGAGATTTGAACGTTGAGTTCATAAATGAGTCCCATATCTTATAATAATAGAAGACTTTGATCATATTGATTTACATCCATCAGTCTGGATGTGCCTTCTTAAATCTAACATTTATTGTGCTAATTAAAGAGATTATGATAGCAGTATAAAGACTATGGCCATAATTTTTGGTAACACCTCTACTCCCCAGTAAGTGCTAATTTGTCGACAATAACTAGCCGTAGACATTACACGTGAAGGAAAGCTGTCCTTTCTCTTGAGTGCTTCTCATGAGCAAAATCTTCTAGGAAGATTCAAAAGGATTAGGATGATCTCGTGGATTGATTAGTTTGAATCATTTTTTTGGCACTTTAGCCTTTGTTTTTCTCCATGACTTCACTTTCCTTCTCAAAACCCTTCAAAGTGCTCCACTGAAAATTGAGTTTTGTATACGCTCGATGATGAAGATGGCCTGTGCCTTTCAATAATTCCATTACAAAAAGATGTAATTAATACCACAGAACCACGACTTGCTCCTTAATAATCTTCATATTAAATGTCAATTCTCGGTCCCATCTCATTATATCGGTCCAAATATTTCCTTAAGTTCAGGGTTTCTGTTCCCAAATCACTTTCCAATGATAAATTATTGCAGGTAATGGACGCAAAGTGGGACTGAGCTTCTTGACCAGAGAGTATTAAAAAATCTTCCTTTTTACCTGAACCACACTACCTCGAACATGTCCAATCAACTCCACACGTTTAGTATGCTTAGGCTTTTTTGTTTCTTTGCACTTGTGTGTGTGTAAAGCACACTGCTCTTGGGGCCTTTCGCCTCCATATTTTACTTTTACCCTTTGTTCTCCATCTTCAACATAATAAAATTATGATAATCACAAATATGATAATTATAAATGACAAACTCGGGATAGCTCTGGTAACTTAAAAGCACAATCTACTTAATATTGCATTTCTGTAGCAAACATCAATTCTCAAAATAAGAATAGCAATAAAAGAAGTTAAACAATATGTTAAATCCATGAAGCGAGAGCCAATTCCAACTATAATACACGATTAACCTAGGTCAGAAGTTCCATAGGAAGCATATTTAGGCCCTCCAGATCCGGAAAATGTTCTTACTTTATGGTAACCGATTCAACTATTTTAAAAAGTTGGGGGGGGGGTCCTGGACAATTGTCTGGAGGAGCAGAAGTGGAGGATGCAACCAACTGATACTGATATAACCGCTGATAGAACCAACCAATTCAATCAGCATCAAAGCATTATGAACAATTATGTTATCTAACGTACATGATCATGATGCTGGCAACAATAGTAGAGTTTGAATGTGAAGATATGGTTATCCCACTTGTAATCTTTAACTTTGATCTCCGGCCTCTGGTTAACAAACTACTGTGTTTTGATCATCATCTCATGTTATTCCTCACCCTTATACCTCCATGCTATTTTTAAAGATAACAAATAGGTCCAAGGAAGGAACAAAGTCGCTCTCACTGGGACTAATCAATGTTTACAAAGGCTCCGCTAACATCATTGAGAAAATTGCCAAGTTGAGCTAGGTTCATGGTTCAAAAAACAAACTATTTGACCATCATTTCAGATCTCTTGATTTAATCAAGGGTAAAAAGTAAAACTAAATGGGAACACCTCGGCTCCCAGCTAAGCCTTGATTTTATTGCAGCAATTCTACAAGTAGTGGAAAGCTAGTTCACGTCCGCCTACTGCAGCAATTTTGACTTGATCAGCCAAGATACTTACCCCCTGTCGCACGATCAAGTTTTGCCATCTACTTGAAGAGAAATTGCAGATTCCCTCTCATAGGCAGATTCACAACCACTAAATAGCAAAAAAAAAAAAAATTATAGTAGATAAGGTGAAACTCTGTAAGAAAATATTCTCATTAAAGGAAATGGTAATAAAAGAATCATTTATAAGAAGTGATGGTACAGGAAGCGAAAGTGTATTGTAGCACATTGACCAGACTATGTTCATTTGTGGTTAGCAGCTTGTATCAGGAAGGTAAATGTATTTTCTTTTCTAGAAGCAAGTCATAAAGATCGAGAAAAATCCATGATTCACAACCATTGATGAAGGAATCCTCACAAAGTTATGGATTGGAAGTGGCTATATAACTTCGGAGAGAACAAGGATGATGCTTGAACTTAGCAATAGCAATGTTCCCGGATCAGTTCAAAGCTTCATCTGAGATTCTAAGATAACTACACATTCACAAGTATCTACTCTACAGACAAATTGCTAACCTCACTCCCTGTTAACCAAAATAATGTCATCTCCCAAAACATTTCAGAATTGAAGAGGTAAAAGCAGAAGACAGGAATTTTATTCCAGCAGATCCTCCAGGGAAATATGATAAGGCATAATATCCAAGTGCTAGAACCTGCAAAAATTTTAATCAAAGATTGAATTAGAAAGAAAAATGAATCAATACCAATCATATAAAGAAAAATCTGTAGGGAAGACATATTTCGGTATTTCCACACACCCAGTGGGTGGAGTCATGTCATGGAACCCACGCCCATCACAACAGAAATGGACACAGGGATACGGTTACAAGGTCTACATTCATTCCCGAACAACAAATGTTGCTAAACATCACATGCAAATGCCTTTAAACAGACTACAAATAAATTGCATGCATTAACAATAATACACACAGAAGAGCAATCCAACAGAGAAATTAAAAAAAGAAAAGAAAAGAATAATTTTTACATCTCATGAGAATGATACCTGTAAAACAGAGAATATCACAGAGAGAATGTAGCTGTGAAGAACCATAGATACATATATGGTGCCGAACATGGTGCCGACGAAACCCAAAGTGAAAGGAAGCCTCTGAATAACAAGCAAACAGAGAAGGGCAAGAGGAAAGAATCAAACACATGCAATAGATCAAGGACACTGTCTTCTTTACCCAAACACACAAATTGGAAAAGTTATTTTATCAACATACAAATAACAGAAAATATAGTTCATAAAAAAAAAAAAACAGAAAATATAACATAGAATAGGTACCTCTTTTGATAACATGTGGACAAGCTGATTCTTTGCACCCTTGAGAGCAAAGAATGATCCAATAATAAGTCCACAGCCAAGAGTAAAGCATATAGCAAACTTTTGGGGCATAACCACCATAACAGGAAGGAACATGGTGAATGCAATGAATACAAAGAAGATCCCGGTCGCCAAAAACAAACCAAAATACATGATTGCCTTGCCAGAAGGAACATTACTAGTAGCAGACTGAAAGTTTCCATGTATATTGCTAACACCCTTAGAGAACCTAAACAATTGTTTTTTTTAAAAAAAAAAAATTAACTTGAAGACATTAGTGTAAGTAAAACTATAAAAAAATATTGGCCTCTAACCAACATGTTATTTCACCATGACACATGAGCAATTCAATTAAAAAAATTGAGCTTTATCCAGCCGTTTGTACCATCACAGGATGAAGCCAGAGAACAGTATCACTGACTTCTCTGCCATATTCACATCAAGTAAAATAGACGGGAAATGCTTTTTTCATATAGAATTGCATTGAAAACTTGTGTCAGTTACAGTATGTCTAAATATATTAGCAAAATCTGGAATAAAGGGATAAATCATGTATTTATGCATGTAATTCATTTAATCAAGACTTACTTCACATACAGGGTGGAAGGAACTTAGAATAAATTATAGTTGTCGACGAAACCATCACATGCATCAAGGGCAGTTGGGGAATACTGCGTGTCATTGCACATGGCGCAAGCTATAAGAGGAACTTTCATTGGGACACTTATGACATAGACTCAGTATTCTTGTCCCACAAGCCTAGCCTCTCCTACGTTTTGTCTCAATCTCTTACAAACATTGGACCTCACTTTCAGGTCAGTTTCTCCTGCCATTCTGATTATTTCTTCCCAGATTCATCTTCTTTTCTAACCTTTTCATTACCTTTTGTTCTCTAATTAATTTTTTATCTTAAACAAACATGTATTTAGACTGATGGAAGGTACTTTATCTGGGGGGAAAAAAATAGACTATAGTGGCAATTTTTTTGGTTTGAAGGGAAGTTAGCATATATGTTGGCAAAAGAGATGTGTGTATAATTTACTCTAACTATTACATTATGGATCTACTTACTAGGCATTTTTCCGTTCATAAAGTATAATATGCAAATAAGGTGTTATTATGTCATATTTATATCATTATTGCAAATCCATTGTGTGCAGAAGTATATGCTAGGGGAATGGATGGATAGGGGGTTATTTCAGGATAAACTTTTGTATGTTAATATCTGGAAAATCTAAAGTTCAGCTTTGACCAAAAAGTTTCAAAAACTTCGCATATTATCCTCTATTAAAGTTGCAAACCCTATATCCACTTACATAAAGAATCAAATAATGTTGTCAGTCAAATGGCCTCACATATTCCACCCAGGCAGAATATACACTTTATTTGGTCAGTCTCGGTCCTACTCATCCAAATTCTAGATCCTGGAAGCTCTTTTCCAGAAGAGTACCATCTTCAAAACACATGAACAAAGAGACATCATTCTGTACGGTCTGATTCTCTAAACCATTTTAAGCAGGAGGTTGGGTGTGACACATACATTTGGAGAAGCTGAAAAGCTGGACAAGAAACTTATCAGGACAGGGAATCCTGGAAAACAAATAAAACTGAAGCAAAAGCATGGTATAACCTCCGATGTTTTATTTTTCATACAAGCTATAATAACACCTTTACAGTTGATAGACAATTCTAATTATATAATTAAATAAATTATATAAATATCATCAAATAGAGAAAGGGACTATCCCAAACATCACTTCATCACCAAAAAAAAAGAAAAGGTTGTTATGTGCTTATCAACATCAATAAATATACAGTGAAAGTGTTTTCTGTGTAATATTTTGTTCCATGAAAGTGCAACGAAAATATAAGGAAGTCTTCATACCACTTCAAATATATGTATGGAAATATCATAGAAAATCTAGCAAAAGTCCAAAGTTATATAAACTTGAAACCAGAGTACAGACAACATCACTATCTAGTCACCACATCAGGCACATACACTAACAAGTATGCCTTTGAATTTTTAATCAAATTAAAATTATTAAAGGGATTACTTTCCCCTATAAAACCTACTACATTACCAATCAAGGAACCTTGTTACGTACTTATCTGTATTATTAAAACCAAGCGGAAACTGCTTTTTTCTTGGCATAATTGCTTGGTTCCCCGAAAGCTCATTGAAAAAAGAAAGACAGGAAGTTACTTCAAATATGAGTTTGGGGATATCATACAGAAAGAATGCCCATAATTAGTCAGCATACTATGGCAAAAGCCTTTAGTTATACAATCTCCGACGGGGGAGTACGGAAGACATCACTAATTAACCATCGGATTATGCATATGCACAAACAAGCATGCAATAGCATTAATAATATCGTAAGTTATTGCACAAAGGCAACCAAGTATTCACAAAGTTCAGAGAATCCAACACAAGGCTAACTCAGAAATAAGAAGCCGTGGGAATGGTTTACACATTGAAAGTTCCAGCGACAGTGTCGTTAGCCGACCTAACCGCTGCTTCCACATCGAAACCAAAACCCAAATCGGAGCTGTCCTGCGAGTTCTGTGACGATGTGTAGGAATTCCACTGGTCCGACAAAGAAGGCGACGGTTTACTGAGGTCTTCATTGTAAGAGCTCTTTGAGAACCATCCCTGAGCCATTTTCTGCAATTTTTGCTCTGTTTTGCTTCCTTGGCTCTCAAAACCCGAGTACCAAAATACAATCAATCGAAGAAGTTATGACAACATTCGAATTCAAGGCGCTGGAATTGTTCACAAACCAACACCATCTTCAAGAAAGCAACTTCGTGATATCGAAAGAAGGAAAAATGGAAGAGGCGTGCGCTTCAGGCTCCGGGACTCGGTCTGGTTTTGTGGTGCAACAGTTTGAAGTTCGAGCCCCAAGATTGCGTGCAAGTTAAGAATTAGATAGCCTCGGGCGCTTGTGGCATAATTGGGAAAAGTTCGGAGAGAGAGGGGGCGCGATTGGAAAGTGGCGCAAAGTTTTTCTTAATAAAATTACTGGTCCCCCGATTAATAATATTTTAAAATGTAATTATTAATTTTTAAAAAATATTCTTATTAATAATAACTTTATAATTATTATAAGGTGTTTAATAAAAATAAATATAAAAAGATAGAATTAATTAAAAAGTGAGTAATTACTTTATTGAGGTGAGATTCGGGATAAAGAGCGAGTATTAATTTCTAAATTTTCTTTTACTTATTAATTTATTTTCTAAGCTTTAATATTATACAATTTAATTTTCATAATTTATTAAGTTAAAAAATTGTGGAGACTGTATTATATTAAGTCAAAAAAATTTAATGACCAAAAATTACATTTTCCTTTTTTCTCGGGCCAGACAAATATTACAAATGTTTACCTTAAAAAAAATACTAAGTAGGGATCATGGGAACTTTTTTCTATTAGAAGAATATATAATCATTTTTCCTTGAGTTCTAATATTTATATACCTAGCACTTAAGGTTACAAATACAATGGAGATACATGAATGCTTTCGTGTCACCAAATCAGAAAATTGAAAAACTGAAATGATGCAATAATGCTCTAAAGTATGATAAATTGATATTCAATTCTTATGAAACAATTTGAAAGGGGAATGAAACTTGTAATCTCTCAAGTTTGTTTCAATCATTGATTTGAGCCATCAAGTTTAATTTTTATCATTTTAATCCCTTATATTTTTTTGAATTATCACATGAGTTTTTTAAAGTTTTAAATATTAATTGCCTCTCAAAATAATCTAATTTATAAAGTATATTAATAATTTGACATATACATACAACTAAATAAGAATAAATTAACCCTTAAATTAATTTAATTTTTAGCAATATAATTCCTTTCATTGTGTTTTGTTTTTTTTTTTATTTTTTTTAAATATGTGACATTTCCTTTAAATAATAAGGATCAAAGCAATAATTAAAATAAATTTAAGAGACTAATTGTTAAAAATTAAATTTGAGAGACTAAATATATATAACTAAAATAAATTTGAAAAGCTGAAAATTACCTTATTCTTAATTTTAATTTTTACAACTTTATTAAATTACTTGACTTGATCTCTATTTTTACCGGGTACATGACTTTAATAAAATACGGGACCTTTCACTCTTCGCACAATTTGAAACGGGGGAAATTAGTGAGTCTGTGGCAGCTAGAATATAATTACCATCCGCATTAGGTATTTTTAGGTTTGTTGACAAAGATATTTTTAGTTTTTGACCATTCAACCTTTCATTTAAAAAATGGGCCAAAAAAATTTTGATTATTAAAAAAAAAACTAATACAAAAAGATGTTAAAATTGTGGATTAGTAGTCTTATATACGAGAAGTCAAAAGATAAGCGCATAAAACTCTCAAAATACAAATGAAGGGATACTCAAAATTTTCAAAAGTTGAACTTCGAAGACCAAAGGCTCCTTTGCATGAGAAAAGAGGCTGCGTCGAGGACCAAACTGCATTCAACAACCAAAAAACTTCAAATCTGCAATGTTTTGTATAATCAATGTCAAACTTGCCTTATTAACTGCATATCTAACCTCTTCTGGTACTGGCTTCAAGTTCTCATTCACGTATCCTACAGAAGGTGGCACCAGTGCTCTTCTCTTTCCTACAAACGAAACTCACGAATATGAACATAGGAAAAAGAAACTGAATCCTTTCACACTTTCTTACTAGCTAATTTTCCAAGTAAAAATGCTGAAGATTCAAATTAGGTCGACAGCGGTAGAGCGACGTGTATGCAGACAATGATATTAAAAACCATCGTGAAAGGAATATGAATCCCGGGCCAGAACAGAAGAAAGACAAGAGAGGTATTAAGACTTGCTTCGTGACAAGAAAGTTATTTAGACCAATTCAGTTGTAAAAACACATCCATGCATGTCAATTCTCAAAGGTGATTTTTACCCAAGTTGACAACATGCTTACACATCCCTTGAAAATTGGATTGGTTTAGGTAACTTATATAGACAGGTTCCATATAAAAATCTCAAAAAATTAACAACTGATGATAATCATCTTTGAACTTACCACCAACTCTCATGCCAGTCAGGACCTCCTTCAAGCCTTCTATCATCTGTTACAAGAATTCCCAGACTAAGTTTTGCTTTCTGGTTGATACCAGATCATCGAGAGTTGGATTGTCAACGTACTAACCAATTTTTGGATCTCAACTTGATAAACAGAAATGCATCAAACCCTTAATCTTTAAAAGAACAAAAACTTGGCAGAATAAAGGGGGTTAGCTAAAAATCAGGTCTACTTTGCAGTCTAAGTTTTGATGGATTAATATTGTTTTATGTCATCGTTCCATTCTTCTTCTCTTCTCTCTCCTATCATTCTCTTTCTTCTCTAAACTTCATCTTTGCATCAAACCTGGTATTTTGAATGACAAATACTTGTTAAAATGAATAGGGAAAATATATTTACAAATCCTTATAATTTCATTCAATTTTAAATTAGGTCTCTACAATTTATTTTGTTTTAATTGAACTCTTATAGTTTGATCAATTAAATTTTTTAATCCTGAAGGTTAAAATCCTTAAATTTTTCCTTTAAAAAATTATTTTTTTATATTTTTATTAAATAATGATATGACTTTAGAAACAATTACATAATTTTTATAACTCAAAATTTATATAATTAGGTTGGCTTTTAAATATATATATATATATAGAATTTTCAAAAAAAATTAAAAAAATGAAAATAATATATTAAATCAAATTTTCTTTTTTCAATTTTGGCTAAAAGCATTAAATTAATATTTTGTAAACTCAAGAGTATTTTTGTTTCGTGAAATTTAATAATTTATTATCAATTTAACCTTTAGGGGCTAACATATATATAATAGATCAAATCATAAGGACTTGATTAAAATAAAATAAACTACAAGGACCTAATTTAAAATTGAGTGAAACTGTAAGGATTTGCAAATACATTTTCCCAAATAAATAATAAAAAGTTATTCATAAAATGATGAGGCAATAGCTAGAGTTTAGGAATGTAATTTCAAGTCACTGAACTTCAAATGACTTGAAATAATATGAAAGGGTTAAAATTAAAGAGCCAGTAATTTCCCTAGCATAATTTTAGAAATGATGACGCCAGTATCTACAATTGCAGGTATTTGCTGCATCACCACTGATATGACAATCGTAAATTAATTTCTAACAAAAAAGGATTTCCCCCAACAAGGTTGGTCTGATCCATGGGAAGACATTTGTAACCGGACCTAGATACCCAGAGTTCAAATGCTGGCACCATCATGTAAATAAGTTACTCTCAACTTTTCCCATTCAACTCAGGAACTCCATTTAACAGTATCTAAATTCCATAAATCGAATGAAAATGGTAGAGAAAAAGGATAAACTTCATCTGCTAGCCATGTTTTGAGGTTCAATGGAATTCATAGATTGAGTGAAAAGAAATTTCTGACCTGATTCTCATCCAAAGGAAGTATGACGGGTTTACTTTCTCCACTGAATTGATTCACAGTGCTATCATCAATCAAAGTATGAAAATGAAGCAACAGTAAAAGAATTAGGTTAGATATTACTGGAACAAAAACAAGAAAGGGAAATTATGAAACAAGAAACTGAACGATACACATTGTCTGCAAGTCCTATTGTCATTTGGATCATGAGAATTAATTTAGAATTAAGATTTTCATGGATATAATTACAGTTGCAAAGGGAAAATTCACGGTATGAAGCTACCTGTAAACAAAATATCCATTTGCACGCCTGCATACATAGTTGAATTCAACCAAATCTCCACTATGTGCTTCTGGTCCTTCCCCTTCAACAATATCTAATATGAAAATTACATAGAAAAGCTAATTATTTGCAAATGTTGGCACTGACTGCCTAATGTCTTTTTAATCAGATGGAAGGGTGAATGTACTAAATGCACGATGTTTGTGTTCAGTTAATTGCACTTCCAATCTAAAGAAGCATAGAAGGATTGATATATTTGGTATATTTTTATAATTTATTATTTATGGGAAGTTTTAGTTGAATTAAGATTAGGGATAGTCTTAATTAGATTAGGAAAATAAGTCTACAAAATCTATAAATAGGATAGACTACTATTTTGTTTTGCGACTTGGATTATTGAATGAGAATTGTGTTTCCACTATCTCTTTCTCTGGTTCTCTTTTCTCCTGTTCTCTCTTTTCCTCTCTCTTTCTCAACTAAATACCATAACAGAAAATCAATCATCAATCATTAAACCAACACCATGTGTTTTGGCAAGTAGCTGCATCAAATAGTGATGAGGCTGAGCAGTTTGAAACTTGTCTTATTGTGCAAAGGGATGTGGTATTTTAAGAATGCGAAAAACTAACTCATCAAATGTTGTTTTGACAAACAACATAAATCATTTTATTTAGGAAGGTATTGCAAACACAGAATTTTGCAAACTCATGGATTGGCATTGCAGAAATCAAATTCTTGTGTCTTCTAAATTTCATCATCCAAACATTACCCAAATGTCCTTGCATGAACATCTGTTCTAGCATGTAAGTCATTTTTTCTGTCAAAAGAAAACAGAAAAGAAAAGAAAAGAAACTTCATATGAGTAAGCTTAGAAACTTTGTACCTTGAATCCTCACTCCACTGTCAAGCTTAAAAGTCCTAGATGCTTCACAGTAAAAATAATAATCACTTATCACAAGAAATGGAAATCATCACTTCACTGAAGTAAGAAGTTTAAAAAGGGAAAAGGCAGAAAAACCGCAAGACTTCAGGTTCTTTCATCTCTGGCATTACTGGAGCAGCCAAAATTGGACAAGTATGAAATATGTGATTAAGCCCCACAAACTGTAGAATTAGCCTTCTTGAAAAATTTTTGATTGATGCTGTAGGAAGCCTGTTATCTGAGCTCTTCGGTGCAATATATTTGACATTTCCATTCTCAATGCACCTGGGTTAAGCAATATTTGACACAGTCAAGAGGCAAGTTTCCCAAGAAGTATAATATTTTCTGCCTTTAGTAAAAGCCATCTTGAATGAAAATATAAGTACTTCAACGTTGAAAAAGAAACATGATACAAAATAAAATGAATGAAATTCTATGTATTCTAACTAAGCTACCAAAGCTACATCCAGATAAATACTTCCATATAACTTCTCAATATCAAACTGCTTCAAGGTCAAGTCTAGTTCACAGAGACAGTGATCTACTGAGAACAAGGATACAAGTTGGTATACAATCATAAAACGTTTTAGAGTTGGTGTCATTGTAAAATCAAGGTTAACCAGCGGAAATAGCCTTATCAAGAAGGGATATGACATGCAAGGGATTTTGCAAAGGTAGCTGGCATTTGATTGCTCCCAAACCTAGGAGCTAATAACAAATAGCTGGTATTTCATTGTTGATTGACCAGTTACCTTTTTTTCTTTAATTACCATCACACCAGACTTATGAACCGACCGCATTAAGAAATTCCATAAGAATAATTTATAACATTGAATAAAATTGGAAAAAATAACACGATGAACACTCGAATGATCCAGAAAATTAAACAAAAATATGACTATGAATTCCTCAGTGCGGAAAACAAAGCAGGGGAATGACTATGGTTGTGAATGCGAAAAGGTTCACAATTCGAGAGCAGAAATGGAATGAAAAGAATGGAAATTATCACCTGGGAGAGGGGGATACAGAAGCGCAGCATGGAAGCGGAACCGAGCAAAACGAGGAAAATCCCATTGTTAACCTTGCGAAGGCGTCTCGACGTCTCGTCCACTGGAGGCTTTGGGAGTCATCAATACGGTTTTTTTTTTTAAAAAAAAAATCTGATTTGATTTGATTGATGATGATTTTGTTAAAATAAAAAAAACAAATTAATTACACAATATGGTTTTTAACCTTAATAACATTTTAAAAATAGTTGAAAAATATTAAAATGGAAGTGAGCAAGTTCCGTTATTGTTGTCAATCTTTTTTTTTTTTCACGGATAAACTTGAGTATTATAATTTTAAAGGGAAAACACCATGTCTCCAAATTTTGTTGAAGTTTTATTGTAAGTTTTTATCTTTTTTTTTATCACAGATCTTTATACTTTTATCTATTTAATATTAATCTTTATAATCTTAAAAAAATATTGATATAACATAAATAATATTAAAATTATCGATATATCTATTAACACTGTTAAATTTATATTAATATACTAAATGGGGCATTGTGTTGGATGTTTTACTAAATAAAATAAAAAAAATAAAAATTTCACATCAGGTATGATAAAAAAAAATGCTTTGCTTAAAAAAGAGTCACATCAAATAAAATAAAAGTCATAAATGTCTTAATATGGTGATGACTGACAGTAGAAAACCCCCAAAAAGCTTAAGGTGACTGTTTTTTTTTGTAATCTTGAATAGTTTTTTTAATTTATTTTACTTATTAAAAAGCCTAACTCAATACTCATTTAACACACTAACATAAATTTAATGGTATTAGTAGATATATCATCAATTTTAATATTATTTATATCACATTAATGTTTTTATAAAATTATAAGAACTAGTCTTATAGATAGAGAAAAGTATAAAGATTTAAATTGCTAAAAAAATAATGCAATGACCAATTATAGAACTAGAGCAACCCCAAAATAGTGTTTTCCTTAATTTTAAGCAAGCAATAGATAGATGTGTTGGAAATTAATTTTTGAAACGTTCACCAGTTCGGTATCCCACGTGTCTACCTCGCAAAGGTAGTGGTATTAATTTTGAGGGTTTCTTCCTTGCTACTCCCTTTGAGGTTTTAAAATTTTTATCTTTAATATAAAATATTTGATAATTTTTATTTTTTAATATTATTCTCATTAAAATTTATTAATTGTAAGAGGAAATGCAACACGAATTCAAAAAAATTCACTTAAATGAGAGTAAGGTTTGAAATTTCTTCTATTTGCAAACAAAATTAATAACGTTATCACTTCTTTCTAATTTTTATGAAATAATTAGAGGTATCTTGAAGTGGGAAGTAGAAGCAGCATGAGTCAATATATTTTTTTTTTAAAAATACTTTATATTAGATAGTAGAGTTGTTAATTAAAATTAAGTTAGTTAGACTTGTTCCTTTAAACTTAAAAATGATTAGGGTTGAGCCATTATTTGAGGTTAAAAAATAATAATTCACGTTTAAGCCCATAAATAACAAAGTTAGTCCTTTTAAGTCATTTTATTATTTTTAAAAAATCTTAATCTAAAAAAATGACTAAGTATTTTATTAAAAGAAATAAAAATCCTAGATTTAATCCTTCATCTTTTATTCATTTATTAAGATTTAACTTATGATACTATCAAAATTTAATTTTGATTGGTGTTGATTTGATATTAACATGTATGTTTAAGTTTTATATGTTTGTTATAGTGTGAATTGACTAACATTTATTTTCCTAGAATTAATCTTATGTTAAATTTTTTAAAATTTTAAATTTAAAAAATAAGGTTAAAACTTTAAGAGCCAATCCTTTAACTTTTCGAGTTAGAGTTGGGCTTTGAAAAATTAAAACAAACCTGTTTACATCCTGACAATTCAAAAAATACCCTTAACAGCCCTATTAAAAAGGATGTTTAGAAGCTCAAATAAATACTTTTTTAATTTAGCACTGATTCTTAATTTTTCCTCTTATTTCTCTTTCTTTTTTTATATGTGCTTGGTTGGCTTTGTATTTTGTTCATAGCAATATTTAATTTACATACAAATTTTTTTACAATAACTTAATTTTAATTCAATTCAATTAATGTTCTTATTAAATATTAATTTAATTAATTAAAATTAAATATTAAATAATTAAAATAATAGCTCATGCAAGAAAAGAAAGCAACTAGCGCAACCGCGTCTGGGCTGAGAAGGATCTAGAAACCCTAGTCTAGTCTCCACTTCCTATATTAATGCTCCATTCCCTTCGTTCGCTCTGCCTTCCATAATTTTTCCCTCTGAGCCGGTGAACCTCGAGTCGCTAGCTGATCTATTTCTTCTCTACGATCTGCAAAATGTCGGAGACGGAGACGTTCGCCTTCCAGGCTGAGATCAACCAACTTCTCAGTCTCATCATCAACACCTTCTACAGCAACAAGGAGATTTTCCTTCGTGAGCTCATCAGCAACGCTTCAGATGTAAGGTCTTTCTGTCTATTTTCATTGTTTAGTTTATTCTCCATTGCCTTTCTAAGCCTATGGCAAGTTTTACGATTAGATTTTATTTGGCCTGCTTTCATCATTGTTAATTTCTTTGTAAATTTGCATTCACGCGGTTTCATTTTATGTTACCCGGTCCTATTATATTCTTCGTGTTATTTACTTTCTGTCGGTGGATTGAAACTAAGCTCCTGTTTTTAGTGGTTATTGTGGATTCGTTTGTTTATAATTTCGACACTTCGATTCTCTACCCTGTCTAAAGATATCTTTTTCCCCTTTGAATGTTGTTGTCAATTGCGTGTTCTCTGGCTTTCACTTTAGATTAGAGTGAGCGATAATTAGGTTATCCGTAAGGTTGGACGTCCTTCACGGATTTTTATTATAGCTTTTCCTTCTCATTAAAAGTTTCTTTTTTCTTTTTTAATTGGAGCTACCTGAGGCGACTGCTTTTGGTTTTATTTCTTCATGCTGAAAGGGAATGCTTGACGTCACGGGATCTCTCTGACGTTGATTCTATTTTGGTTTGAGGAGCAGTTGTTTTGTGATATGTAGTGCTAGTCGTTAATGACCACTTTTAACTTTCCACTTTTGGAATGTATGGCAAGTTAGCGCTTAAGTTTGGTCCAAGTCTGATTTCTGTGACTCTGCATCAATGTAGGCTTTGGACAAAATACGATTTGAAAGCTTGACGGACAAGAGCAAGCTTGATGCTCAGCCGGAGCTGTTCATTCACATTGTTCCTGATAAGACAAACAATGCGTTGTCCATTATCGATAGTGGTATTGGCATGACCAAAGCTGGTAAGATAATACTGCCTGGTCTTCTATGTGATCAGTTTATACTGAAGTGTACGATGATTAATTGGCGTGAACAAATGTGCGTTATGTTAAACAGATTTGGTAAACAACCTTGGTACCATTGCAAGGTCCGGGACCAAGGAATTCATGGAAGCCCTGGCTGCTGGTGCTGATGTAAGCATGATTGGGCAGTTTGGTGTTGGATTCTACTCAGCCTACCTTGTTGCTGAGAAGGTCATCGTCACCACAAAACACAACGATGATGAACAGTATGTCTGGGAGTCTCAAGCTGGTGGATCATTTACTGTTACCAGAGACACATCTGGTGAACAACTAGGCAGGGGAACCAAGATAACTTTATTCCTGAAGGAAGATCAGCTTGAGTACCTTGAGGAACGCCGCCTGAAGGATTTGATTAAGAAGCATTCTGAGTTTATTAGCTACCCTATTTCTTTATGGATTGAGAAGACTACCGAGAAGGAAATATCTGATGATGAGGACGAGGATGAAAAGAAGGACAAAGAGAAGAAAGATAAGGAAGGTGAAGTTGAGGATGTGGATGAGGAGAAGGAGAAGGAAGAGAAGAAGAAGAAGAAGATCAAGGAGGTGTCCCACGAGTGGTCATTGGTGAACAAGCAAAAGCCTATCTGGATGAGGAAGCCTGAAGAGATCACCAAGGAAGAATACGCTGCGTTCTACAAGAGTCTCACAAATGATTGGGAAGATCATTTGGCTGTCAAGCACTTCTCTGTTGAGGGTCAGCTTGAGTTTAAGGCTATTCTGTTTGTTCCCAAGAGGGCACCTTTTGACCTCTTTGACACAAAGAAGAAACCTAACAACATCAAGCTGTATGTTCGACGTGTCTTCATCATGGATAACTGCGAGGAGTTGATTCCTGAATACCTTAGCTTTATAAAGGGTATTGTGGATTCTGAGGATCTCCCGCTCAACATTTCCAGAGAAATGCTGCAGCAGAACAAAATTCTCAAGGTCATTCGTAAGAATTTGGTCAAGAAGTGCATCGAGCTTTTCTTTGAAATTGCTGAGAACAAGGAGGATTACAACAAGTTCTACGAGGCCTTCTCCAAGAACCTAAAACTCGGTATTCACGAGGATTCTCAAAACAAAACAAAGATCGCCGAATTGCTCAGGTACCACTCCACAAAGAGTGGCGATGAGATGACCAGCCTGAAGGACTACGTGACCAGGATGAAGGAAGGCCAGAATGATATTTATTACATTACTGGAGAAAGCAAGAAAGCCGTAGAGAACTCCCCATTCTTGGAGAGGCTGAAGAAGAAGGGGTATGAGGTGCTATTCATGGTCGATGCTATTGACGAGTACGCTGTTGGTCAGCTCAAAGAATTCGAGGGCAGGAAGCTTGTATCTGCCACAAAGGAAGGTCTCAAACTCGACGATAGCGAAGACGAGAAGAAAAAGCGAGAAGAATTGAAGGCGAAATTTGATGGACTGTGCAAGGTGATCAAGGATGTATTGGGTGACAAGGTTGAGAAAGTTGTAGTATCCGACCGTGTAGTTGATTCTCCTTGCTGTCTAGTAACTGGTGAATATGGCTGGACAGCAAACATGGAAAGGATCATGAAAGCACAGGCACTGAGAGACAACAGCATGGCTGGTTACATGTCGAGCAAGAAGACGATGGAGATTAATCCTGAAAATGCCATCATGGAGGAGCTGCGTAAGCGCGCTGAGTCAGACAAGAATGATAAATCTGTCAAGGATCTTGTTCTGCTGCTCTTCGAGACTTCTCTTCTTACCTCTGGGTTCAGCCTCGACGATCCCAACACTTTCGGGAACAGAATCCATAGGATGCTAAAGCTTGGACTGAGCATTGATGAGGATGATGCAGGTGACGGTGATGCCGACATGCCTCCATTAGAGGATGCCGGTGACGGTGAGGCCGAGGGTAGCAAGATGGAAGAAGTTGACTAATTCTGACAATCATTTCCTTTTTTTAATATTACTATTAGCGGAGGGAAGTCTATTTTTGGTCCAAGGTTTTTGGTTTTTGTGGGTTTATATGATGCAATTAAGTAACAATTTCTTGAAAATTTTCATAATCTGATATGGTTATTTGTTGTCAATTTATGGTTTACCCATTAAATTTATGTCTTTTTGATATTAGCGAACTGGTGAGATTAAGATAATCCGGGCAGCGCATGTTTAAGTTTGGAATTTATGTCGAGCTCTTTCTGACTTTATCTGGTTTCCTAAATAAATTTTGATGAAAAATTATCTTCTATCTAGATGTTGTTAATGGTTTCTAATAAATCATAATTTCTTAAATTACCATTACAGTGACAATTAATTAATAGATTAATAGATAGATTGTATTTATTGTTTTTAAAATATCAAGAAAAACTTATTTCGAATAATCACTTAAAAATTAAACTTCAACTTCATCTTTTGAACTGAGTAACATTCGGCGTTTCGGCCGAAGAAGGACAAGATAGTAGATGTAGTCATAACAAAGAGAAACATGTTCTATTCGTTGCTCTCATGACATTGGAAAGAGACGGACAATAATAATCGAGGTGTAAAAGATTAAAAATCAAAGAATGATCAGTATGGTAACGCTCTTCTCGGATGAAACACCTTATCTTATGAGAACAAATTGAAATGCTCGTTCCATTCTCCTTCATAGTAGGAATCTTTTGAGGATAATGAACCGAAGGGATAGCAACTGGGACTGAGCGAGATTGAACAGCTGACACCTAAATTCCAATCTTTGCCTGCAAGTTTGCCTTCGGATAATATCAAAAGACAGTGCAAATGTCATCAAAACACTAGTCGGCATATGTGTTATCCATGCAAATATACAGTAGATGCTCTAACTTCATCTGAATGTTGCTCTAAAAAGCAAGATTTATAACTAGGTGACTATGTGCCTTCTTCGAAATATTCAAGAATATTAGTGTCACTTCTATCAACCGCAATTCAGGTCAAATGAATCAATTTAAACCAAAAAGATAAAACCAAGTTACACCGTATCACATTCTTGCCTCTAAAAAGAAAATTCGAATTCCGAATTAAACCTCAAGCCAAAAAAAAAAAGAATGTATTTCCAGGATCACTCATGATTAAATACAAATGCACAAAGCCAAATATCTCACTCTTCATCTTCGTCTCCTTCAGAATTATGATATGACCAAAGTAAGGGAGTCAGGAGGAAACTCTAAATCCTGCAGGAAAACGAATCTTTGGCAACATGAACGGAACAGACTGAAAACCGGAGCTTCAAGTATCATCTACTTGTGAATGGAACACAAAGCTTGGGAATGTTGTGGTGATGTCCCTGTTCAAACAGATGGAACATAATGTTACAGCCAGTGAAAATTGGTAAAAGGCGCGCGCAAGAGAGAGAGAGAGAGAGAGAGAGAGAGAGAGAGAGAGAGTGTATTGGGGGGGAAATGATAGGAGTTCAACATATATCATAGTTTTCTTGGTTGTGGGTCTGAGTCTTCGTGAGTATTGTTTCATAATATACCAACAGCAGCAAAGAGCAATTGCATGTGTAGTGCATGCAAATGTGCAGGTATAATCTCAGTCAAAATGGATTTCTAATGGACTGGTAAAAGAATTTATAATTTAGGAATTACTTGAGATATTGAAGGGTCATATTCTTCAAAAGTGACGGGTGGCGTAAAACAAGGCTTCTCCACTCCTCCTTGTCAATTTTGCCATCGTGCTTTGTATCTGCTTCCTCAAAAGTCTGGAGAAATACAGAAAAGTTATAACTTTTTCTCAACATGCAAGAGATCAATCCAGAAGAATGATACAGAAAAGGCCTAAGCACAAGAAAAAGAATGGGGAATCACCTTGTCAATTATACTTTCAATAACATCATCTGATAAGTTCATCCCAGATTCAGCAAGCGTAGCTACTACCATTTGCTTCACCTTTACAGAAGATGCAAAATCAAATTCAGACTTGTTCTGATTGAGGACCATTAACAGGGACAATCAAATAAAAAAAATTACATTAAATTAAATTAAATACAGTATTTACCTCCTGCCTTTCAATAAAACCTTGCTGCTTGAGATCATACAGTTGAAAAGAAACTGAAACACAAGACTATGTGGGCTCAATTTTGTCTCATATAAAGAGAGGTCCCTAAATTCAAATGGTACATCAACTTAAAGCTTAAGTATAGTAATTTCGTCTAAGATGATCATATAAAGCAAATAGTTTTTAAACATACATTCAATCTTTTCATCAATAGGGGCATTCGGATGGAAAACAGATAAAGCACGAGCAAATTCTTCAAAGCCTAGTATCCCATTGTGCTTTGTGTCAAACAAATCAAATACCTGATAGAAAACACAGAGAAGCTCATTCAAGAAGCCAATCACTTGAGATCATATAAATAAATATGCAAGCAAACACAAAAAGGGCAGCTCAGCATTCATACTAATCCAGAAATATATGGTGTTAAAGCGAACTGTCTGAAAAACGTGTAGTTGTGTACCATGTAAGCACAGCTTCAAGATTCAGCAACTCAATATAAACATTAACTTCAAAGTTAGCAAACATGCAAACAAGATCGGAAGCACAGTTACATTTAACATATAACAACATAATGATTCTAATCTTTACAGTTCATAGGTACCCTAATATACATTGTATGTAAACATCAGTATGGAGAGGGTAAATGAATAACTTGAAATCATTAAATACCCATCTTGAAGTTAGTCAATATAAGCACTTAACCATGCCTGCATGGACAGCCCCACCCCTCCTTGTCACAACAACATTTAAGTACAAAGTTCAACATAATAGATTTAAACCAAAGATAAGATTAAATAATTTGACAAATTACCCGATCAGCAAACAAACTCTCCTTTTTGTTCGTCTTGAATAGTGCTAACTGGAACTCCTCCTGCAAATGATGTAAACTGATGTTAGAGGAAAAACTGAAAAGTGAACCAGCTTCCAAATAGAAATTTGAAACCTGGATCTATAATTATATGACAGAGAATCATCAATACAACTTCTATCACAAGACAAAAAGTAAAAGCTAACTTAAGACAATATGATGTGTCCAAAATATATGTTGTCAGACGGTTAAACGGACAAACCTTGTTAATCAGCCCATCATCAATCACAGCACAGCTGATTTTCTTAAAGAGCTCATAGAGTGCTTCTATTTCACTTACACTGACTGCATGAAAGGGCAAAAACAAATGCTTATCTTCAGTACAAACAGTTAGGAGCTACTTCCACAGATTAGAGTTGCAGGTAGCTGAAAAAATAGCTTTCATTTTCATTCCCCTTTTCCTGACACAATATGCACCACAAATTACATACTCTCAAAACCCAAGGGCGAAACACAACATACAGAAATGCATATTTTTATCAGAAGGCAATGATTAACAAATCAGCAGTGTATTATAACTTCAAGGTCACAAAGGTCAATATCTTACAAACTGTCTCCCTTGCCAGAAGTTCGGGATCTTCAAGGCCCCTTGGCTGCTTATCAAGGTCACAGAAACGTAATAAGGAAGCAAATAAATGCTTGAGACCCTCTGCACACTGAAACATGATATCTCTAGCAAATCAAGACCATCCATAACTGTTTCACAAAGAAAAGAGTTAGATATTCCATTTATTTCATTCCTTGCAAAGACAATGTACTATAGGTAAATGGTGAGTGAACCTTTTAACCATTTCCAATTTCTTCTGATGAACCCTGAAGCCAAGAAAATTTAAAGCAGCGCTGCAAAGAATGACTGGTTTCAAGACGGAAATACAAATCATCAGACACTGGTAGGAGAAGAAAGTGCTCAACATCGAAAATACAAGAAAAAGTTCCATGACCAGAACTTAAAACATCATACTCAAAACAGTTCATGTTGCTTCCCTTTTCTTTGCAGCATACCAAATCAAGTTGACAATGCATTTCGAAAGTCTATTCACATGTACATATGCACAAAATTACATACATATCCTTGGTGCAAAGTAAATTTCAGGAACTATAATACATTACATCAAAGCATTGCCAAGAGAAAAAAATAGAAGACCGGTCACTGTAGGTGTCAAAAAAGGTTTACAAATCCGATCATGAAACACAAAATAACTGCAAAAATCACCATACATTTCTTTTTGAGACTAAATCCAAGACATCAGTTCTGTTCCCGTTTACGACTCTTGGACACGAGCACTTCATAAAACGGAGAAATTAAAAAAAAAAAAAAACTCATTACTTATCTCAGTAAATTCAACACAAAAACCATAAATGTCAACCAACAAATTAGGAATATCATATCTAATCGTTTCATATACCCACACATGACGGCATAAAAATTCGTGGCGAAAAAACAGCAACACCATCTCTGCCATGCAACAAGGCCACAGATCAAGTCCAAAATTTAAACACGGATCCATGATCTCACATATAGCTTCACACCGAAAACATGCGAAGATTGCCTTAGAGAGATCTCAGATTGAAATTCAATAGCCAAGAAAAGTTTCCAATTTTCTAAACTTCGGAATGGCCGTGAATTCGGGCTTAAAGAAAACTCAGGGAATAAAACATCGACCCCCGCCGGAGAACCCAAAAAGAAAGGGATTTTAGAGAAAGCTGAAGATAACCATGCTGAAACAAGAGATGTTATCATATAATCTGAGATTTCTGGGTAATTAATCAAAGAGGGCAGAGAATTAGGAAAGAAATTAAAAAGAAAAAAAAAATCTCACCTTGGCGATGGAGAATCGACAGAAGACCGTAAAAATTACAAGTGGGGATTGTGAGTGTTGAAGTCTTCGTCAGAGGGTTCTCTGCAACCTCCGGTTGACTGTTACAACGAATCCTTTCGTAAAGGTAACGAGGATAGTCTGATAGATGACAGAGAGATTACAAGTTGGGAATTGGGATGCTAAAATTGCTAGCAGAGTAATAAAATCAACTAAAAAATTTGACGGGCAATAGGGAGTGAATATCGCGATGCACGGGGAGCATGTACTTTCATTGCATTTAATTTAAAAATTTTACAAATAAATATATATATATATATATTTTTTTTTTTTTTGCGGCTAAATACAAACTTTGCATAGTGTTTGTTGGTATAATTATAGATTTTTTATTCATGGTTAAAAAAAAAATTATACATCTTATATCTTATATATTTTAAAAGCACGTCTCTACACACACATGCGCATGATGATATAATATTGCGTGGCCGGAGAAGATGACCTTTTTCTTTCTTTCTTTCTTTATTATTATTATTATTATTTTATTATAAGATAGAGACAGGGAGCTGTTTTAAAAAAAAGTTGGAAACCCAACATTTTAGATAATTACAACGATAACGTAAAACTCAACTAAGTTTATCTTTTCAAATATTTTATACTCTATACATAAATTTTATACTTATATTTATATTATATTATTACAATATTTTCTATTATAAAGATATTATCAATATTAATTCTATTTCATTCAACATTATTTTTTCTTTTAATTCAATTTAAATATTATAATTATAATTCAAATAATATATTATTTTTTGCTGAGATGAAATATAGTATTGATTTGAATTAAATGCAAAAAAAAATTGAATTAATATCCTTTTGATTTTTTTTTATTTTTTTGAATTTAAATGACATTTTGATGATACAATCAAATCAATATCCAAACTTACTTAGAATATTTTAATTATAATTCTAATACTTATTTTTTCTGAGATGAATAGTATTATTGATTTGAATTAGTTGGAAAAATCGAATTAATATCCTTTTGAGAACTTTTTTCAATTTAAATGAGATTGATTGTACAATCAAATCAATATCCAAGTCAAGCAGCGAGCAAAAATATTTAAAATAATAAACAGCCAAGAGCTAAAAATAAAGTATTTATCGGTTTCATATATTAATATCTTTGTTTAAAAATTAAAACAAACCACGAATAACCAAGTTTTTATTTTTTACCAGAAAAACAATCAACTTTCTTGAAAAGCAACTTTTAAAGAAGTGTATTTTTTTTCTTGTTAACCTTCAATATTACGCAGAATTAAAAAAAAACAATAATAATATGCTGTAAATAATGTGTTTTGTTATAGAATTTAGTAAATGCATTTATTGACTTTACAAAATAAAAAGAAATTAAAAGTTGAAAAATATTTAAAGAGGTCCACACATGATGGTTACGCAATGGAATTCTGGTAATTTAAGTCTGATATATACTATACCCTCTTTTAAAATAAAGCTCTTTTTAGAAGGAAATTATTATTTTATTTGACATGTCATTTTCAAAGTTGATTACTTTTTCTATTACACCCTTACTCGTATATAAGTAACGTGTAAATGTGTCCCTGCGTTAAATTAAGAATAAACTTGACAGGATGATCAATATTCAATATTTTGAATCAAGACGGAGTAGCAGTAGTGGGCCAGCATTGCACTCCTCCTGATTTTAGATGTATTCGATCTCCGCCATAATACGGAACAATACTAACTATTTCATGATTTTAGAAAATAAGTAAAATCTTAATCTCTTAACAAATTTATAACGTTTCAATTATATTTTTATTAAATATTTTATATAAATATCTTAATAGTGACAATTAAAATTTCAATACATCATTTAAAAAAAAGTAATAATTGCGATAGAGATATTTTTGAAAAAATAAATATAAAAATTACTAAATATTTTATATTTTAAACTAACAAGATTTTTAAAAGATAGTCCATATTATGTTTCGGATTGAGTAAGTTGTTTCTAGCTATTTCTCCAATTAAGGAGATAATTAAATTATTGATGTTTGTTGTCTTAAATTTTTTTAATTTTATCTTTATTAAATATATTATTTTCTAAAATAATTTCTCTAATACAAAAAATTTTAATCTATTCATAAAAAAATTGTGAGAGGGTAAAATTAAAATAAAATAATTAGCAGTTGAATTTTTTTATATAAAATGATTTGTAAAAAAACTATCTATCCTTTTTAAAATCAGAGGAAATATGTAAGGAAGAGGATAGCGTGCACCCTACCTACCTCCATCCCCCCCACATGCCAACTACCTCTCACGCCATCACACGTGAGGGAGCTCACTGCATCCAGAGTGGATTAGCACGCGACATTGCATTAATTGAGTCACGTGTGTCACATTCCCAACCACATTCAATTCCTTAGCTAATTTCATCATTCACAATCCCAAGTCAAATATTTCTGTCACAATCTAAGTGAAGCACTCTCCCAACTTTGACTGCAAACCTCAATTATTTCTTTTCAATATTCTTTCATACTCCCCAGCTTTGATATTCAAAGTCGCCGGAATGAATGCATGCATCAAACGTGGTCGTTTGAATTAAAGACAACAAAAATGATCATGATTCACGTGTGAAAATGGTAATTGTCAATGCTGCTCTATGAATATATATATTACACTTTTTAGTAGATAAATCAATTAAGCCACCCTCTATATTAATTCGCGTGAATAGTTTTATGGCAAAGACGTCTTCGCGCGAAAAGCTTGCGTTGAAGAATAAGAATAATGAACTTGGTCCCAAAAAAGTTTCACTGAGATTTGTTTTATTTACGTTAAAAAATGAAATAAATAAATAAATCAAGAAACCTTGTACACTTTGTTACATGTCATTCTCTCTATTTGTTATGTATTTCACCAATATTCAAATAGTACCAAATTCAAGCAATCTCTATGCTTAAACCTTCATCTACCCCAACCGTTGCATTCAAACGGGTTTAAAATTTGTACTTGGCCGACATTGAAAAAGTTCACCGCCTTTCCCTGAAGATAAAGGACATCTCAGTAAATCGTTTATTTAATTAATTTAAAAGGTAACTCGTCCCAAACATGGATATTTTTTTTCAGAATATGAACGGTTTAGTAAAAATTAACAAAAGCTAAAACGGATTATAATTAATATCCATATAGTTTTTGAACAATATCTCAGAACATCCAAAATGATGCTAGTCATATGTTAGGATTGAAAAAGCTTGAACCATGTTCAGTTAGCATTGAACAGCGAAGGGAATTGGAGGCGCCTTAGGAGTTGACCAGATTTGTGATTCAGCGCATAACCATTGCCATGATTATAATCAGATACTCGTATTGGATCCTCATATGTACTCATTTCATTCTGCTTTGACAGTAGATTGATACAAAATTATGCTGGTATTGATCAATCTCTTAATCAAGAACAATACACTAATCAACCACTATGATCTATAGCGGCCACATGAGTATTAAAGAATCAAGCGGCAAAAGAAGAAAATAGAAGAAGAAGAAGGGAAGCACTTTTTGTGAAACCGGAGGCCGCTAGTCTTCACCTTCTTCGGTTATCCCTGTAAGATCCTTCACTTTCCTTGTCCTTTAAGAACCCTAGAAACGCAAGAAACCCGAAAAAGAAGAATCCACCAGACCAGTTGCCTCCACCTCCACCTCCTCCACCGCCGCCATCACCATCATCACGGGGTGGAAATCCAGTGCCACCATCATCAAGTTGTGGTGATTTCTCCTTACCTGAGAATTCAGTGAACCATGATATGCCGTTCAAAGGAACATGCTTCACAAAAAGTGATATTTCCATATAGTGTCAACAATTTCTTAATACTATTACTCTTAGAACAAGCAGGCCCTTAATCATATATTAAATAATCTTAATAAAATGTTCTAAATGGAAGGCATGCAAAATCCGAGTATTGAGAGTTATAGATGACGGAAATAAATTGTACATAACAGAGGTGAGGGAGCGGGGGTAAGGAAAAGCGGGAAAAGATGTCAGAAATAAGCAATTACCAGGAATATGAGTCATTGTAGGAGCCTGGCGCGTGACCGTTTGCGTTTGTTCCGCACCACATTTTGCATTCTGCATAATTGGGAGGTAAATATTATGAAAATGCAATACGTCAGCATTGTCTTTTATGTAACGCAGTCTGACTGAAATGTAAGCATTCGTTATGTGTGCAAGCGTGTAGCTTCCAATGCACAAGCATGTGGGAGTATAAATAAGAGATCTTGATGAAATATTTAAAGAAACGACTAATCTTTAAACCCCTCAAGACATTCACAATTTGACAATCTGTTTATATGAATATAATAGCGTGAAAAAAAAAAATACCAATTACCATGATGACAGGTAATTTTGAAGAAAGTACGTGTTAAAACTTGCAAAGTTATACACTGAATTTACCGTGTGTGAATGGACATTTTTTCATTTAAAACCTTTCGATATCTAATACTAATCCAAATTAGAGCTAGATCAGGCCATAATTGAAGGAATCACTCCCAACGTGGTCTTTTGATGACATATTTTGAAGAACACATCAACTAATAATAACAATCTGACGTTACATGTCCTTTATCTATGAGCTGTCTTGACATATTTCTCAATATTGAACAAGTATGTGGTAGGATATAATGCTAAACGTCAAAAGAAAGAAGCAGGATACAGGATACTAAACATCATCCAGGGCTCCCATAAGTTCCAAGGATCTTTTACAGCATCATAAAAAATTCATAAACTCAGCTGAAGGTCATCTGAAAAAAGGAGGCATATTTGCATATAGCTACGGATCTCAATGCATGAGCTGCAGTAGAGATTGGCTTACGAGATATCCCATTTGTTTTCTCTTTCAATTCTATTTTTCTCTACGAATATACTGCATTAACAAAATCGCAATGCAGTTTTTATTCCTTCTCATTAACTTATTCACCAACGCAACAATTATGCTATATAACTCTAATTCAACCCAGCTATATTGCAATACTAAACCTGAAGCTGAAGCTGACAGCAAATGATGAGGACAGAATACACAAAAACCATACCCGACAACTTTATTCTGGGCAATGAGTATAGCGTCTAAGAAAAAGGGGCATACCAAAGCTGCAGCACATATTACAGTCACAGCTCGAGCATGAGGAGATCTTGTATTATGAAGAACATGTGTACATTTCAGTGCTCCTGAATGAGTCGTCTTCTGTAATTCTCTTTTTCTGTCATAAGGGTAACATTGCAAGCAAACTCTTGGTAGATAGGATCTGGTAACATTAGTCTCTGAACTGTAGCCACCTCTTTTCACTGTTTACAAAAGCAAGATCTTTTCACTATGCTTGGAAGAGCACACCCACAATCACCTCACCCACAGAAAGATAAAAAACAAACCGCACATCAAAAAATGATTTTTTTTTTCTTTTAAAGAACATGTTTAAATGAGTCCACATTGTACAGGCACAATAAACCATGATAGATTTATTTTAAAGAACATGTTTAAAAGAGTTGACCATTAACATAGCAAGTACTCATTTAAACATAGTAGGGCACAATATGGTTTGACTGTACAACCAAAATCTTGACATCAACTTGATCCCAAATTAGTGGTGCGATCAACAAATAAACATGTTCTTTGAATGTTCTTAATGGGATTCCAATAGTTTTTTTTTTTTTGGGGGGGGGGTGCTGGTCCATAAATCCTATAGCAATCAATATTATGTGCATCTGATTCATTTCCAGGCAGGTAAAATTAAAATCATGTTAAAAATAGAATAACTTTTACTCGTAAAGCATATACACCTCATTGAGCTTCATGATGCCATAGACATATTTCATTTCAAATTAATTATAATAAAAGAAACATATGAAAATGAATTTTCTCGCTCCTTGTTAAGAACAGTGAATAACAATTATTTTCTCAACACCATCTTGTTCCCTCGTCCAACTAGTGCACTCCCTTAAAATAAATAAAAAATAATCTACACCGATGAATCTCTTATAATAAGAAGCATCAATACAAAAACAGTTATAAATCAATATTTATCACCACAAAATAAAAGAAGTTAAACAAGACTAGTTACTCAAAGCTACATATTAGCAAAAGCAACCCTCCTTGTTGTATCTATTCTTGAACCAGCACCCATAAATTAGAGTCCAAAATCAAAATAATGCCTTTGATAGTTATTTCTGACAAAAAGATACTTAAAATCTAGGGAAACAATATGTTGAATTGGTGACAAATACGACCATATAAGTATTTTTTAAAAGCAAAAAACTCCATTTCAATATGGTATTATCATAACTCATGTCTCATTTTGATTTTGAGATCATAACTATGCTAAGAATGACTTTTTACCTGGTGGCAATTTGGGCAACGATACTATAGCAGTAGCCGTCATAGACATCAAGGAAGAGACAGAGAAACAGCCTGAACAGTGAACTTTTTGTTACAAATTTAAAAACAAGCATGTAACACTAAAACAGAAGAGGTAGATAGATAATATATGAACTGGCCGTGATTGCTAAGCAACAGCTGTGGTAATAGGAAAAATTAAGCAGAAAAATATCGAATTAATTTCAAAACAACTTGTCTCCAAAAGCTGAACAGTCCCACTATAGAGGAATGGAAAGAAATCAAATCCTCAACCAAATTATTCATTTTTACGGCCAAACAAAAAAGCATACAGAAGCAATGCATTCATAAGAAAGAAATTCAAAAGCCTTGACTGAAATCCCACCATTGAATACCATTAGTTCAATGAAATTTTAAATTCCACTAGGTTACATTGTATCAAGTGTAATGTAGATAGGGAATCAATTTCTCATCAACTTATCACATTTCAATTCCATTAAGGCAAATAGATATATTTAATATTTCCTAACTTGTTCTATGTGGGATATCTGGTTGTTAAAATACAACAACAACAACAAGCCTTTATCCCACTAGGTGGGGTCGGCTACATGGATTGCAAGACGCCATTGTGCTCTATCATTTATTAAGCTTTTAGAAATATAAAATAAAAATAAAAATAATAAATAAACATGGGTAGTTGCAATCTTTTCACTTTATTGCTGAGTTTATCTCCCTTTTAAATAGATGTTTGATATATACACTACTCTTGCGTCTGCATCTTAGTAGCGCTCATCATTTATCCTGTAATGGCACTTAACAACACTTCCTGTAATTTTTTTCTTTTTTTAAATAATTATTAACATAACTTTTGATGGCATTATGGTAAGCTTTTCATGGCACAGAAAATCTAAGGATTTATGAAGTGCGGTCTGGTTTCAAGATCAACTCAAACCATACTAGCAAACTAAAAGGATCTGGCTTCAACTAGATAAACAGGAAATATATGCTTATATGAGAGATAAACCGCTCTCAATAAAACAGAAACAAAGTGGTTCTACTTCAAGGGACCCTGAAACCAACAATTTGTAACAAAAACCACCCGACAAAAAAAAACTTGAGATCAAATTAGATAACATATAGCTAAATTCTGATTGTCCACGGCTAGAATTACAAACCAAAGCAACTTCAATTGATAGCAACAATTTTCGAAAAGTCAAACAGCTTTTGATTATATCGATGCATATAAACCTATTAGACGTGGCAAATACGATAAATATTAAAAAAATTTTAGAAGAAGAGCACCAAGCAAAGGTTAACGACTCAACCTCATATCGTCAACAGCCGGTTTTTCCAATAAATTTTCATGATAATAAACAACAAAAAAACTACACACATTCTGATCGGAGCTTTGGAGAACTGACGACATGAACTAACCTGAACGCTAAATAGCAGAGAGAATTGAAATTCCCAAACTATTCTTCTGAGTATTTCGGCTTCCCGACTGGCTTCTATGCCCTGAAGAAGAGAACGAAGCTTTTGAGGGTTTGAAAGCACCTTCCCTTCAGAGAAAACAGGCGCACCCCATCTTTCTCTTTTTGCGTTTTGGCCAATTAACTTGCACAACCTATCAGAATAGGCCAGGATGGAGGTATTGAGGCGGTTGTGAATTGTGATGGTGACTTCGATGACCGGATCCAAAAAGTATGGTTGGCAACACTTTGGGTCATCAGCCCCGAATCCCAGGCCCACCATTGTCTGGGCCTGCAATTTTACGTGACGGTTTTGTTAGGCCAACACTTTTATGGCCCACAGTTGGCAACACTTGTTTTTTTTCTTTTTTCTTTTTTTGGTAACACTTTAGATTTTGTATAAGGTGATAATCACTGCTACTTGGAGCCCCGGGTGTCTGAAATTCTACCGTCTGTTTTCATGCTCTTACAAAGAATCTATAACCTTTTTATTTCTCTCTCTTTTTAGTCAACATGTGACTGAAATTGTTAAAAATTGTTTGGTTGAAATTGCCTGCACAACAAAATAACATGATCAGGATTTTTTAAAATTAATGAATAAAAATGATATAATTCATTAAATTGTGCATTACCAAATTGAATCCCCCATCTGAAACTTCCCAGTAACTCTTCTTCCCATTACCACTTACTTTGAATTGATGCGGCCAATTGAGATACTTCAAGTTCAAGAGTTAAGTATCTAAGATACTAGAGTGAAAAAAATGGGCTCTTTATTTAATATTTTCATTTCTTAGGACTATCATAAACAAATTTTAACATTCTGTTTAGATGATACTTTTGTGAAACGCTTGAACCATCTTAAATACAAAAAAGTATAATCGCAAGTCGCCTTTCAAGCTCAACACTTGTCTTTTTTTTTTTTTTTCAAAATGCTGCAAATACAAACTACCACCTCAAATTTATATAATTCTATTAATTTAGTTTTTCTAATTTTAATTTTTTATTTTAAAAATTGATTTATTTTAACTACTCTCTCTGTTCAAAAATATAAGACATTTTTTAAAGAGTTGAATGTTAAAAAATTTAAAGTATTTTTAGTCTTTTAAGGTATAATCATTATCTTTTTTTCAAAAGTGCCTCTATTGATGTTGACTTTATATTTATTGTATGGTGTTTAATAAGGATAAATATAAAAAGATAGGGTTAGTTTGAAAGTAAGTAACTACTTTATTAAAGGTAAAATTAGATTAAAAATATCTTATATTTTTTAACGGAAAGACTAAGTTTTTCCTCATTACCTCTCCCACTCTCTTTACACTTTAACTCCTCATAATCTTATGCTGTTATTAAACATTTAATTTTTAAAAACCATAGATCATGGCAAGATAGAAATTAGAATGATAAATAATATATTATTTATTATGATGAATAATATAATAATATTTTAAATTAGGTAAATCTATATATCTGTGCACAAAAGTAGAGCTATAGCCAACCTTCTAGACTCAACATGTATGAATTTTTTAAAATTTTGTCATTATAAGTTATCCATGTCAACATTAATTTTTAAAAATAATTTTTTTACATAATACCGAAATTTTTTTATAGATAATAACAATATTATTTTTAAATTGTAGAAACTACTTCCTTTTATTGTTAAATTTTCTCTTTCATAATTTTATCCATTATCATAACTTTGCAATTTTTCTACCACCTAAAATATATAATTTCAGCATGCACATTAGATTTTCTATTAAATCTTCTTAAATATTAAAAAATGAGTTATTTTAATTTATATTTTTCCTAATTTCTCTCCCACTCTCCTATCATATATATAACTTCCTATAATCTTTTACTTATTTTTAGTTTTAAAAGTTTAATTATACAAACACACGATCACATTGAGCAGTTACAAAGCCCACAGGATTTTCTTTCAATCGTAATATTCTTCAATTGCTCCATGCCCTTATCAAAACAAGCAAAATCACAAAACTTTTATTTGAAGATTAGAGGATTCATGATAGATTCTTTAGTCTTTGTTCTTTTAATTCTACACTCATCTTACTATGTAAACTTTTTTCATTTAGATTGATCAATATTTTAAAATAAAATTATTTTAGGTTACAAAAATACAACATGCATTGTACAGGTGCCATATTAGTTGATCAAATATTTAAAATATAAACACCAAACTCAACGTTGATTTTAAAATTTGAATACAAGAACGTTCACTTGTCTTCATGTTAGGAAGCACGCAAAACTTCTCATACATATATAGTACAAGTGAAGAGCCTTTTTTCCCCTTTCTCAATGAGTTCATTTTCACATCCTTTGATGATAGAAAATAAAAACTTGTCAACAACATACTCCCAAGAACACCAAAACATGTAGTGTATGGTTATATCCCTGGTAATTAGTAAATAATTTGTAGGTCACATGCCCAAAATTAAAACTTCATGATTTAGAGGTAAGGTTGGAAAGATTAGAGCCAACAGAAGAGACCCGACGGAAGCCGCCATCAGCCCGGTGGTGGCGGCACCGGAAGGAGCCAGCGTGAGTGGTGGGCGAGCAGAGACAATTCCTCTTCATACTAGAAGACCTCCTAATGAGTGAACTTCTTGGGGACAGATTCAATTGGTCATCATTACTCTTCTTAATCTCATCCAAATCCAACTTAGGAATTTTCATTCCCCGATTACCCAGATTGCTCTGTGTTGTCATCACTGTGATCCTTGATAGCTTGATATTTTCCTCAACATTTTCATCCATGACTTTTTCCTGTGAAAATTTTCATGATCGCATCATCAAAATATATAATATATAGCCAAGTTATGCCAAGAATCAGACAAAAAAATTATTGGTTTATGCAGATTAATGTAAACTTACTCGAGGGTTTCTATTAAGAAATCAGAATCCTAAAATATAATCATGCCAAGAATTTATGATAATCTATTTGTCTTTTGTTTTTCCTTTAAAAAAATATTTATCTTTTTTCTTTTTGTATATGTTTTGGGTCGAAGGAATTTCCTGGAAGATACTTCTAAACTGATATAGAGTTTTTTTTTTATATTTTTTATTAAGCCTAATTCTATCACATTAAACTCGACTCTCAAAGCCATAATAATCAGGGTGAAAATACCTTTTGTATTGATGAAGTTGTTCGATCCAACATGAAATTAAGTAATTAATTCAAAGGCTTACGCTAAACTAAATTCAAAATTAAGCATATACTTGTAAAGATATGTAGAGAAAATTACTAACTAAAGTGCAGGTTGCAACTGCATATATAGCACATTAATATCAACTGTAAAAAGAAGTAATATAGATTATTTTTGTCGTGAATTTATGATTAAAATACGAATCACTCAACAATCCACAACCCTGAAATCGATTATCTTGTTTTTATTAATCAGAATGTTAACCAATATCCTAAATTAATGACGTTTATCATTACTAATATTTAACTTTCATGATGACAAAATGAAGCATAATGAATTTTATTGCAAAACAATACAATGGCACTTGGAAATTATTCATTCCAATAATGTTTCAAACACACGGAATCTTATAATTATTAATTAATTACCTGGTAAAGAGAGAGGGGATCGGATTATTAAAAAGATTCAGAATGCTTGAGCACTGCAATATTGTGATTCTGAGAAGGAAGGGATGACAGAGGGAGGAGGGTTCTGAAATCCTCAAATCTGTTCTTTCTCACCAAGACCAATAATTAATGGCATCTTCTGTTTTTCTTTCTTAACAAACTCAATTCTATTCTGTTTAATTTTTGTGGCATTTACTCATCAGTAATTTGTAACCACAGGTTTGTTAGTGCCAAAAAAAAAATAGCATTTCTGTTTATTTAGATGGTTTAGATTTGGCTAATTTTATTTCTTTAATTTGAACACAAAAAAATTAAAATGGAAACAAATTTAAACCAATTCTTTGACTTCTTTACTTTAGGTATATGACCGTATGAGTGCACTGGGATGTTTGCTCTACCCTCAATAGAGAAATCCATTTAATTAATTTATTTTTTTGACTTGTTTTCAATATTATATACTCTTTTTATCTCAATTTATAAAATTTTTTTAAATAAAATCATATATATTAATAAAATTTATTAAATACACTTTACAATTTTTTTAAATTAAAAATATAAAATTTTAAAAATGTCATTAAATTAATATTTTGTTTGTGAAATGATATTAAAAAGAGATGATATAAAAATGATAATATTTAAAAAAGTATTATTAATAAAAATTTATTCCTATTAAAGTATCTTATATTTAGGATGTCAAATATCTCCATATATTATTTTTTATAAATTGCAACAAGAAATGATGCCAATTTTAAGTCAAAAATGAATCTTTTTCATGAATCTAAAAGTAAATAAGAAAACATAAGCAAAAAAAATCTGAAATTGATCTCTATTACATATATATGTTACTTTCCGGTTTCTACGAAAATAACTAGTTACATAATTTTGAAGAGTCATTCAATATCATAATCGAAGCCATTCAGATCCATTGATAAAAGTCCTGCCAACGAATCTCAATGCTTGAGCATCTGACAGAGCTTGTGACCATGGAAGTCTTCCATTCCTATTCGATCCAGGTCCCTCGTTCATGTACTCTCCAAACATGACAGTGCTGCAATCAATAATATAAAACGACATCATAACTAAATTCGGAATACACATACATTTTCTGATACTAAACTAATATTCACAAAATCAAGAGAATCAACAGAGATTATAAAGTTAATTAGAGTTATTATACCTTTCTTTCGAGGGATCATCCATGTTATTCCAGCCCAAAGGGTCAATCATGTCGTCCATAGTGCAAAATGCATATATGACTCTCGAATATCTGCCCCAAGCCCTCCCAAGAACGGTGGGTCCATTCCCTTGGATTTTGCAACCTTGAAAAATATAGCCTGTATTGTCATCTGCTTCTTGCCTATCATGTGCCGTTATTGACCCTGATGATCGTGTTGAATGTATTGTGCAATCCTAATAACCACAATTAAAACCCATTTCCAATGATTATTAGATGAAGTATGGTAACTTTGCCCAAAAGAAAAATCACAATATTTTAGCCTATATAAATATATTATTAAAATAGGTTCCGTCTTGTTGGCTAAGACATCAAAGCAATTCAAAAACCACAAAAGTTACTGTTGTGTTCTTAGCCTATTAAATATAATTCAATTTATTTACTAAAATATTTAATTAAGAAAAGTACCTCGTACAATGACGTGGCAGTGCCCCAGATGAAATCAACAGATCCTTCAATGTAACAATGATAAAAGAAGTGAGTTCCGAAGTCATCTAAAAGAGTGTCTTGATTCCCCAAGAAGGTCACTCTATAGAACATTGCTTTGTCTCCATCTATTCTTATTGCTGCTGCTTGATCTCCATACCCAGTTGCAACCGCATTGTTCTGCACATAATAATCACATCCACAAACACTAATTAATTACAGGTTTTGTTAATTACCATCAAACTATAATTAATGAACTAATTATTACTTACCCGAACAGTAATGGCCGTGGCAACAAAATAATCAGATAGAACCTCAAGAGTCGCAGTATTAACGCTTCCTATTTCGTGGCCATTTTCATCTTTATCAGACGCTTTTCGAGAACCAGTGATCAAAGGGTAGTAGCCATCTGGTTGACTTGGTCTTCCTATGAATGAAATATGAGACTTGTTTTGTGGTATACTTAATATTTCACTGCAATATACAAAACTTCTAGCACGTCAGGATCTAGTCATGAGAGAGAAGGCCGAGATAGAAAAATATATATACAATATAAGACATACATGCTTACGTATGTATAACAACAAGAAGTATTATCTTACTAGGATATATATATACGTACTCGTAAATTCCGGGATTAATAACAATCTTAATTCTGGCGTTGTAGCTGTCTGGAATTAGATTAAGAGCCCCTTGAATTGTAGTTGAGTCTCCTGTGCCACTCTTATCAACCACGATGACTCTGCCCTTTCTTAAGTCGGCTGGCGTGACCACGAAATCTTGCCACTCGATATATCCCTTTCGAGGGAGATCGGCTCCTACCGTAGCTATTGTCGCTACAAGTAACAGAATCACCAATTTAACAGATGATTTGCTCATATTTTTATGTCACCAATAAAACCTGTGCTAGGGAGAATTTTTGAAGGAGATTCAAAGAAAATTCGGAGGTTTGTGTGGATTTAATTGTGTATGTACATGGGACTTATTTATAGAACCATGTTACTGATCCTTGTTAAACTACACTATTGTAATGTGATAAATGGATAATGTAAATCCTGGTATAATTAAATCTATTTAAGAGATAATTTATAAATATCTTAATTTAAATAAAGATATTTTAAGTTAAATGAAATAAAGAATCATAACATGAATAATTATATGTATTCAAAAAAATTGTCAAAACATTTTTCTTTGGATGCTGACATATTAATATTCAACTCGCCCCTAAAATAAAAAAGGTAAAAAAAAAAAAACAAAATAAACAATGCCTCTTTATATATATATATATATAAGTCGGAAGAAAAACAACTTCTCTTTTTATCTATGTTTTGCTTTATGATTAGATAAGATAGAAAAATCCAAAACTCAATTTCTATTTAAAAACAAAAAAATATGAGAAAAATGTGTGTGTGTGTGTGTGTCTGAGAATCAAAATCAATTTTGAAAATTATGTTCATTTAGAATTCCAAATTCATAACCCGGGCATTTATCAATTGATGAGTCAATTATTCTTCGCCTTATCTGAATTGCTATTTGCTTGTCAGTTAGCTAGTGACAGACCAAATTCTTTTGTCATGGTTGACGGCCTTATTATCGGACGCTTTTTTGAAATAAATAAATAAAGAGATAAAGAAAAGATCGCCAGCTTGGATTAGATTCTCTAGCTCTAGTTAATCTTTGCAATTAATCACCGGCTAGTGATGCTGTTGTTAATTTTGGTGGACAGAAATTTGCAACTTAATTAAATGATTTTTCTATTTTACTTTTTATTTTTTAAAACAAAAGGAAAAACAGCCTAAACGCTGATTGTACAGTCGTTATTTTGATAGTTTACTTTTAACCTCGGATTAATTTTAAAAATTTTAACATATAAATAGATCTGATAGACAGTTGGATATCTTCAAATATATATATATATATATATATATATATATCTCTTTTTATCTTAAATAAAGTTAAAATATAAAAAACAATAAAAAAATCTGTCAATTAAATATCAAATTAACATTAACTAGATTTAGAAAAACTAAAATTAATCATTTTTTGGAAATATTAAACAAATTTATTGACTAAAATGTTAAAAAAAAAACTTGATATATATTATAATATAAAAAAATAATGTCAAAAATTTGACGCCAGCCTAATGTCAGAAATTCTACTTATACGTACACCTGAAATACAATTAAGAAAATCGAATCTGAAAATTATTAGGTGGGACATGAAGGGGAAAAAAAAGCTAATTCTACCCCCAATGTTAATTTCAACGGTAAGAGTAAAATATGACGTCACTGCCCAAAGTTTAGGGAGTTGGCTTTCGTAGAGGAGCCCCTCCTCTCACTCTCTCATGGACTATTAAGACTTAAATTTTTTAATTTTAAATTTAAATTTTTTATTTATTAAATTAATAATTTATAAAAATTATAAAAAAATTAATATAAATGATCAAATTTTAATATTAATTTTTTTTATAATTTTTCTAAAATGACTTTACAAATTCACTCTGGATGGTGCAAAGTTAATATTACATTTTTTTATAATTTTTATAAATTTTGTTTTGATAATAGAATATTAAAAATAAAGATAATCTTGTAACATGCACTTTTTAAAAATATTTTTTAAAAAATTTATGAGTTAAGAATTTTGAATTTCAACTGTTCAGAATATATTTGAATAATTAATTTATAAAAAAATTAATATTAAATATGAACCGTCCACATTAAATTTGAGTGCAAAGTTCAAATTGGTTTTCTGGAAAAAAAAATCTGAAATTCTCTACTACATATATCTATGGTTTAGGATGTTTTCTCCTAAATAGAAGCCAATCTTCATCAGACTATTTTTTTGGGCTGAACAACACTGATAATATATTAATTGACTAAATAAAAATTACAAACCGGAAAAAGGTCCGAAAGCTTAGCGATATACAGACCTAACACTAGCAAGTTATCAAAAATTAATCGTGATCAAGGTTGATTCACTCCTATATTTTAAGCCAATCGTGTCCTTTGATGAAGGTTCTACCGACATATCGAATTGCTTGATCATCTGACAAAGATTTGGACCATGAAGCTCTTCCAATTCTGTTTGATCCAGGTCCCTGATTCATGTACTCTCCGAAAAAGGAGGTGCTGCAATATAAGTAATTCATAATTATCTACTCATCAATTTTCACATGAATTTGATAACATTAATGAAACTTGAGAAAAATAACTGAGGAAATTAATGTAATGGGTTAGAAGGAGTGACGTTACTTCTGTTTGTAGGGATTATCCCAATCACTCCAGCCTACAGGGTCGATGATATTGTGGAATGTGCAGAAGGAATATATGATTCTGGAATAATTGCCCCAAGCTCGCCCAAGAATGGTGGGTCCAGTTCCTAGGATTTTGCAATCCTCAAAGATAAAACCTGAATCATCTTCTGTGTTCCTTTCGTGTGCTGCTATTGCTCCTGCTCTTGTTGAGTTTATTGTACAGTCCTGATAACACATGCATAAGTAGCTGTTAGAGAAGTATTGGTCGATGACATTCTAGAGGCGAGTGAAAGAAGCAAATACTGTGTATATTCAAAGTAAGCAACATTTATGGATAATTTCTCTAAGAAGACCCTAGTGTATGATTCTAGAGATTGCAAAGGTTATATTGATTATTTTTTAATTTTTTATTTTGACCAGCTATTTTTTTAATTTTTTTCAGTAAACTTCATAGTTTTTTATTTATTATATATTGTCTTTCTGCTTTAAATTAAATTTTCTATTTATTATTTATTCATGTATTTCTAGTGTCTTTTCCATTGGAGGCCATAGTGTGCACCTTTTTCATCTTGGACTTACAACCTTATAACTTTCACTAGACTCAAAATCTGTTAGGTTAATATTCTTATACTTTAGTTAGTATACAAAATTGAAATATTTTTGAATGCCTATAATAAGAAGAAAAAAAAAGTTACATCTGCATGAAGATGTATTAAAATTACTTAATGTTTTTAATCATAATATTAAAATTAAATTAGCGCGTACACACACATATTATTATCTAGAATATTCTTCAAATATATTATATTATTATGCTGTATATATTTCAATTATTATTAGAAGATATTATTTGATATTATTATATAATTATTATTAGTGATTATGTGTTATCTATTTCTTAGTGTAGATAATGTAAGCTTAAGATTCGTAATATATATAACATTTTTTAATCCTTCCCCGACTCATCTCTCTCTAATAGCTTTCATATACACATAGTAAAAATCAACAGCTACACATTTCATGATTTCAGATAAAAGAGAGAGAGAGAGAGAGAGATGTGGTGACCAATTCAAACGCCACAAAGGCTATTTCATACATTTTATTATGAGGTTATTAATAAATATTCATTTATTAAAAGATTTAATAAGATATAGGAGATCGATTTGCCCAAAAAAATAAGATATAAGAGAAACATAAAAATAATATAAGACTTAATTAGTGTTGAAAAAAAGAGAAAAAACCTGATACAACGATGTGGCACTTCCACAGATGAAATCGATGCTTCCTTCAATGTAACAATGATAAAATAAATGAGTTCCAATATTATCCATAAGAGTGTCTTGATACCCTAAGAACCTCACTTTGTAAAACACAGATTTATCTCCGTCTATTCTTATCGCCAATGCTTGATCTCCATGCCCACTTGGAACTGCACTATTCTGCACATGTAACTCTTTCGCCATCAAATTCCTTTTATCTTTCCATGTATAAATAAAGATACTAATTCATCACAAATCCGCAATCAATAATTAATTATAATTAATTACCTCAATGGTTAGAGCGGCAGCAACAAAATAGTTGGATTGAACCAGAACGGTTGCAGTATTCATGCTTCCTAACATGTTCCCAGACTGATCTGTATCAGACGCCTTTCGACAACTTGTGATCACTGGGAAATCGCCATTTCTTGTATTTGGTCTTCCGATGATTGATACATACGACTTGTTTGCTGGTATTTCCACTGTTTCACTGCTTATATACATCAGATTGTGAAATATAATTGCAGAAACTTACGAATTAATTCATGAACGAAACATATATAATGATCGGCGTGTATGTATGTACTTGTAAGTTCCAGTATAAACAAGGATTTTCATTCGTGATTCATTGTTGGCAGGGATCAAATCTACAGCTCCTTGAATTGTGATTGAATTTCCACGTCCGTTTTGATCAACCACGATAGCTCTACCACTCTTGATGTCATTTCGCGTCACTATTAGGTCTTTCCACGAAATGAATAATTCTGCGCTAGTGCTAGCATCATTCGCTGCAGCGGTGACCGCCACCACAAGTGTTAAAATTAAAGGTTCAAGTTTTAGCTGCTTCATACTGTCAACAGGTCATTGGGTTCGCAAGGTACTGTTATTTATGGCGCTCACAAATGAAGACGACCACGGCAAAAATATGAGGAAAGAGAACAAAAAGAAGACGCGGGAAGCAATGAAGAAAAATGTGCCAAAGGTGTATGGGGAAAAATCCTATGAGGCTTGTTTATTTTATATATATGTGTGTGCTCTGAGTAATCTTAGATATATAATTTATTTTTTAATAATTAATAAAACTAGTATGTCACGGGTGTGAACAAAATTAAAAATAATATAAATATACGATAATATTCAATTAATATTTAAAATTTAACTTTTTATTAAATATACTGTGAGAACAAAAAATCGTTTGGGTGGGAAAAATTTTAAAACACGAAGTTTACAAAATCAAACATCCTGGTAAATTATAGAGAGGAAGTTATGATACTAAATAATTGCATACGCTATTTTATTCCTTATTAATATTAAACAAAGTAAATATTCTTAATAAGAATATTGTAAATTTGACACCCCAAAAAAAATATTTTTAAATATTTCACAGTTATTAGCTCTAGTATAAATTAGAAAAAAGAGATAATGAACGTATACCAAATTGATCAATTATTTTTAAATTAAAATCTTAAAATTAAATGAGCAATTAAAAAAAAGTAAACAACAGACATGTGTTATCTATGCGAAGAGATACTTGTCATGTATAGGAAGAGACACTTGTTATCCATATAAAAATTTGCTAATTATTCTTCTATTGTATTTATAAATTAGAAAAAAGAGATAATGAACGTATACCAAATTGATCAATTATTTTTAAATTAAAATCTTAAAATTAAATGAGCAATTAAAAAAAAAAGTGTTATCTATGCTATTATGTCTTTCCACGAAATGAATAATTCTATGCTAGGGCTAGCATCGTTTGCTACGGCGGCAACCACCACCCCAAGTGTTAAGATCAAAGGTTCAAATTTTAGTCACTTCATATCGTCAACGGATCATTGGGTTCACAATGTACTGCTATTTATGGCCACAAATGAAGACGACCATGAGAGAAATATGAAAAAGAAGACGCAGTAAGTATTAGGAATGCATCACAAATGAAAAAAAAAGGCGCCAAAGATATATAAGGAAAAATCATGTTAGGTGTGTTTATGGTATATATATTATATATGCAGAGTAATCTTAGATAATTTATTTTTTAATAATTAATAAAACTAGTACGTCATGGGTGTGAACAAAATTAAAAATAATATAAATATATGATAATATTCAATTAATATTTAGAATTTAATTTTTTATTAAATAAAATGTGAGAACAAAAATTGTTTGGATAGAAAAAATTTTAAAACACGGCGTTTAAAAAATCAAACATCCTGGTAGATTATAGAGAGGAAGTTATGATATTAAATAATTGCATGCGCTATTTTATTCACCGTTAATATTAAACAAAGTAGATATTCATAATAAGAATATTGTAAATGTGACACCCAAAAAAATATTTTTAAATATTTTACAGTTATTAAACTCTAGTATAAATTAGAAAAAAGAGATAATGAACATACACCAAATTGTCCAATTATTTTTAAATTAAAATCTTAAAATTAAATGAGCAATTAAAAAAAGCAAATAAGAGACACGTTTTATCTATGGAGAGAGATACTCGTCTTGTATAGGAAGAGACACTTGTTATCCATAGAAAGATACTAATTATTCTTCTATTATATATAGATCTAGTGTGAGACGGCAGATTGGCCTAGGGAAGTTGATTTTGGTTATTTTTTTCTGTTTTGTTTTTGTTGCTTTGCACTCGCTTTTCATCTGATCATAAAAAATAATTTATTTTTAATAAAGCACTACTTTTAAAATTTGAAGAAAAAAGGATAAGTAGAAAATATGGGGAATTAATTAAATATCTTTGGCCATTGTTCTATCAATGAAAAATAATTAAATTTATTTTAATATTTTAAAATTATTATCTATCATATGCATCATACTAAAAAATATATAGTGTATTTAAGAAAAAGATGTCAAAGATAGGGAAAAACACGTGGTAAAACTTTGAATTGAAATCATATTAGTCGTGTTTTAGTGTTTAACATGCAAAGATCAATATTAAATCTTGATAAAAAGATTATCTTAACAGTATTTTGGTTACCTGCCTTTAATTAAGTGGGGAGATATAATTTAGACAGTTATGAAAAAAGAACACCGTGTGTAGACAATTAATTAAATATCTTTGATGATTTATTTTTCAATGAGCATGATATCTACATCAATATAAAACAAAAATATATAGGAAATATAAGAATATGAAAAATGATTGAATTTATTTTGATCTTTTAAAATTATTACCTATCATATGCATCATACTAAAAAAGTAAGGTGTGTTTCAGATCTATAATGAAAAATGATATATTGGGAATATCAGAGGTACTAATATACACACACACATCATTATAATTTTCTAATTTCATTGGATATTGGGTGTCCTGAAGCAACAAAATATATAGGCATAGATAGGTTTAGATATGTACAAATATCCTTATATCCTTATATATTTCTTTTATGCTCCAATATCCTCAGATGCAATCCATGATTATTTTGACCCAATTGAAGAACTAAAAATTTAAATTTTTATATAGAGATGTTTATAATTTTTTTAATTGTTCATAGGTATTCTCTTATTTATGGTCCAGTATTAAATGTAATACATCTCCTAATGAAAATTTTAATTTTAATTTATTATGCTATTAGTCATTTTTGTTAGACTCAACTCTCTTGATGTAGATTTTTATAATTTAAAGGAAGATTTAAATTAAAAGCCTGGCCCAATTTTTCTCCAACACAGTGATCCCTTGACCAAATGTGGGCTAACCCATATTCATACCTCAAGTGCTATTTTTGTTTTTTTGTTTTTTTGCTACAGATAACTCAAACATTTTGTCTGATTAGATGACATGCATCTCTCATTTCATTTTTTTAAGGAAAATTTTCAGTTTTTTTAATGGCTATTTGATTAGGTTAAACTTAAGTATTGTTGGGCTCAATTAAAAGTAATTATCCTAAAAATATATTCTACATTCATACAAACTCAAACCAAATACTTCATATTTAAATGATCACAATTCATTCCATTAAGATCAATGCTTTCTTGACATAGGAAAAATAAACTCCTCTAAGCAAGAATTAAATACTTATAATGAAAGTTTTTACTATGAAAACACAAGTGGTTGGAAACTATGCAGCATGAAAGAGTAATTTTTTTTGCTGGCTTCATTATTTGGGTAGAGAAATGCTAAATATGAGGTAAATAAAAGGAAACTAAAACCTTAACTAGAAAATTAAAGCACATGTCGCTCAGGATGCTGGTGAGATGTTTTATACATAGGCTCAAACTCACTCAAGCAACCACTGTAGAGTATTATATTAGACTTAAGAGAACTAAAAACAGAAAGAAAGAAACCTTTTGAGGGCAATAACAATTATGTGTGGAATATTGGATGGGCATGAGTATGATGATGTTGAATTGGGTGTGATTCTTCTACGTCCCTATTCCTTGCTTGCAAAGAGGACAACAGGATATGATTCTGAGCCACTGGTCCACGCACTTTTGGTGGAAGATGTGGTTACAAGGAAGCTCTCTAACTTGTTCTTTCTCTTTGTATTTGGCCAAGCAAATGCAGCATTCCTGTCATCATCAATGTCCCACAAATTCAGTTGTGTCTACATACAACATACTATATCAATAATAATGTCAATATATTTTCATTCTTCACTTCTTATTCATAATTTGGTTGGTCACTGATAAAGTTACTTAAACAAATAAATTGCAACTATTGATATAAATTTTTATAAATTTAAGAATTTTAATTGCAAATGAAATATTTAAATTTTAAAATTAGCTTTTATTTTGCAATTAGGATTTTTGTTTGCATCTTTTAAAACCAATATTTACAATTTATTTTTAAAAAAATTGCCGAGAACATATGAAATATGAATAATGAAATGTATCTAAAACTCCATGCAAATGCACAAGATTCATTGTACTTGAAAACATTTTTCTGGGGAAAAAAATTGAACTGTTCCCAGGTAAAAAAAAAAAAAACCACAACTTGTTTCTCAAAATCCATAAAATGCTAGGAGAAATATGTAAAATGTCATAATAAACACGACTAGTACAATTCATCTTGAATTCCATGTAAATGCACAGTGAAGACAAACACAGATCACAAGCCAAAAACAAGCACAACTTGTTTCTCAAGCTCCATAGAATGTTAGAAATGAGGTTGAAACAAGCACTTACATCGTGTTCTTGAGAGTGATCATGAGAATCAGGGGAAGGAGGGAGAGGAGCATAGGGCCGAGAAGGAAGCAGAGAGATCAGCTGATCAGAAGCAGGGGAAACAGGGGAAGCAGGGGAGTGGCCAAGGAGAGAGCAGAGGAGAGGCAGGAAGCAGCAGAGCAGAAGAAAGAGCATGAAAGGGAAGGAGTAGGAGATGGCATTCCAAGCAAGAAGAGAGATGCAGAGTACGTGCAGCTTTGGAGCTCTGTGGATTGATCCATAGCCACACCCAAACACCCACACATTTCCCATCACAAACCATATTCCAAACATCAGTTCCAATGAACTCCTACACTTGTTCATCAATGCACATGCCCTGTATTCATCCACAAAATCCCACTCTGTTATACGTAATCTGTGTCTCTAGTATAATTCATCTTAGACTTCATGCAAAATGTAAGCCAAACCCTGCAACTGACTTTTGGAAATAATGAATATGGTTTTCACTGACCAATCATCCGGGTATTCCTTACTTATGCCACGCATGATTTGAAATTTTTATTTTTATTTTAGTCTAATTTATCCCATATATTGTATAAATTCTATGAAAATAAATTGTATTATTATTAACAAATTACAACTTGTAAACGGGATTTGTGATAGATCTTGTATTTTATAGTAATGTCAATGTTAATTCTTAAATTCAATTACTTAAATAATTTTATACTTAATTTTTTTTAAAATGCAACTTTTAGCACTTGAAGATTCCTTGATTACCAATCCAGTACTTCAAATTTGATTCAAAATAACTTAGTTTTTGTAATTTTTTTATTCTGAATAACTCAATTGTTATAGTTTGTTGATTAGATACAATTTGGTTCTTATAATCATTAACTTAATAAATTATAAAAATTGAGTCTTATGAAGTTAAAGTTCAAGAATTAAATTAATAGTTGAAAAAAAATTATGAACTAAAAGTTACATTATTTTTAATTACTTGAAATTATTCAAAATTTAACACCTCATATTGTTAAAAAAACAAAAAAGAATAATCAAGATGTTACCATGTGTAACATGCATGGGATTAAAAAATTGATTTTTTTTTGGGTAAATAAATGATATATATACACAAATGATTGGATAACTTTTTCAAACCGGGAAAAGTTACCTTTGAAAAGGGCAAAAAATGAAGATTTTTGTGTGGACGTACATGCGTCACCTATAACTATAACTATATCCGCTGCTAAATTCACAAGTGATGGATCCCCTTTCTAATTTTTTCCACATGATAATTCCATAACTACATATAAACCTATCTGTAATTAGTTGTCCTGGACTGCATGTCGTGTAGAACAACACAACTCGGTTTCAAGAATCACCATTTGGGTAATATCATTCATTCATGTCAAATAATTAAAATGAATTTTTTTTTTTTAAAAAAGACAAGTTCCTGAAATTTACCTGGTCTCATCCTGTTCACTTCCTCTCTGCTGTTCCAAATCAGAGAGGCTAAGAACGAGTGATTGATCCAAATGAAGAAGACGATATCGCCCATAAAGCAGCAACAAACTAAGAACACACCCAATTTCATACCCCAAAATCCAGAATCTCATCGGCCAAACTGGTTTCTCCTCCTGCGAAATCGCCAACGTCGCCGTCGAAGCCGTTATCTGCACCATCAGAGCCACCAGCTCCATTGTCATCCACGTGGCCGAGTTAAACGGGTTGGACCCGATATCCGATCTCGACCCGTTTTGGTACTGGAAGACCCTCCGCAAGAACACAAACCATCTGGCTCTGTAAATCCTCATTACCATCCCAATCATGAAGGAATCAGAAACTGACCTGTTTCTGACACTCACCGTTTGTTCCTCTGCTTCCGAAGAATTCATTTTGCAAAATAGGTCGAGAATTCCTAGGTTATGTATTTCGTGGGTTCAGAAAGAGTCCAAATGGTTCTGTTAAGGACGGAGTGTGCTATGATTCTTGATACTGAAGGTGGGAATAAAAAATTGCCGAGAAGATACCTCCTGAAAGTTTCATGAAGTAATTTAAAATAGACAAAAAGACATATATGTAGAACCAAGTTTGCTGGTTGTAGATACAGAGCTCTGAGACTGAGAATCTCTAGAAATAATTGAACTTGAAGCTCTTAAATCCTCAGAGCAGGATAGTTGGCTCAAGTGAAGAACTTTTCTGAAGTCTGGAGTCTGAAACAGGTTGAAACCTCAGGAAACTTTGAAAAAGATGAAACTTTTAGTAGAAACAAACTAAACAGAGAACTTCAGGTGAAGATTTCTGGTGGGTTTTCAGGGATAGAGACCAAGAATATGAATAAGAAGAAGAAGGGATACTTCAGAGAGACAAAAGTAAGAGACTTTCAAAAGCAACAATCTGTACAGAAAGCTTTTGAGATGGAATTTGAAGAAGAAAAAGAAGGATGAAACTTTTCAGCAGCAAGATACTGAAGAAAAAGTGACGAAGAATTTCGGTGATTGGAAGTGAAGAAGAAGAAGAAGAAGAAGCGGACCAAGAATAAGGCGATTAAGGGTTTGCTTGGATTCTAAGAGAATACAAAAGATTTGGAGGGAAGTTAACGGTTGGCCAACTTCCTTAGTCTAAGCTTCTTCCTTTTTCTTATTTTATTTATGGAGTAAGCCAAACCCTGAAAAAAGTAACTTTTGTATTTCACACTTCAATTTCAGACTTCACCCCCATTCTCCCTTTCTCACATAGAGCATTAAAACAAATGGAAAGACTCTTTCTTTCTTTCTTCTTCTTTTTTTAATAATTACTAAATTAACTAATTAGAAGTTTTCATAGCCTAAGTTTTAATCTTTTTCTCAAATAAGCTATTAAAAAGAAGCAATATACTGAAAATCAAACTGATTATTAGAACTAGTCAAAATATTACTATAAGGGTTGACAATTATAGTCAAGTTATAGTTAAATAGGTTATAAATAAAATATTTTATCAAACGATCAATGTGCTAGTTCAATGTTTTACCATTTTAATTAATCAAGTTGACTTAATTTTTAGTACTATGAAAAAAAGTTTTCTTTTTCCATCACATTTTCTTGTATACCACATCTATATTCTAATTTTGAAATATTTAAATCAAATCTTTTCTATCTGTATTCTTAAAAAAAATCAAATTTGAACAATCAAATTTAATCATCCATTTAGTGAAATAAGGTTTTCATGGTCATAGATATATTACCTAACTTAATCATTTTACATTTTTTATGCATATGATTTGAGAATATAATCTTTCTCAACCAACAAAGGTTGATCTAATTAGTAAAAATTTAACTCATAATTTACAAAGTTTTCTTATGATGTGGGTACGTTGTTGGGTTGGTGGGCGGTATGTATGATTATGGATTTCATTTTGTAAAAAGTGGTTCCATCCCCATTCAACATTAATATCAACATTAACAGAATTTAAAACCTAAGAAGAGACGTCAACAATAAAGAGGAGGCAACTTCAATGGAAATAAATTAGATAGGGAAATTAAGGAATTAAAAAAACAGGTGCTTTTGAGGAATGGATATGTTGCTTAAATTGCTGAAATTGGACCATTATATTAATATATTTTATTTGCCAGCCACTAGCCATTGGCATCACGTTGCTTAATCTTTAACAGTCATATATCATAAACTATAATTAATATATAATAAATGAGTTTTTGATTAAAGAAATGGTTTTGTGACGTAATTGACCGAAATTAGCTTAACCATCTATCCACCTATCTCTGCAACGTGTTGATATTGACATTTCTTGCTAGGGAAAGCAGTCACATTCAGAAAATGGATAAATGTGATTGGACCATTGAAGAAAGTTGAAAGCTTCAATCTTTGTGACCTTTTTTTTGGCCAGATTCTTTGTTACTTTATCTTACATTCACTTTGAAGCTAGACTGGGTTCATGAGTTTATTGACTTCTTTCACCCTACATGTTATTATTTATTTTTCCTAATTTTTTTTGGTTTTCTTTTACTCTAACTGGATTTCTCTTTAATTTACAGGTTATGCTTATTTCCTGATTTTATATTTTTATAAATTGATCCAAATAAGAAGGATATTTGTTAGCCACCTAGGCAAATTTGGAACATAAGAGTGAAGGCAGGATGAAATATCCGTAAAAGTTTAGTGTTTAAATATTTTTTACTAGATACTTGAGATCAATTGGCTAGGAAGTTGATCCCTTTTAATAAGAGATTTTGAGTTTGAGTTTTGGATATGCAGTAACTATTGAATTCTTAATGAAAATTATGCCTTCAAAGAGATGCCAGCAAGTTGCCAATCAAATTAGTTTAAATCAAAGACTTGGAATATTGAAATCAAAACAGAACAAAAAAATAATAATTGATGGATAGATATTGTCATATTTAAAATTCAAAAAAAAAATATTGGAGTTAAATTTTGAAAGCCTTATAGAACATTTTTTCCTAAAAAAGAAAAAATAGAGATCTTGATGGTATGAGATCCTAAGGGTGAAAAACTTTTGAACATACAATTTTTTTTTTTAAAATGAAGTGCCAAATATACAGATAATCCTTTTTTTTAATATGATTATTTGATATTCAAGCAATTTCAGGGTCCAATTTGGGATAGTTCTTGCAAAAAACAGTTTTTTGCATTCACATAAATTCAAATTTGAAATCTTATGCTTATGCGTCTATAGCCCCTTCCATTATAAATAGATATCTGCAAATAATTTTTCATTTTACTACATTTTATGCGTTGAATTGAGATTACTTGAAATACACGTTACTTGCCAATTTATGAAGCTGTTTGGTTGAATTTAGTGAACATTTTAAAAAAGATGCTGTATAACTCTAAAAAATTAACTTCTAAAATATTGAAGATTTTTTTAAAAACCAGATTGATTAGGTTATTTTATTGTATCGAAAATTGGCATTGCATTTAGTTAAGCATAAGGGTAAAAACTATGATCTAGTCGGATCAATAGAAAATATGTAAAACCAGTGAATTGGGAATCAATTTGAACTGCTTTTTTTTTTAAAACAAAAAAAAAAACAAAAAACCCAGATGTTATCTAAACGGTCCACATAAGAAGTGCACTTTGATCCATATCTCTGGTTACAAGGAAATATATGCACCAAATCCAATTTCACTTCCTTGAGGCAATCAAAATTTGAAACTAAGAAAGTGTTGGCTTTAACAAGCACTTCGTGATGGTGATTGGGTTCCAAAAGTTCTTATTTCTCTTCACCTTTGTCTTCAATCACATTTGAAAATCCGCAAGTATGAGGATTCAAAGATCACAAAGTATTAATTAAACCTAAGAATATAGTTTACTTCATTTCTTTCTTTCCTTTCTAATCACGCTTGCTCACATTTCTCCCTCTCTAGTACTTTGGAAGAATCCTTCAAAACAAAAAAATGGAAAACATGAATTAATTAATGTACAACAATGATTACTGCCTAATATCTCCGATGATACAGATAAAAAATAATTCTGGACAAAACCAGAACTTAGAAGGCAATTACTATACAGAATCAACAATGCTCTTGCACCTACCTGCTGAGGCCTAATAAGAATATATAATAATGCAGAGAGGCAGAGACTCAGGTTTGTTTCTGCTTCGTCCTGTCTTTTGGTGCATCCAAAACAAATTCAACGTATAAATCCTTCAGAGCAACCATAACTGTAGTTATCAGTGTCCCCATTATAGCATCCTGCAATGTTACCCATAAATTTTCCAGTTAATTTCACACCATCAAGCAATATACAAGAAACTTGCAATAAATCAGACTGTCACAAGTTTAGTTGAAACTAGCATCTCATAAGGGAAAACTTGTCATATGTGGCAGATCAAAGGACTCATCATGGTGTTAAGATTCATCATACATGCCAAAAAAGAGCAAATCACTTCATAGAAAGTATTAGAAAATTAACGCATAAAGGTTTGTCCATGAGTTGGTAAGAATTTGGTCCATAATCTATAAGGTCATATGTTTAAATCTCGTTGCTGATGGAAGGATTTTATTGATGAGTGATTTGTAAATATTTTTCAATAAATATCAGAAAATGAAATCATGGACAGTAATGGCTTACCTCTAGACCTATATGGAACAAAGTCATTCCCCCAATGATGGTAAGACCAGTAAGGTATTCACTATTCCCAGGAACATCTTCCATAATCTCAGATGCACTATAATCCATTAGGAAAATGTGAATAACAGATGAGATAATGGCCACAATGTATCTTCCTTCCAGAAATAGCTGCAGAACTGCCGGGATTGTCGCAAGCCACGATGGAAATAGTGGAATTAGAGGACTGACAAAGGCAAGTCCAGTTGACATGTACAGAAAATGAATGTTGAGTAGCTTAAACAAGAGCCAAGTGAGACATCCCTGAGAGAATGAAATCTCTACAGTAGCTAGAAGCACTCCTGAAATAGCATTATCAAGAACTTCTACAAATCTAACCCTAGTTGAGCTTGAAACTGGAACCATACCAATCACTTGTTCTGTTACTCCACCAGAATCTGATGTGATGAGAAAATACAAAACCCAGAAAAACACCATTGACTGAGATGCAAAGTTTAAAACCCCTGCAGCTCCTGAGATTATGGAATTGGCTGCGGAAAAAAAGAATGTTGCAGCACTTCCAACCACATTTGTAGTACCACTACCAGCAAATTCTCTTGCTTTCTGAACTAATTCATGGCGAGTAACTGCAAATTCGCTAAACATGGTATCAAGCTCTGTATGAATCTGGTTCCACTCACGGTTTCTAAACTGGGTTTTCAAGTGCAAGAGCTTTTCTGTAAAATATGATGATGAGTGAGCCAGTAAAGTCAATGAAGGTGATGATGAAGAATTATCATTAACACGAGGATTTATCACAAAATGCTTTATGCTCGTCACAATCTCAGTTATATTGTACTGTATTGCCAATCTGTCTATCTGATCAGACACTGCCTCATATAACTTGGTACTGTACTTATCTACCAGTTCAGGAACATCATTCTCATCCATCCACTTCTTCACACCAATTTTCTCAGCATAATTGCTCTTCTCTACACGTTGTTTCAGCATAATCATGGCGTCTTTCCCTTCAACTGCGGTGCTGTAAGAGAAGAATATCACACCAAACAAAGACCCCATAATCATACCAACAATCAACCCCAATGCTACAATTGTTTTCAGCCTTTTCAGTATTGCTCGTGTGAACAAGGCGCTAATCTTACTACGTTTGAAGCTGTTCATGTTATTACTTCTGAATGAAGACAACGTGGACATGGTCGAATTTACGTGTTTAGAGCTAAACACAAAGCCTAATCCCAGAAGCGATAATGATACAACACCTCCGAGGCTCTCGTATGTGATTAGGAATATCCCAAAGGACAAGAGCAAACGAAGTAAATTGGAAAAACCAGTACGTTTCCTTACTGTTGAAGCCTCATCATCATCGTGAGATTTTGGTTTTCCGAGCAGAAACCGAAAAACTGCTTTGCGAATCTCAACGAGGGTTCCGACAAAGACACAAAATATAGAAACTGGAACTGCGAGTACTGTCTCCGTGAATCCTAATTTCAAGGGTTCTTCCCAAAACGTGACGAGGGTTTGCTGAATTCCTCTGAGAGGAATAGAACACAGCACAGCCCAAAGAAGAGGCCGGAGATATTCTTCCAAGAGCTTACACACAGTGTATAGTATAAAAAAGGCTAAGACAAGCCCTGCATGGGCCATGGCTATGTATAAAGCAAGTCGTACCTGGGGATCGCCAGAGAGGGTGATTTTCTGCTCTGGGTGGCCGGTACTCGGCGGCGCATGGGGTTGAGATGTTGGAGTTGACGGTGTCGGGGAAGGGTTTCTGTTAGATTCTGATGGAAACACATCATCACGTAGTGGTGGGGTGGTGGAATAATGTGAATCAGAATGAGGAACTAGCTCCATTTCAGATGCAGAAAGCTCCACTTCCTGAGCTGATAGAAGCAACTCAGGAAGGTGGAAGACGAAGACGAAGTCGAAGGCCCAGCAATATAGAAATGGAAGTGCCTCAATATGGATTTAGGCGGAGAAGCATAGGAGCTTTAATTTCTTTTTCGTGGGGCAGTGGACTAGTCGAAAATGACGAAGGAATGAGATTAAAATATGAGCGTTCACATTCTGTTCAGGCACGCTACAACATAAAATCAAACCCCGCTTAAAAAAGGGTTGGGTATAGGGGAAAAGAACAACTCTGATGCGTTGCACTTGCGCTGGCGTGCAGGAGAGTGCAGAGTGCACTGCAGAATTTTAAATTGTGAGCTTTGTCATAATATATTGCTAGTCTTCGTTCGACTTTGAGTGAATAATTGTTTTGCGGCTCATTTTCCTTTCTGCACATGTCCATATAAAAACTCGACCAAGAAAACATTAAGGGCTATTTGTTTTCCGTTTTTAAAAATTGTTTTTTAAACAGAAATATTTAATTATTTTTAAAATTATTTTTATTTTCTAAAAACAAAAACTAGAAACCAGTTCAAATTAATTTTATTTTATTTTTCTTATTTTTAAACTACATTACATTTAATTACTAGAAATCACAATTACTTTAACAAATTTTTATTATAAATTACTACCATTAATTGTCTTTAATTATTAATATTAATTTTTAAATTAATATAATCAAACAGATTTTTATTTTATTTTATTTTGTTTTAAAAAATAATTTTAAAAACTACTTTTTCTGATTCTATTTATAAATTATTTTTATTAATTTCATCAATGTCAATATAACAAAAAATATAAGAAATAATTGTAAATAAAATTTTAAAACTAAACTCAAAAAATGAGCAAAAAAGTATAATAAATTAATATAATATTATTTTCTTGTATTACTCCCTCATATTTTACGGTGAAAAAGTTGCTTTTTTTTTTTTTTTCCTGGCCAGGGTTGAAAACATATTGGAACTGTGACAAAGGAACGATGAGCTCAAAGGTAGAGAAACGATTGACGGAGCGAGAGCGAAGATGATGAGAGAACAGGCAAAAAAGTGAGAGTGAGAGAGATGATGAGAGAACAGGCAAAAAAGTGAGAGTGAGAGAGAGAGAGAGAGAGAGAGAGAGAGAGAGAGAGAGAGAGATATGCATCAAGAAACAGAAAGTGAGCAATGTAAAATGGCATGGGTATTTTGAAAATTTTATTTTGAAATACAAAATCCTGATCTATCAATGACTAATACTAAGGATCCTGCGACTAACAAGGCAGATCAGAGGGAGTATATTACAAAACAAATTTTCTTTTTTTTTTAAAAAAAAAGGAAAACTAGAAACCAAACATGCCTTAAATACACAGTTTATTATGATTTCTCAATTCTTAATTATGACCAATTCAAACGATGGCATTGGTAGGTCGCGTCCGCTGTGTTGCTGTGCTCATCAAGGTCGAGTAATCTTGACCTTTTATTTTAACCTAAAATAATATCTGCCATTCATTTAAATTAATTTTTAAATATTTTTAACATTATATTGAGTAAAATAAAAAATATAAAAAAATTAATATTAAACCTGAATTATTTAAAATATATGTAAATGATTAATTTATAAAATTTATAAATTTTTTAATATTAAATTAAGTCATCCAGATTATATCATAATTGTTCAGAGTCTAGCTAAATAGTTAAACTATAAAATTATAAAAATTTTTAATATTAAATTGGAAAGCTAAATTAAATTTATATTGGCAGTGAACAGATTTATTAAAATTTTTTAAAAAATTATATGTTTTATATTAATAAATATAATATTAAAGAATGAATGGCATATATCAATTTAAATTAAAATAAAGGGTGAAGATTTTTCTGGATTGTGCTCATCACAGCACCCAATGGAATTCCTCGGTAGGTCCCCGATATTGAGGGCCTCCGTTTTAAAAAAAGGAAAGGCAGGTTTGCATGTTCTTGTCAATTAGGTATTTTTTATTTCAAACATTCATACAATTTAAAAAAATTAATTAATTCTTATAATTATATTTAAAATTAAAATATTTAGACTAAAATATTCTTATAATTAATTTTTTCTTGTTTTCTTTAATTTAATGATGCTGTCTATTTATGAAAAATAATTTAAAAAATATATAATTAATACTTTTTTAAATTTATAATTTTAAGAATGCACTCATATTAATTTTAAATTTTTAAAAGTGGATGGAGTTCCGTGCAACAGACCAACTACCTCAATATCAAGAAAAGTCGTATATATTTAAACCTATTTTTAAAGGGAGGATGTACCAATCCTCATTCAGTTAAACAAAGCCGTCCATAGTTGTCGCCTATGCCCCTTTGGCGGAGCTGTTGAAACTCTTGCATGAGAAAATGATTTATATAATTTTTAATGAAAAAGCTGTGATAAAGTTCAGTAATATTTTTGATGTATTGTGTTGCCTAGCCATGTATCTGAGTAGACGCTGACTCATATAACTGGGAACTGTACTCAACCACTCAAACAACCACTTCTTCACACCGATTTTTTTAGCATAATCGCTCCTCTCTACACGTTCTTACTTGTCAGGTTAGATCAAGGAAAAACGACATTCATGGACTTCGAGGAGCGGGGAGAGTACATTGAAGGCTCTCAAGTTTTTGAAAATACAATGATTTGGTTTTTGTTTTTTCAAAGAAAATAGGAATTGGGTATTTGGGGTGCCAAAAATATCCCTCACGTTTGACTTGTAATTTTTTTTAATATTAGGTCACAAAAATATTGCACAAGAGATTAAAATTAAGTCATGTCTAAAATCATAAGATTAATATAATTAGGTGGCAAATTATCTAAAACCATAATATCAAAGCTATCTCAGAATGTCCGATGGGTTAGCAAATTTGCACATCTATTTGTTTTTTTATAAACGTGGTCAAAGGTGATTTCTCAATCCTTCATGGTGAGATCTCTAATTTTCTTAATATATTCTTAAAGATGATGTCTTTCAGAGTGGTTATAATTGATAAGAAATAAAGCTTCATGAAATCAGAGTAGATATTGATTTTAAAGAAGTTAGCATTCCAACAAAATTTAAAACCCTCTAAAATTCCCATAAGTTCAGCAACTGTGTTAGAATAGTAGTCAAGATTCTTAGTGAATCCCTTAATCTAATTATCCTTAGTAGTCAAGCAACTGCCCCATTGATGTTGATAGATTTGTCAATGTCAAACTTGACCCACCCAGGTGCAGGAGGGCTCCATTTAACTTCATGTTTAGCACCACTTTTGCTTAGATAGTTGATTTTTGGTTTGAAGCGATAGGTCATTAATAATTTGTTGAGTGCATGAGAAGGCAATGTCTTTGTCTTGGGTATTATTTTTAGAGTAAATCTTGTTGCATCTTACCTTCCATATACTCCAGCAGGAAAGTGTGAAGAGTCTCTGCTAATTCATTCTTCTCCTACTCAAGTTACCTGTTTCATTTTCAGTATTTCAAATTATCCAATCTTGCACACACAGAGAGAAGAAAGTATTAAGTTTGGTAGGATTAACTAATTTTTTTAAAACACCATGAGCTTCTTCATAATCTAATAAGATATGGATAGAAAAGTCAAGAAAGTTACAATCAAAAGGGCAAGTACGTTGTTAGGATATATTTCCATTATGATGAGTGTAGTTGGTTTGGAGATGGTCCTAAACAACTTTCCAAAAGAAGTATTTAATTTTTTTTTTTGTGTATGTAGGCCATTTCTAGATCTTAAACCATATTTTAGAGCAATTTTTGTCCTTTCAAATCTCCATAGCTCTATAGGCAGACTTGATGAAGAAGTTAACATCAGAAGAAGGCTTCCAAATAAGAATATCATTGTCGCCCAGTGGGTTAGGAGACAACACAAGTGTAATATGTTTGATTATATTAGAGTCGAGATACTGTCCCAAAAGATCAAAGTTCCACCCTCTAGCGGTTGACCTGAAGTCTAAAACTCTTCATGGAGAATAAAATCAACATTGTTGAAAGCACATCTAACAAGAAAGTTAAATAAAGGAGTCCATTTATCATATCAAAATGATATTTGGTGTCCTTTGATAACTTTCCAACTAACATTGCACATGAATTTATTTCAAACTTTGCATATGTTATTCCAAATATAGAAACATGAGTTTGGTTTTTAGACCATAAGTATTGTAGGTTTGTTACATTTATATTTGTCACAAAGGATCCACACTTAAGCAACTCAGTTTTGTAACGAGACAACTTGTAATTTTTTAAAGATTACTTGTAGATCATGTGCGACAGAATCTTGCCAAAAACAGTGTTTTAATTATAGTCTCCTCCTCCATTAAAAATTTAATACCTTACTCGATTTAATGGCTATAGGAAGGTTTATTATTTTCAACCACAGTACTTTGCCCATGTTAATACAGATGATTAAAAAAAAATTCCAAATCATTGTTTCCCACTTTTTAAAAAAAAACATTTAGAGAAATTGTTCTTTAAAAACGTTTTTCTTAATTTTGACATCAATGAATCGGGATGTTTACAAGAAATACACGGAAAATATTATATGACATTGACAAGAGCCACAATGTGTGCGCGCGCGCGCGCGCTTTGATGCATCAATTTTCCCCCCTTCATAATTAATTAGTTTGTTTTACCTTTTACGTAATTTTTGCAAAGAAAATCCACCCCAACCAAAAAAAAATCTCAATCAAAACAACGCTGCTAAAGAAACCCATCTCAACAGTTTAATCCAATAAAAAGTACAACTAAAAATTTATGGTCTCAATTTTCTAACTAAGTTTACACTAAATTTCACCCAAAAAAAAAAAAAAAGTTTACACTCAATTTTCTCTTTGCTAGTGCTTTTGTACTACTATTCAAAATCATCCTTCCAGGTATGAAACGCATGAATCAATTTACAACTATACTCACTTTAAGAAATTCACAAGAATGGATCGCAAGAAAGTAATAGAGAAAGCCTTAAGCCCCTACTTTTCAACTCAAATATAAGAATAAAGAGCCTAATGATACAGACAACAATGCAGTTATGAACAAATCATCAGCTTACAGGCTTCATATTACTGATCTGTGGACACATCCCATGCTTAGCTTTCTTTCTGCTGGTTCATCTTCTCCTCTGGTTCCACCAAAACAAATTCCACATATAAATCCTTTAGAGCAATCATCACTGTAGTTATCAGTGGCCCCATTATAGCACCCTGCATCACCATTATACACAATGCTTGAATTACTAAGATTTGTTATTTGCCGCATTATGGATCAAAGGACTCTAACGCCCAAGGTTCATGTCCGGGATCACACAGAACACAGAAGCAATAAAGAACAAATTGCTTGATGATAAGTATTAGAAAACAAGGTATTAAAAACCTGACCAGTTGTTGAACTGATGACAGCATTAGTTCAAAAATCAATGGTCAAAACTGTGATCAAACTATGATTAGACCGGTTATGTATAAAGCATTTCATTGAATCAGTCTAGAAACTAGCCCAAGTAGCCAGGTTGACATGAATTTTAATATTGTGTCAGAGTTCTAAGTCATGGAGGGTTAACAATAATTTACCTCGAGAGCGGAAGGGAATAAGGTCATTCCACCAATGATGCTGAGACCAGTAAGGTATGCACTATTCCCAGGAACATCTTCCAGAATTTCTGATGCACCATAGTCCATTAGGACAAGGTGAATCACAGACAAGAGAATGGCCACTATGTATCTTCCTTCCAGCAATAGTTGCGTGGCTGCTGGAATTGTTGCGAGCCATGATGGAAATATCGGTAGCAGAGGACTGATGAAGGCAAGTACGGTTGACATGTACAGAAAATGTATTTTGTATAGCCTAAATAGGAGCCAAGTGAGACATCCTTGAAAAAATGCAATCTCAGCTGTGGCCAAAAGGACTCCAGAAATAGCTTTGTCCAGAACTTCAACACATCTGACCCTAGCTGAGCTAGAAATCGGAAACATATAAATCACTTGCTGTGTTACTCCTCCAGATTCTGATGTGATGAGATAATATAAAACCCAGAAAAAAACCACCGACTGCGATACAAAGTTGAAAACCTCAGCAGCTCCAGAAATTACAGAATTCACAATGGAGAACATGAATTTTGCACCACTGCCGAGCACAGTTCTACTACTAGCAAAAACACCTTGAAATACTTCCATTCCTTTAACTGCATATCCTTTTGCCTTCACGATTAAATCCTCACGAGTAATTATAACTTCTCTAAAAATGGTATCCAGTTCTGCATAAATATGACTCCACTCCCGGTTTCTAATCCGGCTTTTCAAGCTCAAGAGCTTTTCAGTGTATCGTGACGGAGCCATTAAAGACGTTGAAGGTTCTGAAGAGTTAACAGGTGCATTAGTCACAAAATGCTTAATGCCAGTCACAAATTCGGTCATATTATATTGTATAGCCAAGCCATCTATCTGATCAAATACTGTCTCATATAACTTGGCAGTATACTTGTCTACCATGCCAGGAACATCATTCTCATCCATCCACTGCTTCACACCAAATTTCTCAGCATAATTGCTCTTCTCTACATGTAATTTCAGCGAAATCACAGCATCTTTCCCTTCAACTCCGATCTTATAAGAAAAGAATATCACACCAACCAAAAACCCCATAATCATACCAATAATTAATCCAACTGCCACAATGGTTTTCAATCTTTTTAGAATTCCTCGAGTGAAAAAAGCACTAATCTTACTGCGCCTGAAGCTATTACTCCTAAAGGAAGACAATGTCGACATAGTCGAATTTATACTTCTAGAGCTAAAAACAAAGGCTAATCCCAGAAGCGATAAAGACCCAAAACTCCCAAGTATCTCATATGCAATTATGAATATCTCAAAGGACAATAGCAAACGAAGTATAGTGGAAAACCCGCTTCGCTTCCTTCTTGGAGTCTCAGATTTAGGTTTTCTAAGAAGAAACCTGAAAAGTGCTTCGCGAATTTCAACAAGGGTTCCGACAAAAACCCCAAATATAGCAACGGGAATTGCGAGTACAGTCTCTGTAAGGCCTAAATTCAAGGGTTCAGACCAAAATGCAACGAGGGTTTGCTGAATTCCTCTCAGAGGAATAGAGCACAGCACAGCCCACTGAAGGGGTCGAAGATATTCTTCCAAGAGCTTACACACAGTGTATAGTATAAAAATGGCGAAGGCAAGCCCAGCGTGGGCCATGGCTATGTAGAGGGCAAGGCGCACCTGGGGATCGCCTGGGAGTGTGGATTTCCGTTCTGGGTCGTCGGCTTTCGGTGGCGCGTTTGATTGCTGCGTCGGCGCTTGGGATGTAGGAGTTGAGGATGGCTTCCTGATGGATGCGGATCGGAACATGTCCTGCCATGCTGGGGAGGTGGAATTGGGGTCTGCGTAAGGAACTAGCTCCATATTCAACTGTAAAGGTCCAAATCCAGTTCCTAAGCTGATTAAAAGCAACTCAGGAAGATGGATGACGAAACCGAAAACCCAGAGAGATGTCAGAGAAGACAGAAATGTGTGTCGGAACTCGGAATAGCTTTACGCTGTACGGGAGGAATAAGGATGATGACGATAAATGATTGGAGCTATCGTTTTCGCGGGGCAGCTATGTAAACTTTTGGATAGAACGGAGAAATAAGATAAAAATTGTAGCTTTTGCCTGGTCTGTCTGCTCGATCATTTCTGGGAAAAGTTTTGATCATTTTCTGAGGGACGAGAAAACTTGAAGAAAATTCATCAAGAAGTCAGCCGACGGCAGTAACGCCGCAGCTTCAGGCGCATTTTTAAGTTGTGAGCTTTGTTACACATGATTCATCTACCAGTATGTTATTAACGAATTTTTTTTCAAGTTAAACAACTCATGTTTCGTTAATCATTGGGACATGTAAGTTATTAAAATATTAAACACTCAGACCAAAAAAAAAAAATTAGCCTCTTTATTTAATCAATATTTATCTCCTCGACGTCAACTCCTTTAATATTTTATTCATTTAAAATATAAAAATTACATATAAGAGTGACATTGTTTATAAATTAATAAATAATAGATGATGTGATTTGCTTATTAAATTTTATATAATATAAGAAACTAAGATCTAATTATATATTTTTATAATTACGGCAAAGATAGTTGTATATTACAATAAATCTATATTTAAATTTATATTACTCCTTTTATTTAAAAATATAAGGTGTTTTTAATTGAATCTCAACCCCTAATAAAATAATTATCTACTATCAAACTGACTCTATCTTTTTATATTTATCTCTATTAAACACCTTATAATAAATATGAAGTTATTATTAATAGATGTACTTTTAAAAAAAGACGATGATTATATCTTGAAAGACTAAAAATACTTTATATTTTTTTAACATCAAACTCCTCAAAAAAATACCTTACAATTTTAAATGAAAGGAGTATCTTTTTATCATTTCTCTTATTTTTCTCTCTCCATTTTTTTAATGAGCTTTCTCTCCTCATTTTATCTTATTGTCGAATTGAAAAGTCAATAATTGAGATTTAATTAAATTAATTTGTTTATTTTGATTTTAGTAATAGTTTACGACTAGCCTACAATTGTAAATTATTTAAGAAATTCAAGCCCGTTATATTGCAATTTAGTTGCTTTTTCTTTTGCTAGAAATATTTTCATTTTTATTTAGGATGATATGCGCACTTTGAAGGAAAGTTTGAAGTGATAAATGAAGTGCGTGTCAACTTCTTTGCAGACAAGCCTTAAAGGCAAGTTTTGAATTCCAGAAGTGCCTCCACCCGTGGAAAATTTCGGATATTTATGGTAAAGTACGAGTTTTGTAGTACTTTTGAATTCCCCTAAATAAAAATGTTGGTCACAAGAAAGTATATTCCTCAAATGACACTTATTATTCCTTCCCTTGAAATTGATCATTTTGGGCTTTATGTCAACTTGGAAGGAATTTTGGAGACCTTTGGGATGATGGAGACAGTTTCAAGATGTTTGAGAAGAATTTAAAATGTTTCAAAAGATTTTAAAAGCATCCAAAATAATTTAAAAATATTTAGAGAAATTTAAGATGTTCTTGAAGTTTCTAGAATGTTATGGAGGAACGTAGAGATATTTTAAATATTCTAAAATATTTTAAATATTTCACACATATTTTGAAGTTAGTCTTCAAAAATATTATTATAAATATTTAAATATTTATTGTAGATATTTTTATAGAACACTCTAAACGATGAATGTAAACCTTAAGATTTAATTGATCTCAATCATTGATTAAAGAGGTGAGAAAACTCTAAAATAAAAGGAAATTCTATAAATAAAATATTAAAGCTCTCAAATTCTCTCTTAAGCTCTCTTCAGTGTGTCAAGTTGTTTAGTTTTTTTACCTACATTTTGAGGGTTTGCTTGACTTGATCAAAATTAAGAGGTTGATCATACTAAAACTAGTAAGGTTCAAAGATAAAAGAGTTTCAAGATCATGTCATTTATTTTCAAGCTCAATTGTTATCCCTCTTGTGAGTGGATGAAAAGAGAAAATCATGTTACATTTTTTAGATTAATATATATATATATATATATATATAAGTTAGACTTAATTATACATCTTTGGAGTGTGTTTTGGTTGACGGAGGGGAAGGGGAGAGAATTTGAATGAATATTTATTTGACTTATAAGAAAGGAGGAGAGCAAATCAATAATAAATTGATAATTTTATTTTTATCAATTTTAAGTTGATTTTTATTTTTTTGCTTTGATTTATTATTAAAAATAGCTATATTATATTTTACTAACTTTATTGTTTTAAAGATATAAACTTATATTAATGACATTTTTGAAGAATAAATAATGACATTTTTGAAGAATAAATACATTAATATTATATTTTATCAACGTATCTAATAAAAATACTAAACTATTAGACAATAAAAATTATATATAAATTTTTGTAAAATGATAAAATTTATTTAATTAGCAAAGAGAGGGGCAACGATAATACATAATTTTTTAATATCAACATAGGTTAAAGTTTTTAAATAATAACTAAGTAATTTAATTATAATTTTTTCTCTACTCTCCCTTTTAAAAAATCCCAAATCTCTCTCCTCCCATCCCTTTCAATTTTTTTAACCAAATAAGATGTTTTTCTCTCCTTTCTTTATAAAATACCAACTAAATAAGGGAAGGAAAGTATATCTCCTCAGCTCACCTCCCATTTCCTTCAACCAAACACACCGATAGGAGGATATGGGTGTCTAGAAAAAGGTTTTTCATGTTTATTCCCATTCCCACTTTATATAAAATGTGGCATAATAATTGTCATATGGTGAAAAGAGTTTTTATATTTACTTCTTTCATTTAATGTGATGCTTTGAAAAATATTGCTTCTAATAAAAAAATATTTGTGAGAAATAAAAAAAGAGGTCCAAAAACATTTTATGAATTTGACATATATTTATTTAATGTGACTGACCATATATTTTAAAATTTAAACTCAAAATATCAAAATAAACTGATTCAACTCCCTTAACTAATTAAACCAAGTATTCCTCAATCTATTGTCCTTTACTTTGTCATTCTAATTTAGAGAATTAGCATATCTTAAAGTCAAAATCACATATTAAATGCTTTATTAAAATTTGGTTTAAATATCAAATTTGTACCGTGTATGACCACTCTTAATTATCACATACAGTATAACTTAAAATACAATAACATTTTATATCATAACATTTAAACTTGAAATATTAAAAATATCAAATAACAAAGTATCAATCCCCTTCTAAAAATTGATCCAAAAAATTCCCATTCTAAAAAACTATAGGCTCACTCTAGACTGTTTCATCTCCATTTTCTTTCCCCTCTCCGTATTCTTGTGGAGTAAAATATACAAATCTCTTAACTCAGAATGTCTCAAACAAGAATTATTCACCAACACACACACGTCAGAGGTTGGAGGCTTCAATTCTGATTCGAAGGCACAGGTAAGCAAAGAGACGAAAGATGAGAGCCATGGCGAGAAGAACCCATACTTCTTTCAAACCTCCTTTCAAGTTCACAGTGTCGAATGAAGGAGAGCTCTGCAGAGTCCTGCACCCTCCAATGCTTTCACACTCATACAGTTCATCTCCTGAGTACTGCACTTTTAGCAGAAGCCTGAACCCATAATACATGAACGACAAGTACTTCAACCACCTCATGAACACTGGTATGTGCTGCAATAATCCATCACAAGCAATTAATACACAAAAAATTCTGCCATTGATGTGGGTGCGGGCGTCTATACACACAAACATACCTGTACATAGTAGCCACCAGTGAGAAGGAATAGCATTAGGATCAAAGAAGCAACCATCCCAGCTCTTTGAATACTCATGATTGCAGCTCCAAATAGTTCTCCTGCTCCCTAGTGACAAATATATGCATTTATTAGTTGAACGTTTGAAAAGATAAATATATTTTGAATATTGATCATCATAACTTACTTGACTGGTAATGGCTATCAGAAGCACAGAGAGCAGTGTGAGGGAGAAGGCAGTGACAGTTCTCTTGAAGCCAGCCATGAAGTACAATATAAGCATGAAAAAAGTAGGGTAGAACACATGTGCTACCATATCACAGAGAGTGCTGCATGCATAGTATACGCTTAATCTGTACATGTCTGCTTTCCTTTCTTTCACCAAATATAACTTTTCAAATGGAAACACATAAACTGCTCCAAAGATACATGAAGATGTCCAGAATATACAGATATAGAACATTAGCCCCACCTGCAAGGAACATAGCAATTACCAAATAAGTTTGGATGTTGTGCACGTATACCACTGAATCTAGGCTGTAATAGTGAAACAATGTTGTGGAGGAATCACCTGATCTCTGAGTTGAGCCTCTGTATGGATTGAAGATTTCCACCAAAGAAGGCCCAGCAAGACTGCAACTCCAAGTGCTTGAACTAATCTGACCTTATCAAAGTAGTCTTTACATCTTGTTCTGAATGTTCTCTTTGACAGAACCATGAACTGGTCAAACCAACTCAATGTCCACTCCTTCTTAGCTTGAATGGCCACTTGTAGATTCTCTGGTGCCTTTGTTGCTCCATGGTTCTCTTCTTTCTCCTGTGGCTCCAGTAAAATCTTGTACTTGAGTTGTAAATGCTGATACAATAAAAAAACAGTTTACAATCAGAGGAAATAAGAGGAATCACTTCAATAAGATTTATGAAGGACTTATTTGAAATGTGCCCAAGTCTTGTGGAATTCTTACTTTAATGACAGCTTTTGAAGGGTCAGCAGAATCCTGATGTTCCAAAACTTCTGGAATGCTTATATCATTCACTTGTCCAGTGGCCAAGTCAAGCAAGAACTCTGCAGGATTCATGGGTATGTGTGGGATGAACCTCAAGGATGAGAAATAGTCCATCGAATCCCTCGCCTTCCCATAGTAAATTGGATAGCCTTCTGATATCAGAAGAAGTTTGTCAAACATGTGAAAGATCCTGCTGGATGGCTGATGAATTGTTGTGATTATTGTCCTTCCAGCCTGTAGGTAAAACCAAAACATAATTTCAGTACATGTTCAAATATTTTAGGTTTTTGTGTAAGAATATGTTATCACAGACATTAAAGCCAGTAATAGAAATTATATTGAGTTGGTGCCTACTTTTCTCTTTTTTTGTTTTTCTAACTTTTTCTTGAAACACTTTAAGAACATGTTTGAAAACACATTGAAACGTGGTCAAAACCACCTTTCTACAAAAGCAGTTTTAAGGTTGCTTACGCAGACCCGTGGTTTTGGTAATGTTGAATGTGGTTT